GGCAAGACACACCCGTTCAGTCCCTTGATATCACGCGAGAGAGCACATATCAGGCAAGTTATTCAGGACCAATGGGCAGAGGAATGGAAAGGGTCGAAGACTGGCAGCCACCTGCGCCGGATTGACAACACCTTGCCAGCCAAGTACACACGTGGCCTCTACGGTTCCCTCCCGAGGAACCGGGCTTATCTTCTCACCCAATTGCGAACTGGCCACTGCTGGCTATCAACATATGCAAAGACGTTTCGCTTCCGCGACAATGACCTATGTGTCTGTGGCGAACGCGAGAGTGTAAGCCATGTTCTGCTAGACTGTCCAGAGCTGAGAGCACTTCGGCGAGAGCTCCGAGAAAAGGTCGGCGAGGCGTTCAACAGCATTTCAATCCTACTAGGAGGGTCTGGAGGAGAGGAGAGAGGTAAGGTTAGCCATGCTTCGAAGGCGAAGACGGTGGAAGCCGTCTTGGACTTCGCTGAAGCATCACAACGGTTTCAAAGCCGAGTACCATGAAGACAACATGAGAACGAAGGGCTAGGGAGCCACGAAAGGCTTCGGCGAGGCATTAAGGTCGCTTAGGAAATTAGACACGGCAATTACGAAGAGACACATGTATATAGTTGTTGAATCCTGCATATCGTTCGCGAGGGGTCGGGGTAAATGAAATCATCCATCCATCCATCCAACTGTACCTAATTCTATATCCCATTTGTAATAAAACAAGTCTCTGGACTGGACGGCTTCATCCAAACCTAGCGAACTAGCGACCCTTAGCAATCTATCAACTTCACTCCTCCATCTCCCAGCTGCTTCACTACAGAGGGTTTGACGCTGCCTTCAGTATCCATCTTCGGTCAAGTGGAAGGCAAAGATTAGCAGCAAGACTTATTTCGTGATTACCATTGTTTATTGCTATATAGTGGCTACGGATCTTCGTTGGGCATCAGGAATAACTAGCTAACCCCTTACGGAGAATAGCTCTAGGCTAATTGCCCCTCCCCTACGGATAACACGAGATGCCACGCTACGCACAAGGCCTGTTGGCGACGGTACCATTGCAATGAGCTCTTGAGTAAACGTCTAGTTCTGCATACAGTACATAGGAAAAAACCACGGACACTGTTCTTTGTGGCATTTCCTTTATTAGTCTTTGTATACAAACATAACTTTGTTGGATTTCCTCTGCTTCCTCTAATTTTGTATTTCTTTATAATTGAGGGGTTTGGGAAAGAGGGAATCTATACAGTAAAGCTCGAGTCTGATACATCGTCTAGGAACCAGGTGCGTAGCGGCAGCGGCCCTCCACGCATGTCGCGTACCCACTATTCGCTTCCATGGAATTCCACAGAAGCCTCATCTCATGGTGTAATATTACGGAGTTATGTACTGTAATATACTGGGCGCAGTTTACAGTGTCCCTCAATTCAAGGGCGATGAATGACCGGCGCTAAGGCCTTGGCGGTGGGGCCAGAAGAGAGAATGTGAGTGTGTACCGGTCAAGGCGATTTCGAGAACGACTGTAAAAGCAGTGCTGTAGCAACTTCGTTTAGTTGACAAGCTGGGTTAAGGTGTATCTTGTCCTTTTGCGACTTTAGATCTTCCACATCATCCAATCGAATGGGCGACGAGAGCTTAGTGTCAAGACGAAAATAATCATTGCTGGAGAAGATGTCAAATTTACCGAGGTTGAAGGCGCCGGTGGAGAAACGGATGAAGGCGAATGAGTCCTCAAAGGGGAATTCGAGGGAAAAGGAATTGCTACGTGACGTGATTGCTGGAAGGACATAATATTCTGCATTTCCCATCCTGCAAAAATATTTCTCAGTTTTACTTTCTTGGCTAGGTAAGACGTACTCACTAATACTGTGTATTTACTTTCTCTAACTCTTGACAGGTTGAGTCACCCCTGATAGGTAATAATTGGTCCACCATCTCTGGTCGCCTGACAAATTACGGGCTGTTGTCTACGCAGGCCCCTACCCTACCGGCGGGTGTACAAGGAGAGGATGGCGTTCAGATGTGAAAAAGAGGAAGTGTCTGCTCTCGACTCTATGTAAAACATGAGGGTCACTTCGAAATCGAGTTCTCTGGCGTGCAGATCGGGTATTTGACAAAGATAATCACATATTTAGCACCCATAATTTATGAATTCCTCAGTTGGAAATCGATAATGATAGGTCTTTCTCGCTCTTAAAAAGTTACATTTGAATCCGCGATGTCGGAAAGCGGGCATCATCCTTCGCTTGGACTATTTTTCGTAATTGTGATGTATGCACAGAGACCCATCAGGCAGTGATTCTATGTAAAATATTGCGGGATTCTGATTTTCAGTCCCCCTTTGTAGGCTCATTCCATTCCCAGTTGACGGAAGCTCGACCATGATCAAGATTGGCTAACTGCCGGAAAACACCAGGGCTGACATCTATATCATTTATTTCACATCGAGTGCATCTGTCAACAACTCGCACGTCTACCCGTTTGCCTTCACGAAACAACTGTAGCTTCGCCTGGCAAAGGGGGTTCTCATTCGGATTCGCAGATGTGGCCGCCGCATCAAAAAGCACATGGGATATGGCACAGACTGAATCATTATTCTCGTTCCAGATGCCACAGGCGCCGAGCCCGACATCAAACCAAGTCAAACTACCTTGCCAGGGTCCGCGATTACTGGTATTCGAGGCATCATGCCGTCTGATTGGTTAACACATGACGAACAAGCGATTGATTGATATGCAACCACAATTACTTACTGGCAGCCGGTCACCATTTCGGTTGCCATCACAAGCATTAATCCGATCGTTTTCATATTTGGTTCTGGGCCAGGAGAGCTCGATCAGAAGCACAGATGGATTTGCGGGCTATTAGTATGTGTCTGATTATATATAAGCACAGGCCCACGCTCAGTTTTAAACTATTGACTGAGTCCTCAGTCCAATACGTTCAAATGAACGGGCGGTTGGCCGCAGAAAATACCATGTGCAGTAATGGTCGAGAGAGAGAGACAGAGAAAGAACGTGTACACTCGGATGGATGGACGATTTCATTTACCCTAACCCCTCGCGAGTCGATTATAAACCTCATCCACTAGGCTGAGAACGGATTCTTTTTCGATCTAGTTGGATAAACCAACTTCATGAACGATATACAGAATTCAGCAATTGTATACATCTGCCTCTTCGTAATTACCGCGTCCCATTTTCTAAAGCGGCCTTAATGCCTCACCGAAGCCTTTTGTGGGTCCCCAACCATTTTTCACATGTTCTTTTCATGGTGTTAGGCTTTGAAACTGTTGTGACGCTTCTGCGAAGTCTAACACAGCTTCGACTGTCTTCGCCCTTGAAGCCCTGTTAACCTAACCTCTTCTGTCTATTCTAGAACTTCCGAATAGGGTTGAAAATTCTGTTGAAAGCCTTGTGAACAACACAGGACCCGCATACTGGAGGAAGAACTGTCAGGCCTGCTGAAATATGATCTTGTTGGTACAAGAAGCGATGGGCGAGGAGTGACGAACACTTGAACGTTGTAATTAGGAGGATCCCTCGTTACGATCAGCCAAGGGTTTCCGTAGAAGTGTTGAGAAGATCTATAGCAAGCCCCATTTCAGATCTCAAGCATGTATAGAAGTCGTACTGTAAGGTCGCGCACCTCCCGGGCTTTCACTCCTCAGTACGAGGCATATACAGCTAACAAAAGAGCCCCCAGCACAACTTGTGGCAAATCATTTCTCCCAGGAACAAGGCCAGCCTGAAAAGCAATCTCCTGGGAGCTCATTGTACTTTAAGACCCGGATATATCATGAATTGGAGCAAGATGGTTGCGTCCAAAGTCAAGTTGAAGATGAAATCAAGTATTCGGTGGCACGTATGAGGAACCATGGGCAGACTACGAGAAGGGTATCGACATTTTCCCGAAAGAAATACAATTGAGCATTCCCTTGTCGAAGAAAGCAAACGACTTGGAAGAAACCACGCGGATGGCCGAGCTTCTCTACGAAGTAAATCGAAAAATCGGGACTGTGACAGACTGCCTCTTGAAGCAGCAGGATCACTTGGACGACAAGGACTGCGACTCCTTTGAAGCAATGTTTACTGTATCATACTTCTCAAGGAAGCGGAGTCCGGTGGAGATGAAGTTGATACCGACGAGGGTCGTAAAAGTGAAAAACAAGGTGAAAGTGGAGTTTCCGATGTCATTGGACTGGGATAGAATTGGCTCGCTCGATCTTAAAGCTACTTACAGCATGGATCGAAATCAGTTTCACCACTTGCACACAGAGATTCCTTCTCGAGGCCCCACTTTCCAACACGCTAATCTATTTATAGCTGATTTTAGTTTCAAGGGGCTGAATCGTATCGAAAGACAGTTTATGAAAGCCGGGATCTAATAAATGACATGGAATACCATTACCATTAATACAACATGATGTCATTGCTCAGTTCGCTCGTCAACGCTCCCCTTCCTTGGCAACGACATTCACCAGGGCTTTGAAGTAGAGCCCTTCACCTCGATCTGCAGTATAATGAGGTATGCTGGCGACGTCATTCTAATAATTGGGAAAATGAAGTATGAATTGCCATCTTAATATGTTCTATTGTCATGCTTAAGAATGGATATCCAGCGCCTCCGCTTCCCAAGCCAGTAGGCAGAAACTTTGCCTTCCTAGTAGGGAGCCCAGGCGAGCCTCATCTAACGGTGCGGTCAAAGACTGTGGAGATAGGTGACCCGTTGTGACTAGATTATTGTTCTTTTTGTTCCCCTGGACTACGCGAGATTACTGTACCAATAAATTGTCATGCATTTAACTAGCCATATCTAGATTTCACGAAACTATTAGAACGATGAGTTCCGAAGGTACAGTAGGAAATAGCAGAATATCGGAGCTGAGGCTGTGAAAAGAATGGATTAGGTTGACCAGGAATCAAGATTCATGAGAACGAATTTCTTCGCGAGTGCCTTCGAGCTTTGGGTCCGGACTTCTGTACAGAGGATGTAATAGCGCCCATTCTTTAGAGGGGTCCAATAATCTCTTGATCGCCACCCCATGAAGCAATCTGGAGAGCCTTGCCGTAGACACCGCCCTGCGCCTTGACGTCCGCTCCCTGGTCCAAGAGTAGTTTCACAGTATCTTGATGGCCTCCAACTGAGGCTGCCTGGAGAGCGTTGCCGTAGCGGCCCTCGGCGTTGATGTCCGCTCCTTTGTCCATGAGCAGTTTGACAATCTCTTGACAGCCTCCTAACGAGGCGGCATACAGAGCGTTGCCATAGCGGCCGCCCTGTGCGTTAACATTCGCTCCCTTGTCCAAGAGCAGTTTGACAGTATCTTGATGGCCGCGCAATGAGGCAGCTTGAAGAGCGTTGCCGTAGCGGCCACCCTGCGCGCTAACGTCCGCCCCCTTGTCCAAGAGTTCTTTGACAATCTCTTGATGGCCTCGTAATGAAGCGGCCTGGAAAGCATTACCATAGTCGCCGCCCTGTGCGTTAACATTCGCTCCCTTGTCCAAGAGCAGTTTGACAGTATCTTGATGGCCGCGCAATGAGGCAGCTTGAAGAGCGTTGCCGTAGCGGCCACCCTGCGCGCTAACGTCCGCCCCCTTGTCCAAGAGCTCTTTGACAATCTCTTGATGCCCTCGTAATGAAGCAACCTGGAGAGCATTGCCATAGTCGCCGCCCAGCGCGTTAACGTCCGCTCCCTTGTCCAAGAGCAGTTTAACAATCTTTTGATGGTCTCGCAATAAGGCGACATACAGAGCGTCGCTTTTAAAGTTGTCCCGTGCGTTGACATTCGCTCCCTTGTCTCAGGAGCAGCTTGACAATTTCTTGATGGCCTTCCTCTGAGGCGGCCTTAAGAGCATTGCCAAATCCGCCGCCCTGAGCGATGATGTCCACTCCCTGGTCTAAAAGCAGTTTAACGGCCTCTTGATGGTTTGTCCTTGGGGCGGACCGGAGCACGTTCTCGTATTCGCGGTCTTGCGCGTTAACCTCCGCTCCTTTATCTAAGAGTAATTTGACAATCTCTTGATGGCCTCGCAACGAGGGAGATATATAGAGCATTGCCGTAAAAGTTGCCCCGTGCGTTGACGTCCGCTCCCTTGTCCAAGAGCAGCTTGGCAATCTCTAAATTACCTCTCTCTGAGGCGGCCTGGAGAGCATTACCGTAGTCGCCGCCCTGCGCATTAACTTCTGCTCCCTTGCTTATAAGAACTCGTGTAGCCGCTAGAAGCCCAATGAAGCAAGCATAATAAAGCCTGGAACCTCGAGGAGGACCAGGGTTACCGTCCCAGCTCCTATCCGCTTGATACAAACGAGCCCACCGTTGGAATGTATCTTCCTTTTCTATGAACCTGACTGTCAATCCAACTATATCTTCGGAAGCTTGAGCGAACGCAGCATGGCTTGCCCAGAGTTCCGCCGCACATCTTGCCATCGGAAAATCCCGCTCGATCTCTCTGTGGTTACCTTTGATGTCCGTAAGATAAGTTAAACACGTCCTCGTGATGGAAATGCTAGCCGTCGTGATCTGGAAATGATCCTGTCGGAGAAGGTACTCTTTGACGGAAAAGTGGGCAAGATGTAACTCTTTTTCGGTGCCGTGAACGACTGTCACCAAGCCGGGACAGTAATCCAAAACATCAGTCTCGCAGAATAGTCGACGCTTGATGTCGAACCCTAGCGACTCATTTTCAATTTTCGTCGCTATTACTTCTTTGGCCTCGGCCAGCTTAAGAGGTCGCTTGGAGTGCACTAGAAATTGTAGGAGGCGTATCGCGTCGTTTTTTAGCTCTGTCGGTATATTTGTAATCATGCGCTGGTATGTCTCATTTAGATTCAGCGGCAAAGATGTGAGAGCCTCCTCTATAGCTGCCTCGTGACGGCATCGAGCTAGGCTGTCTAATTGACAGAACGCCCATCTAAACCTGAGTAAGGCGTTAGCAAACTATTATGTATCAATCAAAACAGTAATCTCTCACATTCCATCTGCCCCGTTGCCAACCTTCTTCCGTATTTCTTCAAGAAGACCCTGTGACAAGGGTTTCTCTGTAAATTCACGCCGTTTTGAGAGTTGTTCTGAGACCCATGAACGGATATCGGAGTTGACAGCCTGCCCATTAAGTGGTAGGCAACCTTCCCCTCCTATCAAAATTGGAATGTAGCGCAAAAACTCGGACTCGGGTCGACTGGTATAGAACAGCTGGATATGGGCCAATTCTGGCCTGGATATTATGTCTTCGACCCACTTCAGAATATCATCCCTTGACGTTGATTCATCTAATGCGTCCAAAACGATAGAGACTCTCTTCTGGACTCTGAGCATCTTATAGAGCATAACCCAGAGCGCCTCTGTCTGAGGTTGGTCTTTGCCATTGTGGTGTGCTTGAAATGACGTATCAAGATGAATTGCGGAGTCAGCCCCACCTTGGTAAAGCTGGAAAGCAAGCGACCGTAACATGCTTTCATAGGTCTGCTTTTTGGTGTCGCTAAAGTCAAAGAAAAAGTTGAGGATAGGACCGTCTTTCCTTTTGCGAGATGATCAAGCACAGTTGTGCTGAGAATGGTCTTTCCACATCCCGCGAGCCCATGCAGCCATAGATGTCGACGCGACCCTGAGTACCACGACCGGAAGACGGGGCTCTCTAGGAGCCAGGCGCCTGTCCCCACATGGTGGAGCCTCCTTGCACGGCTGGCGTTCGTAGACGGGTCCGCAGGATTAAGCCAGCCTTTGATCTCATGGGTACGAAGGTCAGACTTAATAGAATCGGTAGTAGCTTTCATTGCGACTGTCGTCTGCTGCAAGCGATCAATCTGTTGTTGGACTACTCGCAGTCAGAACTCCTATTGTGTTCGAATATCGTTTGGTCTCCTGTGTTTGCTAGCCAATCTATGAACGATATAATAACTAACCTGACTGTAACACTTCCAACGCCCTCTTAGTCTCTTGGACCTCCGTGACCGGCACGTATGCGAGAAGCTCCTTGGCATACCCAGCGGAGGTCGCCGAAGCGTAGCGTTGCCATCGATCGTTCTTGTGAGAATCGGCATAGTCGCATATCCCCCGGATCACAAGACAGGGAAAGTGGTTCATCAGGCCAGACGCTTCCATCTCAAAACAGATGCAATCATCGCCAAGATCAGCAATCAATCGATCACGAGCAGCGGCATCTTTGACAAGCGTGTTACCGGATGCGATGGTCCCGTAGTGAATCTCTGGTTCAGTAGTATCTCGAGGATCGCGTTGAACTTCTTCAGCTGTATCACATCCCCGACAGTCCGGGCCGGGGACGTGGCCGCATGAAGCTTTGAACAGGCGGTCGTTTTCCAAGCCCTGATGAGCATAGCCGGGATTTTTCTTGGATCTCCTGCTCATCTTCGGGTTCTTCTCTAGCATCTCTTGCAGGAAGCAGGGGACCTTGGAGTCTTTCCGCTCGTGGTTCGCCTGGATTCCCGCAAGCGCATTGAGGAGGACTGTCGGAGGCCGCCCGAGGAAGCCTTTACGCTCACGTTTATCACCAGACTTTGCTTTGATCAAGTCATACTGGCAGACACCGCCTGTGGTCCCAAAAGGCTGACTCACGGCAATGTCACCTAGCCGGATATCGTAGTCCCCGTCAGGACGAGCGATGCCGCCACCTATCCCCACCAAAAGACCAACACGGATCGATGGCAGCGAGGCCAGCAAGTTTGAAGCTGTGGTCGCAGCGGAGGTAGTTCCATAGTCCCCAGCAGCCAAAGAGACAATCACAATGCTGTGCTCCCCCATACGACCCCAGGTATAAAAGTTCGCATCGGACTGGTGTCGAGTGAAGCCCGTTGGAGCGGCATGTTCTTCATCAAGCATCGCTTCTGCAGCGGCTCGCTCGATGGGAAGAGCAGTAATCCAGGCGATCGCATAAGAATCGGGGTTATCGAGGGCGTTTTGGGATGCCATTGTGCGGACGCAAGCGCACGAGGCTGTCAGATAGGCCAGTGGACAGATAGGGTCGTGCGATTGGGCTTCATTGACGAGGAAGCTGAAGCTGCGTCGTCACATGAGGCGAGGCGGAGGAGACTTGTTCGTGAGATATTGTTTATCACTGCCAGCAAACGGACGCAACCTTGCCAGTTGTTGAGATGATTAGCGCGACGACCTACAGCGATACCCAGCTGGATCCGTACTAGTCGCATCCCATTCTGGATGGACGGAACTGAAAAGGACAAGGTTGGATCTACCCACAAGAACTGGTTTGTTGGCACATGCACGTTGGGGGTTGGCCGGTGGGCTTTGGGCGGTCGCATGGAGAACCTTCTACTGGCTGAACATGACTGGGATCGGGTGAGGGGTAAGTAATAACTGGAATCCGCCCACGTTGCGCAGCGAAGTTATGAGCCTACTAGTGCTTGTCCCAGACCTGGAGGTCTCAGGCGAGGAGTGAGGCAGATCAGATTCAGCGCAACCCACCAAAACCTACCAGATGTTCTAGTTAAATGGCATTAACCTCATCATCTGAAGATGCTAATGCTTCCCTGCGACCGCAAATGCTAATTATATGACCCACCAGATTAGATTTGGTGATCAATATGATTGAAAGATGGATGCCCCGATCTTTCATCCACCGTTTTCTGAGGTCCGCAATTTTGAGAGGGGCTACCAAGCTCCCAGGAACTTGAGATCGCTAAGTCACGTGCAGTTCCTGACACTCCAGCATGCCCCAGATCCTTCCCACCTAAAACAATTTTCCCTGCTCACAGAGGATAAGCAATGGCGAGGATCGGCGATCAGATAGATGCCCTACCGCTCGCCTAGGGGCAAAGATTGGTCTCTGCTCTTCGCTCTCTCCACCGTGAGGCCTATCGAAAGCAAGAAATACATCACCGGTGTTGATTGTAGTTGAAAATGGCCTGGAACCTGAATGGTTGGCAGACTGGAACTGGATTGTGGCCAAGGTGCTGGACAGGGCTGCCCCCCTTCCCGGCGGGGCCTTTGCTTTGTTTGCAGGACAGACATTCTAGAAGAGCCTCAGCTCGTACAAGCTTAATACAAGGTTATTTTTGGGCTGTTATTTACGACTGTACCAGGATACTGCCAAGACCATGAGAAAGGGGCAGAGTAACTATAATAGGCATAGTAGGTTTCAGGTTGGCTTTCTAGAAAGAATCTCTGTGTGCAAGTGGTGAATCTGATTTCGAACCATGCTGTACAACACTGATAAGTCAAAACTAGTGCCTCTTGTTTGATCTACCAATACAGTCGTTCTCGAAATCGGCTTGACCAAAACACACTCACCAACTCTCTAATTGCCCCGCTGCCAAGGCCCTAGCGTCGATTTTCTATTGAGCGACCAGCATTAAATTGAGGGCCGCGGAAAGATGCGGATTTGTGGTACATTCTCGGTTTACAACGGTTTACAACATATTGTGGGCCAAAAATTTGACAGTTAATCGATGATTCTGGGCATCTACAACAAAAATTAATAAGAGCGAAAAAATCATACGAAAACATCAAAAGTTGATAGATGACCAACCCTTTGCGTTTCAACGCTACCGGGCCTAATTAATGCGGCAGGTCAAATAAAAGCTCCGCGCTAAGGACTTGGCGGTGGGTCCAGCAAAGAGTTTCTCAATGAGAATTGGTCAAGCCGATTTCGAGAATGACTGTATGCGGCTATATACAGAAAGGCACAGTGTTTGGCCAGCGAGCCACGCCCAAGCAGATGGAAATTATATCCCTTTATTACTCCAGCAAATTTGAGCGCATGGAAGAGCGTCGCCCGCAAATTTCTATTTCGCACAGGAATGCTGAAATACATCAATCTTGGACTAGCCTCTGCTTTGTGTTGCGTTTTTCTCACGCTTCTCTCCCGGGCGGTCTTAGGTGTGCATCTGCAGTGAATATTACAACATAAATACGTTGAATTCCTCCCATCAGAACCTATGTCAGAATATTAAGCAAGTTTGATAGTTGGTACTAGGCGTGCTCATTTTCTGTTCTTTCCTCACTTGAATGACCAGTGTAAAATTAGAGATATCGAATTCTCGGAAAGGTGAATATTTGAGATTGCACAGCCTCTTTTGGGGAACTTGGCAACCGTTCATTTCATCCAATAAATCAAATTAGCAGGCCTGGAATTTAGTACTTCTGCGTTTTTGGCAGGTCATAAGATTGCAAGCTTGTGTTGTTCCTATTGCACGGGTAGATTCGGTTTTTACTGGAAAGGTCAATGCGAAGAACGAAGCTCCTGCCAAACGCTTATTCTCTGAAGAAAAGGCTGAGTAATAGATCATAATCATTATAAATTAACAAGAAAAAATAGCCAAGTTTCACTAGGCAATAAATCAAAGCTCTTTCATCCCCACTATTCCTCATGTTAGTACATTTCCTAATATCCTGTCAGCCCCTAAGCCTGCCAGGGATATTTCTCTTCACGTGGATCATTCAACGCATAGCCGGAAATCTCTGACGTAAATAGTATTATGGACTTACGATACTTGAAAATAGGATTGAAATACTCAAGACAGAATGAAGAAAGAAGACGTCTTCCTATGAAGTCTATCTCATGGGCCCGCGGAGTTCTCCCGCAAGAAGGAAGTAAAAATGCAATATCATGGGTTAGGTATCCTGGGAGGATGATCATCTCATAAAGGGGGCCATCACTCCTGGGACAAGGTCTAGCTAGCTACAGAACAAACGAATCCTTCGAATTTTGAACATAGCTAAAGCGCTATAATGCACAGAAACCGCCAAGCCTACTGGGTCATCATCCTAGTCTGGGCAATTTAAAGACGTTACCCAACCTGCCTATAACCAATTTAATAAAGGAGCCCCATTTTCTTAACAGATATTCGAATAAAGAGGGGTCTTTCAAGAGGATATTTAGCTCAGTCTACTACTTCAGCGAGAGCCAAGTCATTTCAAATTCAACCCGGCAAGTCCAAAATGCCTCCAAAACAAGCCGCTTTTCTCAAAGACTTTTCGTCTGAAAAAATCAATACAGGTGAGTAAGTGACCTGAAATTACAAAAGATTCAAGCTCACCGGCCTTTGTGAAGAAATAATACCTGGTCAAAGCCCAATAGTTCAAAATATAATCCAGGGAATCTACGAGGAGTTCTTTCTGGTACAGACGCAATGCTACAAGACGCAAAACCAAGCTCGACGCTTGCAGAAGCATATTGAAGAGGTGGAGCAGCATAATTGGAATCTTCAGAGGATTATATGGAGCCTGGAGAGTGAACTGGCAAGTGAGAGACAAGGGAGCGGAGAATGCCGAAGTTCGTGAAGGCAAGATTGAAAATCAATACTTGATATTAGAGTAGCTTATCGCCAAGTCGCCACACGGGCGTAGGATAACTCCAAGAAAAACATTACGAATAGCATCTTGGGATCTATGAACCCGCTCCTGAAACATGTCTTTATGCTTCTAATATTCCGGCCGCAGCTCTATACACAGACAGATTCACGAACCTGAAAAAGAAGAAGAGAATATGGAGGAAGATGTGGTTGATTACGACGAAGCAGATCTACTTCCACCTCCAATCATGCAATTGGGTGAAAGAAGCCAGAAGAGATCTTCTGGTCGGGTAACAATGCCCTCCAGCAGACTGCGAGGTTATGAAGTATACTAGTCTTTATAATTAGCCAATTTCATTTTTCTACGCTCTTCATGTTTCTTTCCCAATTTTCTTAGCTAGAGACTAGTAGTCACGCGGTCGAAAGAATTAGATATTACTGCACAACTTAATGGAAAATGTTCAGTCAACTTTTTTTTTGCTTTTTTTGGGTAATCGCGGGTACCCATTTGAGTCTTGGGTTGATTTTGCTGGTTTATTAAGTGATGCTTCAATGTTCCTATTGTTGAGAGGAGTTGATTGTGTGTTGTGTTGCCTGTATTGTCTAAGATACTGTACAAGTGAAATGTTGAGGTAGGTGAATGTATGCACGTGATCCCAGCCTTTTATTATCTTAGCGACTGGGATATTCCAACACTCCCACTCGCAAACACGTTCATTAGAAGGGTGTCGGCGATCTTTCATCACGGTTGCCAAGCTCCATTAAAACCTCCCAAGACCAATGGTAAAAAGGAAGGAAAGGGTGTCTGTATGCCCGTTTCTTTGTTTCCAGATTCTTGAAGGCTTATATCTGACCGGGCTATTACATATTCAATGCCGAGGCCTTTCCGAAACCATTCAAATCTGTCTCGCGCAAGGGTCTTCGTGAAGCCATCTACTATCTGTTCTGAAGTTGGGATATACTTGAGTTCCACCGTTCCGGCATCTTGGACTTCTCCTTGCCACTTTCTCTGGATTTCCATGTGCTTTGTACGCGAATGGTATTGAGGGTTCGTGGCCAACGCAATGGCTCCCTGGTTGTCGCCACAAATCATCGTTGCGCGTTGTCCCTGGCCTATATTCGGCTCGTGGAGAAGCCTTCTCAGCCAAATAGCTTCTTTAGTTGCTTGTGTCTGGTCCATGAACTCGGCTTCGCAGGTTGAAAGGGCAACAATATTCTGGCGCTTTGACTGCCAGCTGATTGCTCCACTGCCAATATTGGAAAGATACCCTGCGGCCGAGCGCCTTGTCTGGCGACAGCCGGCCCAATCTGCATCCGTGAAGCCACGGAGCATCTGGAGCTGACCTTTATATGCGAGACTGAGAGGTTTGGTGCCTTTGAGGTATCGAAGGATTCGTCGCGCGAGCTTGAAATATTGTGGGCCAGGATTTGTCAAGTTTCTGCTTGCCGCCGAGACAGCGTATGCGATATCGCGTCTAGTTCCTAGCATCACATGCATCAGCGACCCAATCACGCGCTGGTACTCGTTTTTTTACATTCGACGGGCAGATGTATTCAGGGCTGTTCTCTGGTAGAGGTGAGGCGTCGATAGGCGTGCTGACAGGGGCAAAATCCAGCATCTTAAATTGCTCAAGGACTTTGCGCACATAAGCTTCTTGGCTGAGAAAGAGGATTCTGTTCTGCCGATCTCGTCGGATGGTCATGCCGAGATAGAAGCTGCATGGGCCAAGGTCTGTCATATGAAAATGATTTCCGAGGCTTCGCTTGATCCTTTTGATCTTTGCAATCCTTGGTCCGATGATCAAGAGGTCATCGACGTATATTGCGATGTACATGCCGCTCCGAACAAAGATACTGAGATCGGCGTTGATAGGCTCGAAGCCAAGGTTTCGAAGAAAATTCGTCAGCGTCTGATACCAAATACGAGGTGCTTGCTTCGGGCCGTAGAGCGCCTTGCGAAGCTTGCAAACCCTCGATGTACCGTCTGTGATGTGATGAGGCTGTTCAACGTAGATCTCATGGTCGATCTTGCCGTATAAGAACGCTGTTTTGACATCGATTTGTTTGATCTCGAGATCCAGAGCTGCGGCAATTGCAAAGGGGGCATTATAGCTCATCTGTTTGACCATAACCAAGAAAATGGCCGGAAGACAAGTATCAACGATAAGACATGATTATGGTGATATTGACCGATCATTGATTAATGAAATAACAGATATATTGCGCACTCGCAACGCAGCGTTGTTCTACGTTTCCGAACAAGAATGCTTTCATCTCGGTGGAGTTTTCTGAAACACAGCGAGGAGAATGCATTGAAATATACTCCTTTCAAATCCTAATCACGTGGCCTAGAATCCTAATGTGACATCGCGTAAATTACGAGCTATGACTATACGTAGTAATGGTACTTGATTTTGTATGCCAACTGTATTAATACAAATCACCAGAAGTAGGCATCGCCAAAACCCGCCCAACGCCCAACAAAACTTAACTAGAGATAACGCAATCGTATGTTGAAAAGGATCGCACGTTCAAATATATCGCCGCATGTTGAGATGGATCGCATGTTGAAAAACTTGGCGTATTGAAGGAGAGTCCCGTATTGAAGAGCATCGAATGTTGAAATGGACACTAAGCATGTTTCAGTAAGTAGTGGTGACAAGGCTATAATGAGTAGTCTGACCTATTGGCGGCGACACATCGATTAGTAGAATGTCAAAATCTGTTCCATCTCAGTCTGTTTCTAGCTGCACCTGACCAATTCACAAAGCATTTTAACGTAGGCCACATAATTTGGATGAAGAAATGAAGCATCCTATTGCCTCGGCGGTCTTTCCCCTCCTTCAGCTACTGTATAGCCTTCGCGTATCATATTTTCTCGATACTTGTCCCAATCGTCGTAAATATAGTCGAGGATTTCCCTATATCTATCGGAGCCATTCGGGCAACGTTCCTCACCAAAACCTTCTGCTGTCTTAAACTGCTGGATGTTGAGGAACAGATAAGACGTCCAATCTATGAACTTCTCGGCTGAGTTTTCAGTTGGCCTTGAACCAGACCGAGGCTTCTTGATACGGTTTTCGGAGACGTTCGGAGTCCGCTCTTGGTCTCTTATTTTGTGGCTTCCTTGAAGGTCTATGACTTTTTTCTGTGGAATCACCTTTTTCACTTTCCGGAACCTGACTTTTTGAGTTAGCTTGGTTCTGTATGGGAGTCGACCTAGATTTTTTCGAATTTTTGGAAGAGTTCGAATTTTTGGAAGAGCTTGCCCAATCAACGCCTGGATAGAAGGTAGAGTCTCTGTCCTGATTGGTAATCTTTTTCTCGTCTAGCCAATCCCGGTAGCCGAGATCTTGTTCCTCTGCTTTTGCACGACCCCATGCATCAAGGAGCGATCTTTCTTTCGACTTGAGCCTGCTCATCACCTTCCCTCTGAAAATCCAACTTTGGTCTTTCTCCAGGAAATCTGCCTTGTGATTCTCTTCAATACCACACCATTGTATCCTGAAAAGAATGGTTGGAAATATACGAATTTCTTTTCCTTTTTTTTCCCGTGGCTTCCATTTTCGGCGTGAGTCCGGTTCCACAGTCAGAACCTTGACCACTTTTTCGATATTGTCGTAGCCATACTGCCACCGGACACCATTTTTGATATCCAGGATACTTTCGGTTTTGCTGGAAATAAGCGCAAGATCTTTGATAGCTTTTTCCTTGTATGATTTTGGCGATATTGGCGGCCCAAATTTATATTTCGATCTGTCAAGTTTGTCAAGAGGGTCTCCAAAGCGATAAATGAAACGTATGTTTCCGAATGACTTGGCTCGAGAGTATCCTACAATAACACCACCTTCGGTATTCATGGGGGGTTTTTTAGGAGCATTCTTGGTCGTTGGATTCTTCTCTCCTTTCTTTTTGGTTTTGGGAACAGGACTTCTGTCTTCAGCTGAAGATGAATCATCGTCGTGCGAATTTGGAAAAGATCTTTGATCATCTGGATCCTCATTCTCGCCAGAGGCGGACTCTTCATACTGAGGCTTACTCTGAGGATTGACTGACTTGCTAGTATCAAGCGCGTCCCGGAGCTTAGCAATTCTCCTTTTGTCAGAAACTGACAGTTCTCCAGCTTCCTCAGATTTTTCGAGTTTCTGTAGCTCCTTTTTCTTTTTTTCGAGATCCGTTTCCTGCCTTTTTCTTGAGTCTTGTCTGGCTGATGTGTCTCGAAGCTTACGTCTGGGCGAGGATTCGAGGTCTGCCGTAACTATAGGATCGGAATCCATTGATCGCGATATACTTTATGTGAATTTATGGGAGTTTTGAGTCGAAATGGCCGGAGTTGAGCCAATTTATAGATGAGAGGCAATTGATTCGTTGTGTAATTGCAGTAAGCAAGAAGGTCAAAGCTGAGATTAGTTCTGTAGACCATCAAGCTTACTTGCAGCAATGCCAAACATGAGGCCACCATTTTCGGCCTATTATGGCACTTTTGAAACAAAATACGGCTTTAAAGCATGTCTTGAATCAACCTCAATATTATTTGGCGTTGAGAAATAATATTCGTCGTGCCACATAAAGGCGTATTTTGCTCTTGTTCATATGGCTGTGATGCTCACAAAGTAGAAAAGGAAGCTCCTCTCTTAGTCAAATATGATGGAATTAATTACCTCTTGAATAAATCAGCCTCGTTTCCAAGAAAAGTCCCAAATTGGATAGCCAAAAATCTGAAAACCGTCGCCCTCCTCTTCTGCAGTCCTTTATCTCCCGCCAACAACCTCTTGGGACAATTAGTATTCATTCATTTTATAATCATCGTACAATATGACGAACAGTACTACACCAACTCTCATTTTTCAAATGATCAAGCTGGGCTCATTCGGTATGGCCTTGCAATGACGACAAGTATCCATCCACACGCATGAAGAGAATCTAGGTCAAAGATTTAGAGCATTGTCTAGGTATACTGTATTGTACATCTGAGAATCGTCAAAAGGTAATGGACGTAGCGCAAATTCAGCTCCGGCGATATACTATACTGATGTGCTACTCTGGTGCTGTCAGAAGATGTAGTGCGTATTTTACTTAAACATAAAGCCGTGCCAGCCGCGCACAATGGACTTTGACAGGAATCTTTTGACAAGCAATCAATAATAAACCTAAAATATCATCAATCAGCAGCCGATGGCCAAAGCATGCCAGTATTGTCCGTTTTTGGGCAAAGAATTGTCCGAAAAAATGGAGCTTTGTCAATTCGGACAACACTCTCCCGTTGCCACCCTAGTAGCCCCTCATTACCATGTTATTCGTGAACAAAAGTCTTCTTGCTTCTAATGACTGCGTGAGGTTGCCAATAAATGTAAAACAGAAAGATCGCGACGACGCTACGGTCATTCATCGAATACCCCTAAGCCTCGGCGAATCCCTTAGAATCGATACTGCAGGAGCTAATATTACTAGTCCGAAAGGACAGACAATGATTGTTCGGACGCTGCACTGTTAATTTGCCTCTACTGACGCCTGCGGGAGGCCTATCTTACAAAGCACGCCAACAACCAGCATTTGGAGACGACAAACCAGCAACTTCAGACCACCAACACGCAGCTGGGCCAGTAGATTTTTTCTTGCACGACGGTACTCTGGACAGCAGATGTTACTCGCGTACTTTAGGCGTTCGAAAAGATTTTGACAGGGTACATACAACGACTGTCTTTCGCGATTGTGACAACTACTACATCAGCCGGGGAGCCACATTTGGCAGTAAAGGAAAATTCAGGTGTGGTTAATTCTCAAAATAGCTGCTTATATAAACAAAGATTAATACTAGCATTTTAAGAGCAAGAGCTAGTCGGCTAGGACGGGGTTTTTTATCTTGGCTTTTGTGCGCAAAAAGGCGATAGTCAAACCCCAAACCAGCTAACTGAAACCAAATCATAAAATTCATTAGGAAAAGTTGACCTTGGGCTTACAATATGGCAAGCCCCATTACGGTCAGGGAGTCATCTGGTAAAACTATCCCAAATCATCTGATACAGCAGCAGAAAACAAGAATCATCCATGCTATTGTCGATGCCATTGAAAATCCTGCAGATAACCATGCGGCGGCAATCATGCGCGCACCCAGACTAGCATAAGCACCGAAGGGCTTCAAAGCACCGTCTATGGCGGCGGTGAGTGCCCCATAGATGACTGTCATCGCTATGCATGCGCCGGTGATAGAAATGGTCGAAACCTGGGAGCTTTAGTAAATGTAACCTAAAACCAGCGGGCGGATTAGACCTACCAGCGCTATGAGGATCAGACTGATCCTAAGTTTTGTCAAAGACAAAAAGATGGATACCACTGTCAATACTAATCCGATGATGAAACCCGCTATCGACCATTGAGAGGCTTTCTTGTATCCCCCGAAAATCTTCTTCCCTAGTCCTGGTATGATTTCTGTGATATCTGAACTTATATTTTCAAAGATACCGGCGAGGTCAAAATAGAAAGAGGCGTTGGGCTTAGTGCAATCCTCGAATTTATAACCGCTTCCTCTACAATACCCCAAAATACCAACTGAATAGAAACCAGGCAGATTAGGCTTGATGCTGTTGATCAGATTTTGCACTCGATCATTGGCTTGGGCAGCTGTTCCAGTCACATGGGAAACTTCTGATGAAACCGTCTGTATCGCGTCTGCCGCACTTCCCGCGGCTGTGGTAATATCGGGAGAGATTTCATTACTAGGGTTGCCAACATTGAAAGATCGACGTAGATCAAGCGATTCTTCTTTGGAGAATCCTGTCAAATTTATCTATATTTTGCTTGTCAGCTGCAGGTATTCTATGTCAGATATGTCTCCTACCTTCATAAAATAGAGATCATCCGGCGAGGAGGTTGATGTGCAGCCTGACAACACAACTGCGACTGATATCAAAGATGCCAAAGCAAACGAAACCGGTACGAGCCTAGATATAACGTTCAGCATATTCACAACCTGGCTTCTCGTAATTTAAGAACACGCTTCGGACAATGGTTGAGAGATTCAAACTCCTAAATATAAAATCAAGACTCGCGTAAAGGAGATGATGAGGAATAAAGACGTTTTGAACACATCAGTATAGGGCATGCCTTTTGAACCAGCTTTCCAAACTTGCTTTGGCAGAGGAGCCTGTACCGTGCGAGAGTACTCATCATCCGCTGATTGCCTAAGCTCCACCGCTTCTATTGATTGCCAACGACCGGTTTCAATACACGATGCGCGTAATTAATGGAGGGTTTGAAGTGGTTTATTCTGAGATCACTTAATCAATGAATGTGGTTCGGCTTGTACTAACTTATGTTCAGCCATCAGAGCTAAGGTATGGCCAGTCATTGAGTCTGAACAACAAAAAAATTCGGAAAATCACTCATAGCAGAGTAATTGTAGGCTTAGGGTCCATCTTATCTCTTCTAGCGGTCGTGTAGGCTGCCATCACGGCCCACGATGTCCATGAAAGGTGAAGATAGATTCGTTCTGAAACCGGCGGCCAGCACTATGACATCAGCAGGAACAATTCCGTCAGAATTATACATGCACTCTGGAACAATCTAATGAATTTTAACTGTTTTGAGGTTAACTTTAACGCTGAGAAGGAATTTGAGATCCGATCGTCGAAGATCCATCGCTAGTAACGTGAGCGTCATCAATTATCTTGCCCATATTATCTCGCAAGGGCTCCACGAACTGTACTTCAAATTGTGGCATCGAAAGACTGTGTTATTTTACGGGCGCTGTATTTTTAATGTATCTCTCGACTTCAATTGGGCGCCTTTCTTTGACCTTGCTGCTCGATTGATCATTTGAATCCAGTCATCTTTCCAAGAGAGACCTGCATGACACCGGGAATTGGATAATCGAGTTACGGCACCTAAATTAAACTCGTAAATAATAAAAATTGATAAGCTAGTCGCCGTAATGAACAAAACTTTCTTGTGTAAAAGCTGGAAAGTTTTATCCAGTTCAATTGCACAGAATTTGCTGGACCCTAGCAACTGATTGATGTTTCTTCTAGCTTTGGTTGACCGTTCGAGCATGTCAACTGTTAAAAAGGGTACTCATGCCTTATGGCTATGTTATATAGTTGAAAATTAGCCTAGCATGCATAGGAGCATGCATAGGAGAGTTCACTTCTGAAGTCTGTTCTTTGATGTAAGTTCTCAAGGCCATGCTCATTTGCTACATAAGGAGCATTTGGAGCCCCCATTCCGAATATCACTCAAGACCCATGGCTGCCAAAAGCATACGTGTGCAGCAGGAACAGCTGCGCAAACGGCGAAACAACCTTCTTCGAAAGCATAATGACTTCTGGCGTCTGTATTCCATACGAACCTGGCTCACTTTGGAGATGCCCAACGGTCGAATCTACACTTATCATTCTCATCCCAATGTTCCTATTCCGGTAAGAGAAAAAGATCAACTGTTCTGGTTGATAACCATGAAAGCCAGTGATGCTTACTAGTTAAAGCATCACCGATCGAAAAGAGCTGTTCACAAAACTCCGGCAGACTATCACTCAGATAAGCCTGCGAAATTAGTCATTCCTAAGGCACCAGTCTCGTCCATCCCAGAACGTCAAAACACCATCTGGGACTCTTTCACTCAATACATGAGCCAAACCAATGTACATTCCCGCGATATCACACCATCGTCCTCGACGTATCCACGGGGGTGACAACAGGCAGTATTGAGAATGGAGCCCAGATGAGCTCACGCTATCGCAAATACTCATGAGCAACATGTTGCTCGATCCAGTCAAGCAAATCGCATTCCTTCTTGAGTGTCCAATTATGATTTGTCCCTGAAGAGCTAGTTAGTCAGTTGCTTGAAAGATCCATTGAAACGTAGGCTCAGCATACTTTTTGCTTTCTTATATTTCCTGGCTTTCGAATGTATCTCTGTGTATTCAACTGCTATCGCTGCCGAAAAGCTAGCTTGAGTATTCTCGCCTGACGCGTATTTCGGAGAGCCAGGTGTTATGTGTTTGTGTTGTAATTGGTCGATACCCTCCGAGAGCCCTTTCAATACGTATTCGATGGCCTCACTCACTTTCATATGGAAGATCAGCAAAACGGTAGACTAATTTAGAGAGTTAAGTGCGAGGTTACGCATATTGTAAAAGAAGATCCCTCCACAGGGTTATTTGAGATTGAGTTACCCTGACAAGGTCGATTTCTGATACCACGTCGCAAGGATATGAATGACGATCCACCAGCTGCCGCGGAAGACCAGTTGCAATGAAACCATGATCCTCTCTCGATACGAGTTTGCTGCGTTAATTCCGAGGAGAGGACAGCATCAGCCCAGTGAATCAAAGATTCTGAGTGGTCAGTTTCAATTCTGCTGTCAATATGCCGAGATTTTGACTTATCTTCCCAGAAGACATTTTGCCCAAGGTCTATCAGAAAAGAGTGTGGAAGTTTTCCAAATATTTCAATTTCTCAGTGATATCTGATCGTCAAACACGATTCTTGGGCAGAGCGCTAGGACTGCAAAATGTCTGATATGCGGGAAATTTGTTAGCAAAACGTTTTCTCTCACTGGGAGATGGCTATCTTGAACAATCAAATAATAAGTCCCCGGGGCGGTTTGATCGCTATTGGCTGCAACAACCTACCGTGACCAAGGCTGACTAAGGCTCAAAAGTCTCTGGTCGATATTTGATCGAGAACAGCAGCAGATTGCTCGGGAAATCTTGAACACGCCTGGGGATTACAACAACAGTTGATTTTGAAGCTCTGTCACCAACGGCGCGTAGAAGTTCACTCCCGATTGGCAAGGTTCAGAACCCAACGCTTAGTTTGATCTCAGGCTACATGGGTACTTTTTGGTGACCTTGCCGATCTGTCGGTGGAGAAAGAAACTGTAAAATACGTTTACGAGACGTATCGGAACTGTTACCCAAGCATGCTGCTAGAGCCGAGCCACTGAATTCGTACACAGTGTACCTGGAGCCCGATAGCCGAGCTCGAGCCGCGATCCGGAGGCCATTTAATAGACCGAGCCAGAATCAAGCAGTGGTGTCTCCATCTGACCCTGTGGCAATTATGCGCATAGTGGAGAGCTCGAAGAAGTTGATCAACCTCAGAGATATTCGTCTTTTGCCCCTTGAGAATCATGGGAAAAGTAAGTTTATTCATCTCAATGGCGCGGGTACGATAATGAGCAGGTGCTACCACATGCTGGCATCTGACATCATATAAAGCGATTCTTGAATTCGCTGTGGTCTAGCACCGGAGTCTAGTTGATCTGGGATGTAGACCTTCAAGGAGTTGCTGGTCAATTGATAGCGCCACCAACATTGGGGCAAACAGGCATTTGCTACGGACTAGCACTTTCGAGTTACCGTGGACCGTGCCGGTGTCACGCCTCTCGCTGCTCCCAAGATTCTAGATTGACGCCGGAACATGATGTACTTTGGCCAGAAGACAGAGCCCCGTATGTTGAGCAACGGTTCCGACATTGGGTACTCTAATACAAATGGACGACAAGTGACGGAATGCACGCCTGTTAGACGAATGAGGAGACGTGTTTTATTGTTGGGTGGCGAAGACGCCGATCACAACAGCGCTTGTAATTTTCCCGGAATCACCAAATCCATCCAGGCCGGGCCGCTCGACCACTGCTTCGATGGCAAGAAATGGTAGAAGAAAATACTGGCAGTTGGGAGAGATTCATTCAAAGAGTGGATGATCGCTCGAGGACCAGGATCGACCGCGCCAATTGATGCAAAAAGCCATCCTCGAAGCTCGTGCGGGGTATGCGCGATTGCCCTTGTGAGCTCGCGCCTGGATCCGGCAAGCAAGTGGGGAAAAGCGAACGAATGAGTTCGCTGTGCTATGCAGGGATGAACAGGGGCTGGAGTTAATAGGCTAGGGTCCGTGCGAAGCTTCCCTTCCGCGCGTCCCGACGCGAGAGCCACGTACCTCCCTCACATCACCGGGACAATCATTGGCCACGAAATAACCGAGCAGCGCCATCCAATTCACCGTCTAGTTCTAATCCGGCAAGTTCTCATAACCTAATCCCAGTGATTGTGTTACGTCGCGAACTCGAGATATTTGAGAAATATGGTGTGATTCGGGGAAACTTAATTCATGACAAATATTCATGTGCAGGCCTGCAGTGGTCTTGGCCCGGCCTTCTTCTGTTCTACTCGTGGAACGTACTGGATTAATACCCAAGTAATTATCAATGTTGTCGATTGGAAGGTACTTGGCTGTTGATCTTCTTGCCTGGCACATGCATGAGCCGTAAGGATGTCGAGATGACAAAAGCCAACGCCGGACAGCATAGCCCCCACGCGATCTTGATGACCCTCATGCAGGCCACACGATTGCATATCCACGTTTCCGAACGAGAGTTTCTCCCAGAATACGCAGGAACAACTAAACCCGCAGGAACAGCTAAGCCCACAGGAACAGCTAAGCTCATTTTCTACTTGGGGTGCTGTGATGTCGGCCGGTCTCACCAGTTGGACGTGAGGTAGTCTCCACGGGACAAGGCTTGTCCCTAGTGACAACTATTATATTTTAGTTTCCATCGTATTCCGGAGAGCATCTCAAGTCTTTCTCCTCCACTGGTCTTCATCGGCCGGGATGAAACACCGTCCACCAATAGAGGGACGCTGTTTTAGCGCTGTTGGTGACGGGTACTGGAGAGGGTTTCTTGGTGTATCTTATCTTTGTCGAGGTTGGCGAGCAAGCGTGCGGTAATTCAACTACGCCAATCTTTGCCCCTTGCAGTTGACTCTATCTGCAACATCTTAAAGAACGGCTTGAGCAATAAGAGGGAGCTTCTCAGTCCTAAAGTAGCCAGTGTTCAAATCGAGGCGATCGCCCCGTTAGCCTTTGTCGTAGTTCTGCCGAAATCCATAGCATCAGTCGCATCTCATAAGCGATGCCATTCGCAAGAATGCAGGGAGGAGGGGAGTGGGACGTCCGTTTAGGAGGAAGCGTCGATTCTGTACTGTTGCAGCGAGCCTCTTGGGTGGAGACCGTTAGCTTTCTACTTAAGCCAAGGCCATACTAAAGCAAGTAGAGCGAACCTTGTTGGACATTTCAATATTGAAACCACCTATCACTTCCCCCGAATCAGCTCGGCCCCGGACAAATTAAATCTACTAACGGTGGCCATTCATTACGATTGATACAAGCCGGTGCAATTGTTGCGTGAGCGAAGATATAATTCATTCAATTGCATCGTAAGCTCGTGGGATGTTGGTCGACTGGGGACCCTTTCGTAGACGTCTACGACTGCCTAATCTGCGTCCTGTATATGAATCTCTCTGGTTTCCAAGATCATCAAGTTTTGCTTGCAGCGTCGTCACCTGTGCGACCAGGGCATCTATCTTGCTCAGACCTTGCTCCAAGACTTCAATTTTACCCTTTAGCATATCTTTCAACAAGTGCTGTTGGTGAATTTTCTCATCCATCGCCCTTCGCGCTCGATCAGAAGTGTGTTCAAGTCAGGCACGATAATTCTAAGAGCTGACCGACTGGACTTCGCTGTCTAGTCTACATGGCTGTCAGTGAAACACGGCCCAGCAAGAATTATGATTCTGCTTACTGTCTGATTATTGTACCCGCCAAAGCCATCCACACCTCGGGAGGGTCATGCTGCAGGTCTTTCAAGTCAGGAAAGGTCACTCCTTAAGCAGACCCTAGGGCCCAGTCATTCACAGCCTGTTCGCAATCAACATCGATATCTGTCGGCAAAATTGCTTGGGGTTGATATGGTTGATTGTTGTGCTCAACGTGACAGTCAACCTTGGGAAGATTATAGGCAGAGGAAGTCTGCGATGGCCTGGACCTGAACCTCTGGCGCCAACCTGCAATGCTGGGGTCGTAATCGGTTGGAGCGGTCATTGAGTATTGATAGGGTATACTATAAAGTAGCGTGCATTTCGAATGCAAACGAACAAGTGTAAATGTCTAATTTATGTCCAGGTATGACGGCGGGATATCCGTTCGCTTCCACAGAAATCTGGGCACAACTGGTAAATTTTCCCTATTTGGACTATCATAACGCAATAGCTTGGTGGTCAGATGGCGAAGGGGTCAAGTTTTGTCAAGTTTTGAACCGTCTAGAGCAGGTTAGCCTCTCAGAAAGTCCTCGGCTGGTTGGTGAGGACCCGTTCTAGGATTTTTGACGAGTCGACATTTACACAGCGCTGATATTGACTTTGTGGCGACTGCCTGTGGCCTTTCTCAAGAATAAAATGCAAGCTTCTGGGCCTGCTGAGGATCAATCAGGTCTCAATGATCCCCTCAAAAGACAACATATAGAGTTTGAGGGGTCGAGCGGTTGGTTCAACAGACCAATTGGTATTTACAAGTGCAGTTGGTGGCTGGCTTGCAGGCCGGAAAATTGAAATTACACAGCAAATGACCAAGGTAGCGTAAATGAACGTTCCAAAGTTGTGTCCTGTGACTTGGACCCAAATGGTTAGATCTACAGTCAGTTAGCCCAGTTACTACCGTGATTCCTAGAAAAAATCCGTTCAATAGTGGCTTATAATCTCCACCCTACCCCTTCCAATCTTTCTCTTGCCATCTTAATTCATCATGTCCAAAGCCACCTATATCCCGTGGTCATCTCCAGAGGAGCAGAGGCTGCTAGCATGGTTGTCTCATAACCAGCATTTATCTTGGGACGAGAAGTCAGAGAAGTATCAGCTTGACTTCGGTCTTGCACGCGGGCCCGATTCCTTACGCGGAAAACAAAATCAACTGATAAGAGGTATTCGTCGGCGTCGTTCGATATCTGGAAGACCGTCGCGTCGTCGCCATAAGCACGCATCGTCAGCGTCATGTGAACGTTCGTTTGAGTCATCGGCTATTTCTAGTTCCCCACTAGCATTCAGTCCGAGAGCTCCAAATTTTCAGACCCGCCGGTTACTTCGGCAGTCTCGCCCTCAAGATTGGCTGGCCGAAGGTCAACGGCAACAATGTAAGTGAAAGGCAAATAAGAAAAGCATGCATAATCATTATGGCATATCACTAATTACACTTTGTATCAGACAATTCCATATTCAACATGTTCTCCCTCAGACGCCCACGACGGCAGACCGTGCCAGAAAAGCTTTGGGAGATTTTCGATCAACTTCTTGGCAGATGGTGAACAGTGGAAGAAAATCTGGCTGCTTTACAAAGCAATGGACTCAAGAAGTGGCTGTACAGTGGCATCCAAACGCTTGCGCCTGGAATTTTGGCCGAATGATTTGGTAATGTCCCCGATAGTGATTGAGGCGAGATTTCAGATTCTGGAATACCAAACCGTTTCTCTTCTGTCCCAGTAGTTGTCAATATCTCACAAATACAAGATATTTGGTTGTGAGGCTGCGATTATTTTAACAATGGCAGAACTACATATAAGCTGAATGAAATCTTTCTCTGCTTGGGCAAACTAAGCCTTGAGGGAGTGCTAGTGTGGGCTACCTGTAAATCTATCCGAGGTGTAGCATGCGATAAAGCAGGATCTACGGATACTTGACGACCGACGAGGAGATCGCGGTGCCATTTTGAAAATAAGTCCCAGTCAGTTTTACCAGAAACCTCAGGCCAGCAAAGATCATTAGGTTGCAAACCTCTGAGGGCTGATGGGCACTTAATTATAACGCCACCAACATTGGCGCAAAGAGTCATTTGATACTTAATTCTATCACTCTTGGATGCAGGTGACTGATCGGTGTCCCACTCTCTTTTCGCCGCGAGATTCCAATTGACGCCGGGTCTTAATGTACTTTGGGTAAAGGTTCAAAGTACAAGACTAAGTTTGAGGCCCTGGGGAGAATGCCACATGAACGCCACATGTTGATCATTGCCTCAACTCTTGATACCATACCATACATGGGTGGTAATTTACCAAATACCAGTCTGCTCCGCGAATGAGGAGCAGGGTCTGGTTGTTGGGTGGCGAAGACGCAGAACATACGGGCACGTGGTGGTGTTTCGTTCTTCCCGGAATCACCAAGATGATCTAGACCGTGGGGCTCAGACGCTGCGTTGAGGTTTCAACTACAATTCCGACGTGGTTCATCGGCTCTCCCCCGCCAATTCATGACGGCTAAGTCAAGCCCAGGTCACCACACATTGCACATGTAGAATGTGTCTCCACAAGCGCTTCGGCACAACGTCCGGAGCAGCTACAAAAGCTATGATGGCGTGCGGGGTATGCGAGATTGCACTTGCGAGCTAGCGCTGGATCCGGCAAGCAAGCGGGGAATAGCTGAACGATTGTCGAGTCACGTCTCCTTATTATGCAAGGATCTTCCGCGCGTCCCGGCGCGAACCCTAAGCTCTGGCAGTTCCACGGCCCTCACCTCGTATCAAGCCGGTACGATCATTGGCTAAGATAAAACTTAAGTCTCACGATTGAAATTACGATACTAGCTCGAGAAATTACTACTATGCTGACCTGTCCTCCTGCGGGATTCAGATAGTAAGGTATAAATGAAAACCCTGGTTCATCATGTGACCTCCCTGCAATGCGCAGGCCCTGCGTGGACGCAGGCACAGCGCAGGGTCGACAGCTGCAGACTAAGCAGACGAACTAGTTTTCCCGTCGATATCAAAACCCGCTTGGAGATGAAATATCAGCAACTTCGAGAACGAAACCAACCAATGTATACCACCCTATTCAATAGACCTTTCCTGATGCATGAGTGGGCCGGGCAAGGATGGAGGTAACAAAAGGATACCAGAAATCCCATAGCACAGGCCTCAAGCGAAGCGTTGAGGCATGTAAGTCAAATGACCGCAGACTCAGCTTTCCCATGAACCGATATAATGAGACAATGCTGGCACAAGAGAGATGTATTTGACGCTTGGAAATAGGTGGCTTTCTTGTCGCGCCAATTCAGCTTTATGACCTCATTGCTTTGGCATACGACATCCTCCATAGCCTGTCCACACTAGCTGTATCGTGCTGTATCAACAAGGGTCTATAACTGCTCCACAATGATGTTTGCCTTGCCCCTCCTTCTAACCGGGCTCTATTGATGAGGATCTATCCAGTTGGGGCCTCTTTCTTAGGCGCTGTTGGTGATGAAGTCGCAGCTGGGGAACGCCTTTGATCGAGCGATGTCGGCCAATAGAAGGGTCATGCGCCGAGAGTATAACAGTCCAGTCCCTGTCGAGCAACCAGGGCAGTTTCCCTCACTTCTTTTCCCCAGAATAGCAAATGCTTGTTCGGTGACAGGGATGGAAAGAGGGGTTGGGAGTTGGGAACAATAGATCTGGAGGAGGGTAGGCCGCATGTGTATGATCAGCACATTCTGCCGACACAGAAAACGTGGTTGTCCTGTGCACGGTTTCCCTCGGAATATAGGCGACGTAGTTCTATAAACTAGCAGGCAACGTTTGTAGCGCTGATCAACCGAGCAAGTCTTCCAGTGCTCATTTATTACTTCCCAGAGATAGAAGCCGTCGCGCCCGCGGGGCCTTACATGGTGAGCGACGCAAGATCGAAAGAAACTCAAGGCGTAGGCGTCTGTTCAAGGAAGCCCCGACATTTTCTCTTCTCTGTGGGTCTCTGTGGGCAATCACTAACACCCGACAGCTGAGGAGATCATAGGCGGATCACATCAATGAGATCAAGCTGGCTAAATGCAGTGTTGAGCGATCCGTGATCGAAGCTGGCCAGCAAGGCCGCTTATCGGAGCTTCTCCAATTCACATATGCTCCAACACTTACAAAGTGAAGTCTACTGGTCAAGTCGATTTCACGAACGGCTGTAACAGAACACCAGATGCTACGATCGATGCAGTACCAGTACTGATTGCAGTTTGTGGGGATCTAAGCAGCATTGTATTGGGCTTCAACTGTCATCGGCTTGGGGATATTTTCAGGATGCCTGACGGCTGCGGCCACCTGATCTGCGGCCAGCATTAGAACCCTCCTGATTTTCACCTAGTGCGTCTAATTTAGTCTGTAACTCTGCTACTCGCTCCTCCAGGGCATCGATCCCGTTATATCTTTCCCCCAAAGCTTCCATCGTATTTTGTAGACTCTCGCTCAGCACATCTTGCTGTTTGATCTGTTCGTCCATCGCCCTACGTATACTGGTTGGAACCTGAAGCCATTTCGCTCAAGGGGGACTTCAGAGCTGACTCACTGCACTTGGCTGTCTAACCTGCCTTTTGTCAGACGGAAATCAGCCTGGGCTATTAAAATTACTTACTGTCGAATCATTGTTCCTGCAAGAGCCATGGATACCTCCGGCAACTGTTGCTCCAGGTTGTCGAGTTCAGACAGAACCACACTTGGGGAATTTGGGGCCCAGTTGTTGTCCTCAGCCACTTGACCATCAGCATCGTCGAAAACTTCGTCGGCTTCTTTGTGGAGTGGCTCGTCATCGTACTCAAAGGGACAATCATTGTCGGGAATACTGTAAATAGACGAGGTCTGCCGCGGTTGCGTCCTTAATTTCTTACGCCAGCTTGCCACGAATGACGCTGGAGCAATGCTGGGTTCGTAGTATGGCGAGGAGGCCATGATGACTAACAGTTGCAAAGAAGAGTGTTTATTCTATGAGAGCACAAAGGGGGAGGTGGCCGATATATATTTAATTATACCGGTCCCTCACTCATGTCCATGCTATTGCTTTGACGCAACAGTTTCGTCCCCCTCATGTAGTCTCGTAGTGGACCAGGTCCCTGGTAAGACAGACCAGGGCTCTTATTTGGGGACATGTCGCACGTTTTCACTTCTGTGGTGGCTCCCCATGGTCAGACACTGTCTTCGGGGATGGGAATCTCAATACAGTAGGGAGCATCAGTTTCGGCCGTCCTTGAAGTGGCGATATTGATTTTTAGATAGCTACAATCTCTCAAGGATGGTTTTACAATACCCGGCCTTGCAGGGTGTTCATCCTGTTCAACTTTCTCGCGGTCGGTCTGTAAAGTCCAGGAGTCGACCGAGCTCTTGAACAGACCAATTATTGTTTGAAAAGACAGTTGGTGGCTTGCAAACCGCAGATTTCAAATTACACGCGAAATGATCGACAGCTTGTAAACATCTGAAGGGTTCATCGTGTAAAATTGACTGAGGGGTAGGAATCTATCTCAGGCTAGTAAAAGCCAGTGGCCACTATTTCGACTGGAGAACTGCAGGCCGTTCAGTATTATCTTATATCCCCCCTGTGTCTCCCCTTCAATCTATTGATATAACGCATGCCAAGTTGTACCAATTTGCCCTGCGTTATGTCCAAAGCAAATTACATCCCGTGGTCATCATGGGAAGAGCAAGCCTTACCAGAATGGATTGCTCACAACGGCCATTTGTCATGGGAGAAAAAGTCGGAAAAATATCGTCGTGTCTTCGGTCTTCCTCGAGGACCCGAGTCTCTGCGTGGAAAATATAATCAATTGCTGAAAGGGATTCATCGACATCGTTCGATATCCGGAAACATGCCACGACGTCGCCGGAGGCATGCCATGACACCCCCACGACAGCGACCTTTACAGTCACCAGTCAGTTCTAACTCATCCTCCGCACTCAGGCGAAGCACTTTAGACCCTCAGACTCGCCGAATGTTCCAGCGCTTCCATCCCGCAGAGAGATTAACCCAAAACCAACGCCAATCATGTAAGGAGAAGCAGCTAGCGATACCTACATCATAAAATAGATCTAATGTGTGACTCTAGACGATGCCTTACTGAGAGTGTTCTCTCTCGGGCGTGGAAGACGGCGCCCAGTGCCGGAAAGACTCTGGAACATGTTCGACCGGATTCTTGGTAGATTGTGAAGGGCTGGGCCGATAATAGCTGGGATGCCTCAGTCTGACAAGAAATAGTTTGCGAGGTCTTTATAAGCAATCGACTATAATTTTGCCACCATCGCTTCTCTGTTCTTTGTTCTCCCTCGTGGTAGCCCATCCCCTCCACTGTACGCGTCGCTCATTATAGTAGCTCGGAATTACCTTGCGGTATTAGTAGACAGCTACTTCCAATTCCGTACCGGAACTATGACTCAGCTGGAAGGATCACGACTGATAATTTCCATTGGTTAAAGAAGCTCCACCTGAACATCCAGCACAGGAATTCGCCGCTCTCGCCCCACCATCACAAACTAGGCGGCGGCAAAAGACACAAATCAGGGGCCCAAAGTGGATACCAACAGGAATGACACTTGTCCCTCGACCAACCATTACCTTGTTGATAATGGCGGAGTTGACTCCACCAATCAGTACCAGTATTTGATAGTTGGTTGATGTACTGTACTCATTCTTGTCGCCAACGCTGGGGCTTCACGAAATCAAGCACCTTTTTGGACCCCTCATACCCTACTCATTCTGGAGCTATTTGCCATTCTTTATTCTGCGGTAGCTGCGCCTGTCAATCATCAATGATGCATTCAATGCCTGCTGGTGGTAGTGGTCTGGATCTTATCTAGCCCAACAGGCTGGGGCGGGCAGTTCGTGGCTCATATGATAGGCCGAACGCTCTGTGACGATCGCGTGTGCGTGACTGGCCCTTCATTCAAAAATGGAATCCTAGTCGCCGTGGCTTGAAAGCAAACAGGCCTTGCGTTGGGGGCGATGGGGCGCGAGAATCTGCTCCCAGTTTCCAAAACAACCCAGCATCTTAGATCGAGCACATCTCGCAACAATCCTGAGGATGTAGATGCTATAGATCGGCGAGAAGACATGCATGTCAGCTTGCTTAAAGTTGCATGGCAGGACCGCGAAAGCATTGGTGAGAACGGACTCTAGGAAGCAAACTAAAGCGCAGAGGCTGCGCGTGGAGTTAAGGCCGTCAGCTATTGCCACGGATGTTTCCTGATCGTAATTACGTGTCGCGCCTGCTGCAACACCCAGCAGCATTGGTTGAGGTCGACTCATTTATTCCAATTTCTCTGTGACATTACTTTCACATAGAATAGGATCGCTTCAATGCGACCGAGGTCGTAGTTTTACAGCCTCGTTCGTTTCTTGTCATCTTACTATTATTATCGCAGTCCCTGACGCTGGAATTCGTACCAGCGTACAGTCAGCTGTCTTGTATGTTGTGTCATTGTAATTTTATTGAACTAGACTTAAAGGATGATAATTGGTATCAACTCCACTGAAACCGAAGTTCATAAGAGAAAACCCCGGCTCGAATTATCAGATATCACCAGGGGCCGGTGGGGGGAATACACTGTCTGGCATTTCTGCAAACCCGGCATCGTCATCAAACTCTGGTATGGCTAGCCAGTCTCCGGTCATATTAATCCCGGGCAGCTCGGTGAGGTCCTGGGCATTCTGGTTCTCATCTACTTGAGATTTGATGTGGCCCATAAATGTTCGACCAGCAGCATGGATACCCTCTAGAATTCGTTGTAATTCGGTCCGCTGTACCAAGTTATGGGCATCTGAGTTGGCCGCATCCAGAAGCCGCTGTAGCCGGGAAACCTCCTCATTCAAACGTTGAAGCTCATTGGATTGTTTCTGTATCTCTGAACGATATTGTTGATTTTTGACTGCCATCTCCTTTCGCTCTCTGCTGAGTCGCTGCGCACTGGCGGTAGCTTCACGTCGCTGCGCGTTCAGCCTCGTTGTCAACCGTCGGTTGGTCTCCTCGGCATCCCGGATTGCTTCAAGGCATTCGGGGTGGTCTTTATCAAAGTCTTCTTCGGTATCGTCTTGTTTCGCGGCTTTGGGTAGGCGGGTGATTCGTCCCTGTCAGGAAATGTATGAGTGAGAATCGCTGACTAACAACCCAAAGACCTAGTTTGCTCGTACATTTGTCGATCGATGAAGTCTTGGTCGAACATCACTGTCCTCAGTCTCAGGTAAAGTCGCAACAGGCTGCATGAGAGGTCTTGCTGCACCCATCGACCGACGAGCGGCTCGCTGGGGCGGCACAGTTGGATTTTTCGAGGTTGCCGCTGCTTTAGGCATGATGAATGGCAGCGCGAAGTATTCTGATCAAAGAAGGAAGATTTGGCTAAGGACTGTCCCAGGGGCGAAGATGGGTAATTTATATACTAGTCTTGAAGATCTTGTCACGCGGTCTACAAAACGTCTATCTTCCATTTCAGGATCTCTACACTGTTTTGCACGCGCTGAACAAAGAGAAATCTAAGCATACGCGTAATCTTACATTGACCGGGATCTGTCGTTACAAACGCTGCGTAAGTTTCATATCTCTTCTTACATTGGCTGGCTAGTCTTGTTTGTTTCGTGAGGGCCGCAAAGATCATAACACACCTAGTGGCTGCCACTCACTAACGCAACAGCCCATCTAAGGCTAGAATTGTAGCGTTTTGAGTGGGCCTATTCCTGAATATCGGCACAGTGCGATCATCTCACGAGACACCATTAGACACTGTCAAAGACATCTTCCTCCGAGAACGAAGCAAAAAGCCGAGAGTCACAACTTGGATGGCCTGGTTACATAAGGCCCTGTACTCTAATTCTGAAATTCCCACTTCCACGCGAATTTGCTTGAGCTGTCGTAAGAGTCGTCTTTTTTTCTTTCTCAGCCCTCGCAAAGATACCATAGATGGGGCTTGATGGGGTCTAGGCTCAGTAGAAACCGCGGACTGCGCAGGTTTTCCCGCATACTTCATGACTTGCGACTGGAAGCTGCAATGTAGTGGTGAAAAGTCCAAATATTGGGGGTTGCCTGTCCCAAAGACCGCACCGAGGACCTTGAATTCCAGGATGAGAACAGCAATACTGAAAGGGCAAGTCTGATATCAGCTTATTGCTAGGCCTTTTGAAATAGAGAATGCGTAGACTCACCTCCTTCTGGCCTGAGGATTTTCTGGGGGAGAATGCTTTCCCCAGCCTCGGCGTCGAACGCAGTCTTTTGAGAGATTATCGAGTGAAAAGGCTTTGGACGCCACCAACAATTGAGGTTGGTTTGGTTGGGTACCGCTGTTCAAAATGAAGCCAACCTTCCACCTCCTGTTTATCTTTTGACGTTCTAATATTCTGTCGCGCACGGCAACCCATTTACACAATTTGTCATGAGACCCCGCTTTCAGTCCCCACTTGTGATCAAGCAGGTTCATGCACATTGATCTATATGATGCCGGTCCGGAAGCGTAACATGTTAATACCTGTAATTTACGTATTTTTCCCAACGGCGCAGCGTATTTTGAACATCCAGACCCGAAAGGGACGGATAAAAGACTTTCTGGCTTCTTTCCAGCGAATACAACCATGGGGCCAAGTGGGCAAGACTGAGGCCGTTGTCCATCTCTCATAGGGGCAGCGAAGTAGACTGTACTGTAATCTATCGATTTCGCTCGTGCGGGAGCTGTAGATCAAGCGTCATTGCTCAGCCTGACACAGTTCCTTGGCCTGTTGATTGATCCCCTCCATGATCTAATAAGCAAGCCCAACGCCACTTACCAAACCGAAACGATGATTGGCTCGTCCAGACAAAAATCCCTAGCCGAATCCGACGAACGAGCAGGATCGGAGAAAGACATTCAGCGACCATAGACACCCAATCGTAACTAATTGCCTTGGCTCTCTGGCAAAGAAGCGGCTTTGCGTTACATAATGGAATTTGCAGGGATATTGTGGGATCTCAAAGTCCACTCATTCCAAGGTACAGTATGTTCTCCGTTCTATCTTTTTTCTTATGGCCCTTCTTGCTCGTAGAGTGTGCTCCTGGGTGCGCTTTCGTATCGAACTCAGGACTGTCTATCTTCGATTTTGGAGTTTTGTTTAGTCAGATCGAGCAGCAAAACTAAAATGACGAATTTTCACCGAGACCTCGGGCTGGACGTAAATTTTAAGTCGTAGACGTAACGGGAGAGAATGCTTCCTGTATAATTTGTTGAGTGCTCTGCATCGGCTAGCTCACATCTGGACTAGGGACCAGCGCTAGGTCTCGGACCCTGTGCATTTTTGGCACGTACGACGCCCCGTAGGACAAAGCTTAAAAGACAGGCCATTCGCTTTTCTTTTCGTTCAGCATTCAGTCCCCCTTTGAGGGCGGAAGCTCCTTGCTGTGAGCCCACTACGGTCGAGGCTAGAGCAAGCAAAAATCCCAGACTACGGTCTAGGTCGGATTCTGTTCCATACGCAGACCACTGGTCGTGCACAAATCCTGGATCAAGTACCAGGTCAAAAATCCTAGGTTGCGGTCTAGGTCGGATTCAGTTCCATACGCAGACCACTGATCATGCACAAATCCTGGATCAAGTACCAGGTCGGATTTAGTTCCACACGCAGACCATTGGTCGTGCACAAATCCTGGATCAAGTACCAGGTCGGATTTAGTTCCACACGCGGACCGCCGTGTAAAACAGGTCAAAAATCCCGAGATTACGGTCTAGGTCGGATTAAGTTCCACACGCAGACCATTGGTCTTGCACAAATCCTGGATCAAGTACCAGGTCAAAATTCCTGAGATCGCGGTCTAGGTCGGATTCAGTTCCATACGCAGACCACTGATCATGCACAAATCCTGGATCAAGTACCAGGTCAAAAATCCTAGATTGCGGTCTCAGGTCGGATTTAGTTCCACACGCGGACCGCCGTGTAAAACAGGTCAAAAATCCTGAGATTGCGGTCTAGGTCGGATTCAGTTCCACACGCAGACCATTGGTCGTGCACAAATCCTGGATCAAGTACCAGGTCGGATTTAGTTCCACACGCGGACCGCCGTGTAAAACAGGTCAAAAATCCTGAGACTACGGTCTAGGTCGGATTCAGTTCCACATGCAGGCCACTGGTCGTGCACAAATCCTGGATCAAATACCAGGTCGGATTACAAGTTCAATGCATGGAGGCTTCCAGCCCTCGCGTTCGTTCTTCCCCCGTCCTCCAGCGATGACAGACACCTCTTCATGGTGCTGGGGATCATCACCCGGCCAGAAACAAACCGAGGAAGCCAAGCCCTGTTCTCAATTTTAAACGATTTACACGATTTACACGATTTGCACTATTTACACGATTCACACGATTTACACGATTCACACGATTTACACGACTATAAAAAGTCCAAACGTTGGTATAGAACTTACTCTCATCAGTTCGGTCATCAAGTATCCTTAGATAGCTATCCAGCTCATGTAGCTCATAGTCAATACCTGCCTATATTGTCGCAGTCAGTGATATAGAATCAAAGCGACAAGAACAAGGACGGAGTTTCATGGCTTCAGTGCATCAAAGCTTAGAGGTAGTATTCATGACCCTTCCTTTTTCAACAGTACGCAGTCAATTATTCAAGGCCGTTCAAAGCGAAAATTTTGCACGTTTCATCGACATATTTAATCGACGCGTGTAATTCCCGTCAAACCTTGAGATTATTCCTACCCCATGACGACTGACCTGTTTAGTTGAGATTTTTCGCCCTATCCATTTGATGATATGCTTTCCCGGGCTCGAATAGAATGTATAACCCAGGATGCACAAGTGCATTTGTTATTGAGATAATAATTTTTTTAACCGATTCTCAAGTTCGCTCGACAATCTCCTGGAGCAGTCTGTCTTGAACGAGAGAATATCAAATGCTAGATCCCCCATTTGGTTGAATTGAACCAAAATACACGGATTTGTTGAACTGGGCAGAACTCCGCTTTCCACCGGATGTTAACCCGTTAACCTAGTGAACGCTGGCCAAGTCGCTCAAAATTAATATCGAATAATATCTCGCTGCAACTAGACTGTTGAATTTCTTTTGTAACGGTAGAGAATATTTGGTATTATCAAACTTCACGTTGGGCAGCTCGCTTGCGTCAGTTTAATGAATTGATTTGTAACCACGAACCATATTTGACGCTTTGTCACCGGCTAACTGCCTTTTTTCGTCGGAGTTCGGGGCTAATCTATTAAGGAAGAACAACTTGTTCTCTGTCTATTGGGTATTTTTGGAGATTATCGGATCCGTGGAATCCAGTCGGCATTATACTAGAGTATAACTATTGGAGTAATTGCACGTTACAAACAAACAAACAAACAAACAATTCATTAACGCCCGGCGGCTGAGCCGAAAGGGCAACTATCACTGATCTACTGTACATGTCCATCTGTATATGCTGTGTCTCCTGAGAGCCCATACATAAAACCTCATAACATACAGTATGACATTTTCAGAAAGCAGAGTTGCGGCGAGTTTCTCGTGGGTTAGTAAGTGGGTTAGTGGGCTGGCTTGAAGGCGCTTCTTCAAGTGTTCAACATCCTATCTTCGGCAGCTGAAGCGCGTCTACCATCTGTAGCACGAGGTGGTGGGTGAATAGGGTCGGAAGAAGGGGGGGGTGGGAGTTTTGTTGGTCGATATGTTCAAGTGGCCTCGAGTCGGCCCATCGCCATGGCGAAACGTATGGTGGCCCGTACTGCCTCTAAGTTTGGCGTCCACTTCTGATCATCAGAAGGCTGTTTTCCTCCCAGGAAGAAGGATATGTTTCCTCGGTGAGTCTGCGTGCATTGTAACAGTTCCGTCCGATGCGCAGTCCACTTCCGACAGCGAAAGAGGAAATGCTCTACGGTCTCTCTTGCTTGTCCGCAATCGCATTGGTCCGTCTCTGCTACATTAATCTGATTGAGATATCCATTGAGTCTAGCCATGCCGGTTCGGAGCTGAGCCAGTACGGTCGCTTCTTTCCATGTTAGGCGATCATACAATTGCCGGGTGTGTTTGCCTGGCAGTGCGGCATCTACTCGTTTTGCGTGTCTTCCTATCTTCTCTGGTAGCTCACTGCTGGGGACTGCTTGGGACCGTGCGATATTCAATGTTGTCGATTTCATCCTCGGGGCGCGTTCTTGTGAGAGAGCATCTTCTTGTGTCGACGCTCTAGCCTGTTCTTTAGCCAGACCTAACAGCTTGTTGTCTTCGCTAGTGGGGATCCAGAGGAATTTGATCCGGTTCCCATGTCTCTGCAACCTCCTCGTCACCTTGTATATCTGACAAACAAATTCCTGTCCGGACTGCCGTCGAGGGTTCCTGAGCGTGAGAGCCGCAGCCTTGTTGCTTGTGAGCACCGTAATACGGTAGTCTTTGACTCCCATTACCATTTTCAAGACATGTGCCATGGCTGCCAGCTCCGCAGAGAACGGATTTTGCTCTGTTCTCGCGCCCAATGTGGTGGAAAATGTTTTGTACTTCAATTTCCGATTTCGAGGAGGCTGTTTCTCTATTGCGACTCCAAATCCCACCAGCTCGTTCCGTGCCGAGCTGCTGACCGCGATCTGCATCAATCCGCCCTCTTCGGTCTGAGGCTCATCTTGTCCATCAACATTGGCCTGCACGCGTTCATCCCATGGGGCCAACGTGAACGAGTTGATTGTTTCCAGTGTCTCCATGTCGACGTGCTTAAGCGCGTCCGCTACGTGGTACAGCGGCGAGCGGTGATATCGTCTGAACTTTCTGATCCGGTCCGTACCCCTGCGGAGAGGGTTGGTTTCAGGCAGCGTATGCATGTCCGTCCACATCTTCACGGCCCGTCTCCAGAATCGGTGTCGTGCGGTGGCAATGTGGGCCTCTGCCTCCGCTACGCTGGTCGCGACCGTGAGGAATGTCCCCGCAATGGCTTGTGCTCCAACTCTTTGGACTCGATTGATTGGCCCCATGGCCTTGTCCTTACACGCGTGCATCCAGACATTGGAGGCATAGTCCACAACCGGTGCCACCGTTGATGTAAATAGCTGCCGCGCTGTTGCTGGGGAGAGACCTCGAAGTCGCCGAAGCTCCATCGCTGCCTCCAGGCCCTTGGACGCGGCCCTCGCCATATGTTCTTTGTATTTGAGTCTCGTGTCCATCAAGACACCCAGGATCTTGACGTGGTCTTTGGGCACAACCGTCTGTCCCTTGATGATAAACGACTCGTGGTCCGATTTACGCATCTTGGGCGCAAAGTGTATGATAGCTGTCTTTTCTGCTTCAAAAGTTGCACCACTTCTCCTTTCCCAATCAAGCGCCCTATTGATAATTGCTTCGATTCCTTCCCGGTTACTCTGCGCGGTTGGTCCGGTCACCCACGCGGTAAAATCATCCACGAAAGCAACCGCACCGCCTTGGCTGTCAATCTGCCGTTGTACAAGGTCTGCGTTGAAAAATAGGAACAGGACCGGAGACAGGGGTGAGCCCTGAGGCAGGCCAGCTTGTGGCAATCTTCGGGCCTCGGAAAGTTGTCCGTTGATTTGGATGGTGGCCGTTCGACCTGAGCAGAATGCCTCGACCCACCGGAGCAAGTCATCTGGTATGCCTCGCGCTTTCATCCTCTGGAGCAGTCGTTCTTTGCACACTCCGTTGTAGGCCCCTTTCACATCGAAGCTGATTAAGCTCAGCACTCGTCGGCCACGCCATGCTGCGTAGATCTGCTCTTGAAGAAGAACGAGCGCTTGCTCTGCGGATCGCTGCTTTCGGGCGCCGAAGTGGCTGGTTGGGAGCAATCCATGTGTTTCCACCGCGTGTGAAATCCTCTCCGCAACTACTGATTCGAGTATCTTACCTAATGTCGCCAGGAGTGAAATGGGCCTCCACGCCTTCGCAATGGTATAATCTTCTTTGTTCGGCTTCTTGAGCGGTATGATCTTCGCGTGTCTCCATTGTGTTGGCAACGTGCCTTCTCTCAATGACGCTTGAAATAAATCGAGGACCCTGTGCTTGACAGTCGGCCATGTCATCTTCCAGACTATCGCCGGTAGACCGTCTTCACCCGGTGCTTTCCATGATTTGGCAGCAAAAAGCTGTCTTTCGATCTCTTCCATGCCAACTGTAGGCATCCTCACCGGTTCTCTCTGTGGTCTCGCCCCCTCGTCTTCAATCACATCTGGAAGAGGTGGGAAGAACTTGGACAACAGCTCTTCTGCTTGCTCCCTATGGTCAGCGGTAGCAGTCCCATCTGCTCTGACGAGCTGCGGTAGTTTCCCAAATGCCGCATCGTCCCCAGACTTCAGGTACTTGGCGGCTTTCCAGATATTGTCGTTATCTGCGAGAAACTCATTCCAGTGCTTCTTCTTTTGCTTGCGGATGGCATCATGATATTGTTTTGCCGCATCCTGGGCTATCTGTTCGAGCTGAGGTATTTTTCGCCCTGCCCGTCGCTCCGAGCGAGCACGATTGCGCCAGTACGTGTATACATAACGGAGTTCTGTCAGGTCGGTCGTCCACCACCGCTTCGCGTGTGGCGACGGTTTCGCTCTTGGCGTTAAGGTATGCACTGCAGCCGAAACTACGGACATCAATCGGTCGGTTTTCTGCTGTACAGTGCCTTCCGACGTAGTGGTGGCTAGGGTACTCGCAATTCTAGCATTGATCTCTTTCCATGGCGCGTTCTTCAGAAGAAGTCGTTCCTGGTGCTTCGGGGCTGACCACGGTGCATCGAACACCGTCTCAATCGTTCGGTGATCCGAGCCGTGCTCAGTCCCGTGTATTACACATTTGGTCATCAGGTCTGCCAAATTGTCGGAGGCCAGGACGAGGTCAATTGTGGATTCGCAGTCCCCATTCTGTCCTTCACCCTGCCATGTCTTCGTGCCTCGTTTGAGCAGGCTACTGAGAGCAAATTCACTCATGAGGTCGATGATCGGGTCTGCTTCGCCCTGTCTTCCCAAGGACACCTCGTCCCCGCCCCAGAGTTGATCATGGCGGTTGAAGTCTCCCATAATCATGATGTCCACCACAGCGCCCGTGTTTCGCCGGACCTTTATGATGGCCTTTCTAAGGTGATCACATGCGTCGATCAACGCAGAGGCCTCCCCGCCTTCTACGTAAACAGATGCTATCAAAACCAGTCGTTCGGGAAGCCGGATCACGGCCGCTGTCAGATCTGGCGACTCTATCCGCACTTGCTCCGCTTCCACGTCCTTATTTATCCAAAGCATGCTTCGGATCGCCCATCTGCCTTCCCTCCAGGTGGAGGGAACCATCTTCGTCCATTTGTGGTGCCCCATCGGGGTGGTCAAGAGTCGTCCCTGAATCCTCCTCGCCTGGGGTTCCTGAATCGCTAACGCCACTGCATCCTTAGTTTGTTCATCGTTCATTAAGCTTTCATGTACTGCACCTTGCTTTCTCACATTCAATTGGATCATTCGAAGTTTCTTATTCATGGCGTGGTGGGTAGAGCTTCCAGCAATTCTTACTAAGCGATTCATGTGGCCCACCGCATGGAACACACTTTGGAACCTCCTGATTGCAGCGACTGTGATGATGACCCTCTGTGGCGCATTTTGCGCACTTCTGGGTCTTCTCGCATTGGAATGCCTTGTGACCAATCTCCTGGCAGTTGTAACATTGCACCGGACGTGGTCGGTGTTCAAAGACTCTGGTTGTCCCGGATTCTCCTCCAACGTGGAAGTATCCGTCGGCCAGGAGCCTCCGCGCGTCAGTGCCTTTGGTGAGGTAAACGACCATTGACCCATATGGCTTCGCGGCCTCCTTGGTGCTAAGCCATTTGATCTTGGCGACAGTCGTGTCATTTTCCTCACTCATGGCTTCAGCTGCTCCTGCCAGGACGTCATGGTTCCCATCCAATACCGTAGCCCTCTTGACACTGTTGACCTTGATCGGGTAGAGCTCATCCCGCAGCACCCGAACTCCTCTCCCAGTCTTTGCTTCCGCCACTTTCTTGACCAGCTGGTGCTCGGCTTCATCGCGACACGCGATCCTGATCCGATTGGGGTCTCTTGGACTCACGGTGACCGCGCGACAGCGCCAGTGGGTGTGATTGTCCATCGTTCGGATCTCTTTCTCTATTGCGGCCCTGATTGAGCCTGCAGATTTCTTCTCGTTTTCACTTTCGGCCATTTTCGAGGTGTCTATCGTACAGTATAAAGTTTCGGTGAAGGTGGTCGGTGTCGTGTTCAGCGTTGACAAGGTCCGTATGTTGCTTGGGTAACTCGTCGGAGGAGTGCGCGCGACATCTGCATAGGAAGGGGAGCTCATCGGTGCGGGGGCGCTGATTTCCTCGCGCAGGGATTGAATCTCGCGGAGAATCGCATCATGGTTGTTCGGCGAGCACGGCCCGGGCTGGGGTTGCGGTGTCGCGGGTCTATCTGCTAGGGTCTGTAGCTCGTGTCGAGCTTCTGCAAGGGCGGCGCTAAACTCTCCTTTGAGGGCTATAAATTCTTCTTTAAATCTTTGAAGCTCTGCCTTGTGTAGTTCGTCTCGTTGTCTGATCTCCTTCCTGAGTTTGACAAGTTCCTTCAACAGTTCCGACGCGTTCGGGTCCTCGCTCTCTGTTGATGATTCCGAGGCCACCGCTTCGCGTTGGGCTGGTGGCTTGCCCTGGGTCTTTTTCTTCCGCTGGGAACGCTCATTGCTTTGTTCGATTTCGAGTTCTTGTTCCTGGGCATAATTGTTAGGCGGCCTGGTGGAGCGTCTCGGTCTCAGTAATCGCGGTGGTGAATTTTCGTGTTCGTCGCGATCAGGCGGTTCAGGGGTTCGTGTCTCGGCCCGTCCCGTCATTTTCGCTCCACAACAATCGAAAGAGTGGGGTCAACCTGATTTCGAAAACTACTGTATCGTGCGCAGAGTGTCGCCCGGAATGCAATACAGTCTCACTGATCTACAGGGCCGCTCGAAATCCCCACGCTGTTACCGAAGAAGGATCTGAATATGTCGCGGTCGTGGACGTTTTCGGCTGTGAGTACAGTACGTTCCGAAACTGGTGCAACAGCCTACACTCTTTAGGTGATTATTTAGCCCCACTGCCAAAGAACACTAGTTCAAATTGGGAATAGATCCGGAATATCAATATTCCTGTATCAGTCTGAATACCATGGCTGACTTTTGTCGAGCGGAAAGAGTGGTCAAATACCACTAAGACGCTTTTGGGTGGGATGTTCATCGTCCGCCCAATTCCCCACGTATTCGTGTGGTATTCGGTGTAGACTCGGAGTATGGTGTCGTAACACACCGAAACTAGATGATACAGACTCTCACGAGTGTTCAACCACTCTCATCTTTAATCAATCATATGATTCTATGGGACATGTTCAGTACTAGCCAGTACATCAATTCCTTATCCTGACAACTTTCATTAAAATACGATGTGTTGTCTAGTAACTGTATTGGCGATCCAATATTCTACGACGGAAGATAGCCCGCGGCCGACGGGTGAGACTAGATGATACCAATATGGTGTTATCGGTGAACTCCCAACGGGACATTGACAAACACTTTGAAAGTACTAATGTTGATTGGACAGCGGTGGAGAAGCAGCTACTAGCGTGGGCCCATCTGGCTCGTCGTGGCAAGAAGATCCGGCTTCAGATATCGATCAACTACATAGAGGATAGCGGGTCTCTTCCTTCTAGAACCGAGAAGAGAGGAAAGTCATCAGTGACAACACGAATGCTCGCTGACCGAGATGCTCAGATTGACGCAGAGCAAATCTCTGGTCATCATTCTGTCTGGCGTGATGTGTATCGTGTTATGCGATGCCCCGGGCCTCCATGTCGCCACGAAGGACAATATTGCTGGCAAGATCCAGAGGGAAACGGCATCATAGATTGAAAACACACCATCTGAAGGCTCTCGTCAAATATGTGGAGCAAGGTGGAGTCCTAGAGACGCACGATGACGTCCCTGACAGTGTTCGCGAGCAGCTATATGCCGAGGAGAACCAGCAATTGGACAGAAAAAAGAAAGATGTGGATAACTCTACAATGGGTTCAATGTGTCCAATCAATATCAATGTCCTCCCGGCAGGGTCATCTCAACAACAGATACATACTCCTGCTAATGATGCCATGCCCACTACGCCTGGCTGTACTCAATCAATCATGGTCGATGGCCTGCTAGATGTTGCCGTGGAGGAATATACCTAATGGCAGCAATCACGGGTGAGTAACGAGACTTTCCGGGAGAATATCACCAAAGCACGCGATGTGACCGTCGAAAATTGTCTCGACCTCATGCAGATCTATGAGGATCAAGACCCAAGCTTCTTCGTCAAGCACGGCGTGAAAGTAGGTGCCGCTCGGAGATTCGTTCGTGACATTGGCCTTTGGGTGAAACGACGCAAAGAAGAGGCTTGCAACGAATATACTCATTTAGTTTAGATATCTTACGTACTGTGATTAGAGAACAGCCTACACTTGCATGCTGCATTGTCTCTTTGCATTGGTTTGGTATGAACTGTAAAAAAGTTTTCGGCGGTCGTAATGCCGATTCAGAGATAGGAAAGCTCCCAAAAAGCATTATTTGCGGGGATAACGGAAGAGGACCAGTACACAGAGAGACACTCTTTCCTGGCCCCATTGCCAAGACCTTAGTGCAGATCATTGATTGGAGGGGTCACACTAACTTCAGGGCCGCTGTGCAATGAAACCTGTTTGGTATTGTATCTCTCCCTCGTAAAGATGCGCAATATGCTTTGAATGTGGGTAAACGTTGATAATTACTGTACTGAATAAGGTGCATATTACAGCGATGTTTGGCCAGCCCAACTAATAATTCACGCTAGGGTTTTGGCAGTGGTGTCAGGAAAGAGTTTCTCTGCGTGTACTGGTCAAGGCAATTTCGAGAAATACTGTAGTTGACAACTACACATAACGAAATAGGATATATGGTGATGGAACAAAAAAAAGCCGAAGTTTCCTTGAGTCTAAAACGGAAGCCGACTAGATAGCTATAAGGACAGGATTTCAACATTTTGCGACTTAGGCAACTGACAGACTCTCGCAGCCCATGATCAGAAAAACGACGATCCCATTCGGACACCAATGAGAGTTTCGAGTTGTCCGCTGTTACCCGTGCATTGATAGTGCTCTTTGCTTAGATCTTCGACCAGCGCAGGAGCACCGCGGCAGCAATGACTGGTAATACACTCACTAACTCTCCGAGCCCCGCAAATTCCGGGGGAATTCTCGCATTCACGAAGGCACCCGCAGCGAGAAGAACAGCAAAAGTGTTGTACACGAAGCTCCATGTAAAATTGAACTTGATGCGGTAGATAGCCCTCCGACTGGCGTTCATCATGGTGGGGATGCCAGCCAGAGAAGGCCGCATGAGAACCACATCTGCTGCGGATTGTGCGACATCCGTGCCTTCGTTCATGTGGACGCCGATCGTAGCCCGCGCAAGAGCAACGGCATCGTTCGTACCATCACCGCAGAACACTACAACCGATTCCTTACGACCGGTGCGATCGTCAAGGAGCTTCTGGATGTAGTCCTTCTTGTCAGAAGGTGAGCTTCGAGAACGCACATTGTTGTTAGGAATGCCAAGCTTCGACGCTAGAGTCTGGACAGCTCCGTCATCGTCGCCAGAAACCACATGCACCGAGACACCACGCATTTTCAGGTTCTCAACTGTCCCTGCAGCGTCAGGTCGAAGCTCATCTTCTAGGCCATAGACCGCCACGAAGTCATCCTCAATTGTAAAACAGAAGACAGTGTAACCTCGAGCAAGCATTGGTTGCACAAGTTTATGGTTCGATAAATCTAACCAGCGAGAATTCCCTGCTCGAAGGTTCTGGTCACCGAAGACGGCTTCAATGCCTTTACCAGTCAGGCTCTTAGACTCAGGAATAGTCGAAGCAATAACCCCAGCATCCTTCAGATGAGAAGCCACAGAAACCGAGACAGGGTGTCGACTGTTTTCGATGAGGCCTAGAAGAATCGGGAGTTTATCCCCGTCAACACAGTCCTCCGCGACAACGGAAAGTTTCCCCCGAGTCAGGGTCCCAGTCTTGTCGAACACGACGTGCGCCGTTTTATGAGCCAATTCGATTGCATCTGCTGACTTAAAAATGATACCTCTTTCCGCTGCAATTCCGCTAGTGATCACGATCACCATGGGAACAGCCAGTCCAATAGCGCAGGGGCAAGAGACAATGAGGACAGTAATGGCGTAGGTGATAGCTTGAATTGTAGCTTCAGATCCATCATATCCACGAATGGTCATGCCTACTGCAACCCAGATCACAAACGTGATGATCGTCAATAGCACTATAATCGGTACGAAATAGGCTGCTACCCGGTCCGCTAGATCCTGCAACTTGGGTTTCGACAGTTTCGCCTCATCGACCATCGCAGCGATGGTGTGGATAGTGTTCTCACTGGGTAAACGATTGAGTCGAACAGTCATAACTCCAGGTCCATTGATAGACCCGGCAATTACCACAGACTCGGGATATTTCTCCACCGGTCGAGACTCACCAGTAAGCATAGACTCGTCAACCTCGGATGACCCATTGATGACAGTACCATCGGTCGGGATTTTAGTATCAGGGAGAACTTTAAAGCTGTCGCCATACTGAAGAAGCCGGGTGTCAATTTCACGTTCCCTTCCCGTCTCTTCGTCGACAAGGATAGCTGTCGATGGCTGAAGGGACCGGATAGAAATAGATTCGACGGCTCTCTGACGAGCAAGAGCGGCAACCCATCGACCGACCATAATCAAAGTGACCAAAAGAGTGCTTGTTTCAAAAAATTGACCGGTCGAAAGGGGTTTCTCGGCAATGAGGTACCCAAAGGAGACAACCGAGAAGATGTAGGCAGCAGTGGTGCTCAAGACAATCAAAAGGTCCATTTCTATAACTCGCGAGAAAAAGAGAGCTTTCAGTGCCTTGGGGTAGAAAGGCCCTGCGATGAGAACTTGAACGATGGTGGCCAGGGCAAGTGAAGTCGTGGAATATGCCACCTCCCTCTCAGGTAGCGGAGCCCATGCCATGACTAGGACCGGGATGGTCAAGACAACAGAGAGTAAGGTCATATAGCCGACATGGCGGACATGCTTATTGCCAGCCTCCAGAGAAAGATCGCCACGTAGAGGAGCAAGTTCAATTGGCGGACCCCAAATCTTCTCGGTGAGGTCTCGAGCTCCCACTACCTTCGGATCAAACACAACTCGCACAGTCTGTTCGTCCACGAGGGACGTGTCATGGACTCCCTCTGGCCATGGCTGACTAATCAATTTCGAGGAGTCATCGGGGACAATAAGATCTAGGCTAAAACCTTGGTTCTGGACTCTTTCACACTTGAATTCAGTCGTCCGCTCCAGATGCTTCATTATTTGTTCCACCGACCCAAGGCGAAGATCAACGTTAAACTCGGCCCGAGAGAGAACCAAACTGGTCTTCAGGTCTTCGACGGCGGGAAAAGAACCAAGAGTTCGAGTGAGCTTTGTTTCGCAACCAGTACAAGTCATGCCAGAAATGCTGAGGACAACAGATTCCTTGCCAGTACCCTGGTCCTCTATGTCAGTAACGTCCTGAAACGGGGCTTTGTCAATCACCGGGCCAGGTTCTGGCACAGCAGATGAGCAGCTAGCATCGGCGCTTGAACCTTGAGGGTTGATCGGCTGGATTTCTGGGCAGCAAGATTTTGTGCAACTAGTCTTCGGAATCTGCACGATATCCTGCTTGGATGACTTGCAGCAAGAGCCGGAGGAGTGGGCAATAAAAGGCTCTTTGGTGATCATGTTCTTACTTGTTCCGCAACAAGGTCCTACACACGCACTAGCTGGAGCTTCAACGAGTGAATTGGTTTTCAAACAGCATGAGTCTGCGCAGGTGCCTTTGTCGTCACTATCCTTGTCGGGGTGGTCTCCAAGACGATGGGAATTGGAGCAGCCGACCTTGGCGGCAGATTCGTCAACACTAATGGACCCCGAACGGCAGGATTCGAGATTTCCAGATTGGGCGGCAGGATGCTTTGCAGGATTTCCAAGGGAAAGGCAACATTTGGTACAGCTGACCTCGTCGCATGGGAATGTAGTGGGCTCGTTCACAGAACAACAAGATGAGCACTTTTGCTTCCTTGGTGCTTCTTGAATGGGTCCGTCGTCCGCGCCGCAAGAGCGGGCATGATTGCTCTTTGTCGGAATTTGATTGAGCTGCTTGCCCTCGGAGCAGCACATCTTCGAATATTTACTTTGATGAGGAGAACCAGTGGTGGGCTTGTCCTTTGAACAAGTGGCGATGATGCAAGCATCGGCGGACTGGTTTTTGACAGACCTGGCGCTTTCACCAGAGACCCTTTGCAAGCGAGGAGGATTCTGGGTCGGCTGGACCTTGGTGAAAGAGCTGTTGCTTCTCATGGACTCCAGTGAAAGGCGAAGAGCGGAGCTAGCAGATGATGTACTGGAGCCTTGTTTCCCACCCAGTGAATGGCGTTCGCGGGATTCACAGCAGGTTTCCTCGCCAAGAGCGATAAAAGAGCGGCAAATACATCCCAAGGCTTGTAGAGTAGCACCATAGCGGTCGAGGGCAGACAGTGTGTTCTGATTACATGTCTTGCGGTCGGAAGCTGCATCAGAAGCCAAAGGTAAATCGAATCAGCAATATTTCATTGCCACCTTTGGAGCGACTACTTACCAGTTGGCTCACCGGTTGGGTCGGGGTTAGCACTCATCGCAGATGCCCACATAGCCAAACGGTCAAGGCAAGACGTGTCACAACACGGGCCGACTTTGCCACGGCAACAGTCAGGCACCTCGATATCATTCTCAGTTTTACAATCGGTGCATTCACTAGAATAACAAAAATCATCTGATCTCTCCTGATTTGGCATTTCTTGTCCCGAAATCGTTTCGTTGAACGGCTCAGCGATGTCGCCGTCGCAGCAAGAATTCTTGCAACCATTCGTCTCCTCAGGTTCAGCAGCGCTTGACGTAACGTCAGGCTCAAGGGCTGGAACCGATGGGCCGCAACAGTTAATTCCCATTACGAATTGAATATCTTTTGGTTCTCTGTCAAATTCGTGTGATCTTGAGTTGTTGCGAAAGTTGTGTTTTGGGGGAGGGGGTGGGGAAAGCCATTCAGTTTCTTGGTTGGGACCCCGGGAATTAGGTGCCATTATCACGTGATGGAAATGGGATTGACACCCCGTCAAGACCAGTAAGCTGGCCCTTACATAATCCTAGGATGTTGCCTGGGAATTTCGCGTACTACTTTTATATCAATATTCCCATATCAGTCTCCATACTATAATTTACTTTGATTAAATACGGTGTCTTGTCTCGTAACTGTATTTGCGTCAAAGGGAACCAGAATTCTCCATCGAAAAGCAAAAATGTCCACTAGATCTAGGTGTTGCCTCGAGAACCTAGCAGCCTGAAATTCCCTCCGCTCCCCTGTGTCCAATGACGGGCTGGAAACGTTGAGCCGGCCCTTGAGCTGTGCACTGGTATGACCCTCGTCGCTACGTTTCCTTTACCATGGGAGATTCTATCGGGCCGACATTATACCCGATATGATTTCGCTCACTTGACTCCTCTACTATCTGCTAGAACACAGATGAGGAAGCCATATAGCTGCACTAATAGAAATGACATTGAGTCTGAATCGTAATAAGGCCCTTAGCTGGCAATTTAGATGGGCTGTTTACATGACTAATCTTGGCGGATAGTTATATACTATCTCCTTTCTCCGGGTATCCGCCAATCCTGGCTGCGCCAACACCAAGGCACCAATATGCACCTCAAGGTTGACAAAACCCTGTTGTTCTGATTCCGGTCGATATAAAACGGTATAATCGAGGCTTTCGGTAACAGTCGGAATGAAACACAAATGCTCGGTCGGCGTCCAAACAAAGGTCGTGATGGCCAATTTCATGCCCCGGGATTTTCCTGGTAGACAAACTCAAAATTCAAAACGAAGGAGGCCCCGGCACAGGCTATTTTGGAGGTAGAGGTTTGGTAACACGTACAGCAATGTACGGTTGATGGTTGTTTGGCAGAGCATGACTGCCAACCTTCCTGCCCCAGAGATAATAGTCCATATGGCGGTTGTAAGTAGCGAAGCCTCCTTTAACTCCCAATCCATGAATATCCGCTTCTCCAGAACCGCGTCCCTTCATCAGGTTTTCCAGATAAGTAGTCGCTTGTTCAACAACATCATCAGAGACATCACCCAGACTCTGAGAAAACTTCTGCAACTGAGCCTGGACCTGCTGAGTAACCCAGCCTCCCACAGTTCCTGTGGGTATCGAAATAAGAAATGTAAGGAGATCTCCTTCATTAATCAAATCTCCCCAAACAATGTCCCACCCCCCCTTCTGCAATTCCCGCTCGTACTTCATTGCGGTTGGTAACTTCTTTTGCTACTGTCTTGCCCATTGCTGAACCTGCAATATATAAAATGTTGTAAGCAAGCCAGCGGGTTATCAGAGGGTATTAGATATAGTAGATATAATTTGCGGAGAAGGCGTCGGCAGAATAAGTAGTTTTGACTAGAAAATAGTGATAGAGACTAGGATAGCTAGTTTCTTATCCTACATATATCCATAAGTAGGTCTTGACCTTGTTTTTATAGGTCTTCCTCATGTGAAAGATTCGTACAAATATCTTACATATTGAGTGATATTTTTTTTAAAACTTTGTTTGAATATGAGAGACTTTTGCCAGGCCAAGTTAGAAACCTTGAGTTGAGTTATATCGGCCGTTTTCATCTTCTTTGATTGTCTAGATGTTCTTATAAAGTCTGGTGATCTTCAGATTTTGCTGGACCTGCCTTATGTGGCTTGCTGCTACTTTTTTCGATGAAAGGGCGACTGACGTCTACAATTATCGTAAGTGTTTAAATACTATATTCCTAGCCAACTGTAAGTACTGTGGTCTCTACGGCCCGGCCGGATAAGATAGTCGCTGTTTGCGGACAGTATAATTGGGGGTCAAAGCGGAAGAAGATCCCCGCCACTGAGCATCTTCACCTTATTCATTCTTGGCATTCTTGGCAACCTTGGCATAGATATAACACAAGCTACCCTTATTATCTCAGGGCCTAGATGCCTATAGACTAGAGATAGTCTTGATCTGCGTAAGCTAGACTAATTGTGCTAAGCATAATCAGGTCTAGCATGAAGCCCAGACCGATGTGGATATCGATAGTATCGGCGTAGCCACGGGCCGTTCTCGTATGTTATGGCTCAACAGTTAGCAGCGGATAACTACTAGACATACGAGACACTGATTCTCGATGAGTACGCCCTTGCTGCAGCATTATGCCTAAGAACAGTTCTTAAGTAGTACCTTGTCTGCACCCGTAATAAAAGCGTTTTTATTACTCTGGTCACTTCATCCAATCCACATCCACGAGCTCTCAGCTAGTATATATCCATCCTGTGCCGCTCATCATGGCCACTATCGTGAGCTTCCCAGCCCAGTCAGAGCCAAATATAATCCCCGACTACGAGGTCAGGCTCTTGCTCAATCCGACAGCGGTTCTTGACCCTGAACATGAGCTAACGAATACTGTTCTATCGGCCTTCCATATTGCCCCGACTGTCACTAGGATGAATGTCCAGTTCCTTGATAAGGGCTCCAAGGAGATCTCCCTCGCCGACTGGAGCGCCCGTATCCGCAAGGCCAAAAACGAGAACGACTTCGAGTTGACGTATAAGAAGCGGTATCCCATCGTGGGCGGCGATGTTGATGCCGCTCTTACTGTGGCTAATAACGATGGGTCAAACGCCAGGAGCACAAAATATAAGGCACAAGTGGAATGGGGTTTGTTGTAGTTCAGAGGTCTTAATTATATTATTGTTCATAGGGAAACATTAGGCTATATATATACAACGAGAAGAACAAGTTGATTGGAAATCAACTTGGTTCTTCGTATAGATATCTCGGGATTAATTCCGATGGTTCGGCTTGGTTCCTGATCTGCACCAGCCTCATATCACAACAGGGTTACCAGAATTGACCTACCGGATATCTGATACTACGGGGTCGACCGCCTTTATTAAGCGGTGCTTTGGCGCTGCCAAACATCCTTATATTGGAAGAGATACTTGAAATGGTGCTCTTGTTGCAACCAGCGGCTTGTGCCATCTCAGTTATAGATAGTTCACCACTGTGGATCATGTCATAGATAAACTCATGTTAGGAAGGAGCTAAGTTTGGAGCCATCTTTGGTTAGACCACTCGTGATTGATTGTCAAATGTGCCTCCCAAGGAAAGCCGCTTCGGATGAGGGGCATGGAGGTGTCACTTGTATTGAATTTACAAACTAGTACATGTTTGAAATTACTATGTAACCTTACGTACGAGGAAATACCCACACAACTGTCGGAATAATTCCCAATATAGATTAGTGTTTCTTGGCAGTGGGGCTAAATAATCACTTAAAGAGTGTAAACAGTTGCACCAGTTTCGGGACGTACTGTATCCTTTCATCCGAAATACTATCAGATACTGACGAATGGACGTATATGTCCTGCGTTTAAATGGTACAAAGAGAACCTTTTTGCGAGGTTTTGGTGCGGCAGAAAATACGGCAGAAAAAAAGGGTAGTTTCAAACTAAAGTCCCGCCACTGTATCAATAGTGCGTTGTATTGCACCCGCTTGGGTCTCTGTAAGCAAGCGTGGGCCAGCTAGGGCATGTAATAGAGCAGATCAGCCGCCAGCCTGATGGCCTGGTCAAGAGTATTGGCAGTTTGAACCGCGAGAACCGGCGACAGCTGCAGCAGTGGAATGGAGAGGTGCCAGCTCCGGTGGAGCAATGTTTGCATGAGCTGATTGAGGAACGATGCCGGAACCAACCTAGTACACCGGCCGTGTGCGCGTGGGATGGCGACTTCACCTACGGTGACTGGGGTGGGGGCCGAGGTGTTTGTGCCGCTGTGCTTTTACTATATAAATCCGCAGAAATTGACATTCCGACAAAAAATAGTGCCTTTGCATTTGCAGAAAGATGTAGGGGAACCTATAAAACATAGGGGAAAACCCACATCAAGGCTGAATTAAGAGAGAAGACCCGGGTCTGCAAATCGTAGCATTTGAGACGAACTTAATCCCGCGCGACCTTGTCCACGAATTGTCAGTGAGACAGGAAGAAGCATCCCTAGGTCGTTTACATTTCCTAGTAAATTCCATCAGCTCTAGCCACACAGTTATTGAAACCATCACATACTCCCTATTAGTCGCTGTCTGTCAGTTGTGGCCACACGGTTATTGTTCATCAATAGACTCTTTTGGTCGCAATCTGTCAGCTATTGCCAGGTGGTTATTATTCTTCAGTAAGGGAAACCATTACTTACATCCTATTAGTCGCTATCTGTTAGCTATAGCCAGGCGGTTATTATTCTTCAGTAGGGGAAACCATTAATTACAATCTATTAGTCGCTGTCTGTTAGCTTTGGTGGCACAGTAAGGAATTAGATCAGTCTTTACCTGGCGCTCGGTCAGCACTTCGGGTCGGCTCTTATTGACTGGAAGTGCCATGCCACTGGCAAACAGGAAGGTAGGAAGAAAATAGAGTAGTTACATGTTTAAACCAAAGGACGATGTCGATATTGACTGCTTTCTCTTTGCAAAAGTATGAAACGAACGTGGCGAGGAAATGAACAGATTGCATTTAGTTTATTTTATGTACCTTCGGTATAGTGGGATACTCAATTTACATTAGGCAAAAGAAAAAGACTTCTCCTATTGAGCTCAATGTTAGGCTACAAGATCAACATATTTGGCTGATCAATGGCCCATCCCGTGTTATCCTGATAAGGGTCCTGATGTAACTGGCCATGCGGACAGAAATCGGGGTGACACAGAACGCAATGATCATCAATCACCACCATGTCTTAATTTACAAGAACCCGAAACGAGAGAGGTCATCGTACAGTATTGATAACCAATTTTCAAGTGAACTATTGATCCTTATGTGGGACTTATTCGAATTTAGCCAGGGTGATTGGCAGGTCTCGCCACACCCGCCGATGATCGTTCCTTACACGTGCAGTCATACTCAGCTCCACATATCAATCCGTGAAATGGGGTTGGTGCCGATACTGCGCGAAACCCGAATGAGCAAAATGAAGACAATCTATTTGAGAGCCTTTCTGTAAGGAGATACTCTACGAGTCAGGGTAAAGGCCTGTCAATCAGGTAGGAGAAAAGTACCAAGTCGGATTGTGCAAAGACTGTTTCTTGAGGAGTCCCAAGCCTCCTCACTTTTTGTTTTGTTCATAAATTCATCGTCGTTTCCCTCTTTACAAAAAAATGGGATCGTCCCGTTATGAGCAAGTCTTAATCCAGGAAAACCCTCAACTTAAATCCTACTACCAGACCCTTGAAATACCCGTCAAGCCCCTCGTTTTTCAAAGGCGTGAAACTCGAGTATTCAGGCTAGAGATATATGAGTAGCACCTTGCCTATCCAGATGACATTCTGCTCACTTGCTAAGTCTCTCCGTTTGTATTCGCATTCTAAATTCTTCGGTCACCCTTAGAATATACTATGGAAGTCTCGGTATGCATCCATCCGCTTTTGAACTAGGAGCGTCGGCTCACTAACTTCCGGAGATCCTTCGAACCCTCACATCTCTAAACGCACGAGCGACCCAGGCCGAGCGCGCCGCCTCGAGGTACGAAAAGAAGCTGGCTAGAGTACGACATTCCCTGGTGGAGCAAGAAATCGATCTGAAAGAGAGCGTGCGGGTGGCCGAACTTCTCTACGGGGTACACCAAAAGCTCGGGCTTGTGACCGACTACCTCCTGAAACGTCAGGAACCTTTGGACGACCAAGGCTGCAACTCTTTCGAAGCAATGTTCAATATTATCATCAAGCAAGCCGAGTCTCATGGAGGTGCAGCTGAGATGGAGGGTGGCAATGATGACAAACGGGACAAAGCTGGGCATCCAGACAAAGTCGTTCCAGGTAATAGCCTGGCCTCCTGAAAATTGAACCTTACCCGCCAAGAATCAGGTAACATTGAAAAGCTCATTTCCTGTTTTTAATTGATATATTTTGACATTTGTACGGTAGAGAAATTGCTGTTGAGCCAATTTATGCTTTGATTCCTGTTGAGCGTCCCGTACAATTCATTACAGAAAACATGACAGAACTGAGCGCAGATCAAAATCTGAGAATAACAATCTAGTTTCTGCGATGAATCTTTAAACGGAATCAATCAGTCCGTGTTACAAACACGTAGAAAAAAGACCATTCCATTTTCCACATAGACACTTGAACGTTGTAATTAAGATCGGGCAAGGGAGTCCATAGAATAATCCTAGAAGATCGTATAGACGGCGTAATGGTAAGATCCACACATATCCCGAATCTTCACCCTCAGTGGGAGGCAGATGCAGCTAAAACAAGAGTTCCCAGAACATCTTGTAGCAGGTCATCCCTCCTAGGAACAAGTTCAATTTGAAGGTTTCACGAACAGTATCTGTTGATGAGGAGCGTGTCTTCCTGATGAATGCTCAATATTGACCAAAGCTAGATAGCTTCCTCGGGCTCAGTGTATATCCCTGACATTGAAAAAGTAATCTTCTGGGAGCGCATTGTACCTTAATTGCACAGAGATCATGAATTTGGGCAAAACGGTTGCGTTCAAAGACACTCTTCCTCTGCGAAATGAGGGACCGACGTACAGAACTGGCTCGAACATTTCTCGTTCATGATCGATCCGCTGGGGTGCAGCTCGGAAATAGGTTAACTGGAAAAATGAATTTACCTTCCTGGGCTTCGTATAGGTAGGCCACGAGTGTACGGATGAAGCTCAGCAATCTCATATTTCGTCAAGATTCTAGGTACAATCAAAGATGCCAAGGGACGGGCAACACGAGACGATCACGCTGACGAACAGAGAATCTGGGCAAAATGGACAAGAATCTATGACTCAGCCAGGAAGTGCGCCAGTCTATTGGTCCTCCGAATCAAAGGAGAATTATCCTCGCGCGATTTCGTCTCCGGCAGGGTAGGTCGTAGTCAACACGATAATTGTCCTTTGCAAATTTCCTTTTTTTTTTCTGGTTATATCCTCTAGTACACTTGGATTCAAAATTGTCTTCCATGGAAATAACACATACTTGTGTTCTGGAACCCTCTGCCAAGATATATTATCCAATCAAAGCCAAGAAAATCAAAGGTCAGATTCCATATTAACGCTCAAAAGGGTATTGCCACCTCTAGTATCGGCCTAGTCTTGAGTCCGAGATAGTTTCTCTGTGTACAATATGGAAGCCAATTTCAAATTCAAGTGTAGTTCTATAGGGTTGTCGTGAAATAGTGATCTTTATCAGAAAGCCCGGGAGGGTGAATTCAGTTACATACTTAGAAACGCACTAAATACCTATGTCTGACTCTAGGTGGTCAAATTTCACTCTCTTAGCGACACGCTTCGATCGCCTGATAGACGGGGAGCAATGAGATTCCATTTTTCGTTTGAGAGAAGCTTCCTGGGTTTCTTTTGAAACGAAACCCGCTTCACGTAGAAAGGGACATGTACCCAGCCCGCCTCTATCTTTCGACTTGGTTGAGATAAGACCATTGTCGTCGCTTTTGGGACTAGAAAATCCAGCATCGGCCTGATCTTCATTCTCTGGCTCGGTTGGGATAAAGTCATTGTCGACCTTCGAGATAGTAGTTCCAGTATTGGCCTCATCTTTCGGCTCGGTTGAAACATCGTTAATATCGTCGGCCTTGGGGGTAGAAAAGCCAGCATCAGTCTGGTCTTCATCTTCCGGCTTGGTTGAGATGACTTCGTCATCGGCCTTGCAGATATTGACCTGGTCCTCAGCTTTGTCAAACTCCAGGACAAGAGAGCTTGCACTAATACCGTGTATCTCTTCTCTAGACTCTAACCTTTCAGTGTCCTTGGAAACAGAGGCAGAAAGATTTGAATAAGTCAAATCTATCTCCTCTATGGGCTCGATATCTGCTTGAAGCTTGAAATCCCGGATTTCATCCACATCAACCCAGCTCTGCACCTTTCCACAGGTCTCATCATCAGTCTCCAGCTTGATGAGACACTCAAAAGTGCCTTGAGCCCACGGAGGCGAGCCATGGGCGTTGCACTCAAAATCTTCGCAGTTAATGACGATGGGATTCGACGGCGAGCCAAGAGGGTCCGAGTCATCGATAGGATTGCTTTCTGAGCCGCGTTGGCTCAGTGGACACCGGCAAATTTGGTGAGTCGCTGGATTGAGAGGAAAGTTGTCTGGCACTTGTTAGATTCTGCAATTAAAGTGTGGGGCATGAACAACATAAGACTCGCATACTGGAGGAACCACTGTTCTCAGACATGCTGAAATTTGATCTTGTAGGTTGTTATTGATAATAGTTGGTACGAGAAGTGATGAACGAGGAGTGATGAACACTTGAACGCTGTAAAGGATCCCTCATTACTACATATCGGGCAAGGGTTTCCGTAGAAGAATCTTAGAAGATCTGTAGCAAGCCCCATTTCAGATCTCAAGCGTGTATAGAAGGCGTAATGTCGCGCAAATCCCGAGCCTTCACTCCTCAATACGAGGTATATGCAGCTAAAACAAGTGTTCCCAGGACGGCTTGTGGCAGGTCATCTCTCCTAGGAACAAGGCGAACCTGAAAAAGCAACCTCCTGGGAGCACATTGTACCTTAAGTCCCGGATTTGCACAGAGATCATGGGTTTGAGCAAAATGGGTTACGTTCAAAGTCAAGTTGAAGATGAAATTAATTATTCGGTGGCACGTAGGGAGAGAGAGCAAGAGAGCGAGAGATGGAGGGAGGGAGGTTCATACGGACATCAGCAACCAGGAAGGCCCTTTTGCAATTAAACCAGTTCTCCATTCCCAACCCTGGTCACCAATTCTTCGTAGATCATGTAACACTGTATCAGGAATCGCCCCATTCCCCAATCTCCTCAGCCTATCTCGTTAGCCGCTCCGGAGAAAAGCATCTCAGTTGCTGGATTACAACCAGTTATAAGACATCATCCCGAGGAGTGGTCAATCTGCGACACGAAGAGTGCCCTCGCTGTGGGCCACAATGGCTGCCATTAAACCCCGCGAGCGGCGGGAGACCTACTTCTTTCCCGCAGCGCCCAACCGGGCCGCCACTGGGACCAATGCTTCCAAGAGCCGGTCGTTTCCTGAAGAAAACGGAGAGCAAAAACCGACGATTGAAATAATTCGGCGCAAGCCCGACCTTGTTAGACCAGGTAAACGAACGTTTTCTTTCAATATCCCCATCTTCTATGAGGACCTCTGGGCAGACTACGAGAAGGGTATCGAGATCTTCCCCAAAAGACATACGTTTCTTTGTCGGCACCGTCGGAACAGAGAGGACCTAGTCCACATTCAGCAACTGAAGACTGAAGACAGGCACGGCGACAGAGTCCCTCATCAACTCCGTCAGTCATTATTCACATCCGACCTTCCTTCGCCTTCTATGCTGTTACCACTATGACCAATCGACCTTTTTTGTGTGGGAACCCGTGGAGTTGTCGTTGGCACAAGTCATTGGGTCCAAGTACCCGATTCGGGAAGCCGAACTGACCTCGATAGTATGGCCGGTCAGTTACGAATTCCGCTTCTTGCCATTGGAATATGAGCGTCGCGCTCACATACATACTCCAGATCATCCAGGGTATTCGGTACCTCCGAGACTCAAGCCGAGCCCTAGGTTATCTCACTTACGATACTATTTTTCTGACCAGTTCTGGGAGTGTGAAGATTGGTCTGTGCTGCTCCGGCTTCTGATGCTAGGACTGACTGAGTCTGTATGAGTACTGACACCGTCCCGTTCTGCGTCGCTCACCGGATGTTGATCGCAGTTGCGTAATTAATACGGAGGACATGAATGCTGCAACGCTGAAGCTCTTTGCACTATCCGATATTATAACCGGACTTCGGAAGCAAATGAGTCCGATCGACCCTTGGAGTCCCCGGGCGCAGAATCTGCCGGCACGGCTGATGAGCACGCCTTTGGATGATCTATTGGGGGTAGGTCCCTCTTCCGAGGAGAGCTGGGATTTGGGCTGATTTGACCTAGGACGATATTGTTGCCGAATCGAAAGGTGGGGAGCTGAAGATGTTAGTCAACATTCTCAGTAAAATCAGCCATTATGATGTCAAATTTCCTTAGCAAGCTCGCGAATGTACAGTACGCGTTATCATTTTGCTGTTCGACGGCGGCAGAGGTTGTGGCCCGAGTTATGAGTACTACGCGTTATGAAAACTATTTACATGCATGCACTTGAGACCGTAGAAGATCAAACCCCTTGTCAATCCAGCTAGATGGATGCAGGTCTGTCAGTTCAGCCATGTACCTCTTTGATCCTTTTCTCGAACGTAGAATATAATCTTGCTTCAACTGAGCGTTTTGTACTAAGACCAAATGACGGGCTTTCGATGCGGTACAGTATTCTGGCTATTTCTTCAAAACGGAATCGGAAACGCTTATTGTGCCACACTCGGCGACCGCGTTTCGTCCCGAAATGGGTCTTCACTTTCACTGTGGCATGACTGCGTCTCTTCTTGGCGGAAACTCTGCAGTAGCCTCACCGCCTCGGCCATTCCACCCTGCACGTGTCGCAACTCTTCGTCTAGCTGATTCACCAAGCTTTGGCTTTCTGTGAGCTGCTCTTCCATGGCCTGCGCCCACGTCTCCCATTCCTCGACCTTTTCCAGCAATGTATCGGAGCGTAATTTCACACGATCGAGCTCATCGGCGAGCTCCTTGTTCTCACATTCTAGGCGTCTGATGGTGGCAGTGAAAGATCCGTCTTCGGTCTGCGGAACCAGGTTCTACAACAATTCACATCGCCGTTAGCAATTCGCCCCAGCAATCCACCCCAGCAATCCACCACAGCAAGTCGATTGATGCTCACCAGGGAAGGGAGTGCCTTTGCGGCTTGATCAGAGCCCGAGTCTTGACCGGCTGGCACCAAAGACCTCGGATCGACGGCCTCGAGGGAACGGCCCAGGCTGGCGATGATGTTGTCGTATACACCGACCGATCCGCTGCTCAAGTTTGTTGCCAACAGATGCTCGAATCCTTCCGCGGCGGACCAGGCATAGCCGTCTTTGGGGCAGGGCTGCAGGCGAACCATATTCGGGGGAACTTTGAGCTCCAGTCGTTCATCTACAGCTCGTCATCAGCCTCTCGTGTCTTCACGCATGCCCGGCCCGCGCTCCTTACAGATATGAGCCACCAACGCATCCCGGCACTCCTGTCTTCGCTGCGCACGCCTTTCGTTGCTGGTCAATGTCATGGTGAACGCGTGTCAATACCTGCACTCTAGCACAGGTTAGTATGTGGCAGGGGTAGGACCATCGAGTATATGCGGTATTGTAAATCTTGGAAAAGATGTGGGCGAGGCAGTCTGGACGACTAGGTCATTTTGCCCCTGTGGATTAAACAGTAAAGCTAAAGCTAAAGCAAAGGATGAATCGACTGGGGGTGTTTAAAACGGGATCCTTTTCAGTCGCATCGCAAACTTACACTTTGACTGATATACAAGCGAGCTGTTGAATTGAGGCTCAGTCGATCATCCAAGCGCCTCAATAAGCCACGCTTTTGCACACGGTCAATGGCGCCAGTTTTGCGAGACGAATAGGTACTACAGGTACAATGGTACAATAGTCCCGTTGCATCACACATCGCCTTTTCTCCACCAGGCTAGCCTATAATCATAATATAGCGGTGTGAGGAGCCTCATCTCGGCTGACCGGGTACAGCACTCATATTTGGCACTGTTATTCGTGCACGTCCTCACTAAGGAGGTCGATCCGATCGGCCACAGATTGAACTACCATGCCATGCCACTGAAGTGATGGCGTTACGATATCAGAGCTAGAATACGGCAGACTGCTGCACACCGGGCTGCCCTTGGCGCCTATATAAATACACCCAAGCTGCTCGGACTATCTATGCAAAACACACTTGCTTTACCATCCTCATACCATGGCAGCAATCTCCCGCAAGCGACGACGCCAGCCGCAGGCAGATTCGGAGACAACTGGTCTGCTGGGCCACAATGGCCTCGATCAACGCTCGCGGAAAAAGCGGAAGATCTCTCACACTCAGGCTAGAACAACGGCCGTTGAGGACGACCACGTTGTGGAAAGCCACGTTGGTCCATCGAGCCGCACTCGTATCACCCTTCGCCTTCGGGGACGGCATCAGCCGTTAGAGGGTACAGAGAGGACCATGTGTGGTGTCTCGGAACCTCAATGCTCGCGCCCTGGAACTATGGACCAGGACGACGCCTTCAAGAAGGAAGCCATCCGCCAGGACTGGCTGCGAAGACTGCGTCCTAGGCCAACGCGTGCCGCGTGTGGAGTCTAGGCAAACTTAGACTGAATGCGAGAATGGAATCAGAATGGGGATAAATGGGCGTGATTTTTGAAACTGTATAATGTGTACTTTGTATCGAAGCCAAAGGGCATGTCTTGCATCCGCAAAGTCTCCGCGACAGCCTTTTCCCGAACACCCGGCCCTATTAGCATGGCAAGTAGTGGATCAAGAACGGGGAGGAGTGCACCACTGTATTCTCAAGTTTTTGGGCATCCTTACATTCGTTCGCATGTCCATCAGTATTCCAGAATGTGGGGCGTCGGCGGAAGACTCGTTTAGCTAAATCGGCTGTGGTATAGGCCAATCAATGACGCATATCGTGATTTGATTTCTCTCAGTGCGTAAATATATGGAAGCTTATGGTTATTTAAGCGCATAGAGATGCAATCATGACTAAATAATACCATATCAAAAATTACTTGCATCTCCGCTTTCGCCGCTGGCAGAGTATGAGCTGCATGGGAGGAAAGAAAAATATATTTGCGGGACGACACCCAACCCCACTCAAAGATGATCACATTAACGCGCCGGGCTTCCTGCAGGATACGCGAAGATTAGATAGGTATAATTTCCCTTGATGTATGGCGTACGTACATCATATTCACATCACGCTATCTTGAATATATTACAGAAACATCAACACAGTCCGCCACGAAGCATTGTTGCTCTCGAGATCAGGTGAGTTGCCCACAGAATCGGGGGAACATGCCCAGGCTGTTTTCCATGAATGCAAGTCCCGCAAGAACTACCCCGCTCTTGCCCCCTGAGCAATTCTCTGCCTAACAAACCTTTCGTGATTGGAGGGGCTATTCCTTGTCAACGGAGCGGAACCTCTACCCGACGACTCTCCAAAGGTGGGAAAGATACAGGGGTTCTCGAAATCGGCTTGACCAGCACACACTTAATCACTCTTTTCTGGCCCCACTGCCAAGGCCTTAGCGCAAATCATCCATTGGACTGGCCATACTTTGTTAAGGAGCATCGTAAAATACACCTAGTATGATACGGTATCTAGCGAAGTAATAATACACTAGTCTCATAAGAACCCCGTCGACTTTAATAACTTAGAACCCTAGGGTGGCTCTTTAACAGTCAAAGAGAGCCGGCTAGGCCTAGTTCTTTAATGATACGCCCCCCCCCTAAAAGGGTGTCCCCGACTTTTCCTCTTTACTAGTTATCACTCCCGAGAGGTGTCTCCTTAGCTTATGGATCATCCATTCAAATGACTGATTTTATCGGCAGAACACTATCACGACCGCCTCAACTAATAATCACTAACGATAAGTCTGTCGTTCGTTAGTTATGATGATTACGACGTTCAGCAAAGTGAACCATTTGACCTATGGACCAACGTATTCCAATACGCACCAACACCTGGCAACTTCGATCGTTCTCCTGTCTCTCCTTCCAATATAAGCTATACCACTGCCTTCCCCATCGATCACGCCTGTCAGTAATAAACTACTTCGCATAAAAGTACCCTTCTTGCGGCCCGACAGTAATCCATAGCACGGAAGTAGCACGGAAGTGAGCTTGAAGAGAGGCCGGTTCGGGCCGACAGCTGTTCCGGTAACGGGGCCAGAAGATGACAGGCAGACATGCTATTCCTGTCACTTATCGTCGTTAACCCCGCACGTTCCTTCTGAGAGCCAGAGGGTCCTCTGTTTCTATGGACCATGGGTACAACCATATCATTCCGTGGCTCGAACTACGGATCAGAGACAGGGATCAACTATGGCTTGGCCACAAATGAATTTCATCTTCCGTCGGGTATTTTACGAGGGTGTCCATCTGGTGTCGATCGTGCTAATCTTTGCATAGGTCTTGACGACAAGTTATCCCCTGTGCCCGGGGCTGCGTTCGACTCATACTTAGATCAGCATGAAGATTAATGTCTTCCAGGCACACGAACTGATCTCCTCGGTCAAGTCAAAGAATGGGCGTGGTCCCCGACGGGCAGATGCATATTTTGGTTGAGTGGAATAGCTGGCATGATAATCAACCATCTCTCGAACAATGGCAATATCATTCAGCCAATCAAAGTCACTAGGAGCAAGCCCCTTCTTCAAGAGAGGCGAGGGGGATCGAGGGAATGCTAGAAAGCTCTTCCCGACAATCGCAAGGTAGCTAGCGATTAACATTCCCCAGACCCCCCCAGTGCACGAATCCTAAGTACAGTTATGCCGATATATTTCTTTGCCATGCTGAAATGTATCGTTTCGCTTCCAGGATGAAGTGGACTGCGCTATGCTATCTATCACTCTACCGCCTTCTGGGGCTACCAGCAAACTTTGCCGTTTGGGAGGAACAAACGGGAGATATTATAACTCTATTCAAGTTCGCTTTTGAGAAGAATGATTCTGTGGAGTTTGAAGGCATGGGAGACATCAAAAATTAGTTTAGAGCGATCCGGCTATTCCGAGTCGCTTGCAGGAGGCGTTGGCTCCAAAATTAAGGTTGTAAGTTCCTTGGGAGGCACAAAATTTGTCTTGGGTAATGGAGTGAATGATATCCGTTTGCAGACCGAGCGAAGGATGTTAAAATCACTCATACATCATTGGCGTGCAGAAATTGGGTTCAATTTTGCAGTTTTAACAAATAAGACACTCTCTGAGCCGACCTCCTTGGACCGCTGCGGCTATGTAAGGAAATGCTGAGTGCTGATAAATACGTCCGATACCATTCACCAAGTGCTCTCTACCAAGATAATTTTTGGCAAAGGGCCTAATTACGTCACTTTATTTTTCCATCAAGCAAATGGCTTCTGCTTTGTTCACTCCAGTCTACAACTCAACGGAGGGCGGTATCGGGGGCTATGATCTAAGAGCCTTCGCCGACCGTGCATTCGCATTTGACTACGATCACAGCGGCAAGCTTGATCACCTTGTTCTATATCGACCCGGAACGGGAACCATCTGGATCCTCAAAAATCAGAATGGTGTATTCCAACCGGTCTATCATCAAGGCAGCCCGGGGAGTGGTATTGGTGGTTGTGACTTGGTTCGTGCCGACCGTGCGTTCGCATTCGACTACGATCATAGCGGCAAGCTTGACCATCTTGCAATATATCGACCGGGGACATCAAAAATGATAACGGTATATTCCAACCTGTCTATCGAAAGGAATCTGGAAATTGGATTGGGGAGTATGACCTCAGGTCTTGCGCCGACCGTGCATTCGCTTTTGACTGTGGTCATAGTGGCAGGCTCGACTATCTTGCCCTATATCGACCGGGAAGTGGGATGATCAGCATCTTGAAGAACACTGAGGGGGTATTCCACTCAGTTTATCCGCAAGGTGGTTTAGGAAAGGGAATTGGTGGCTATGATCTGGGTTCAGACAGAGATCAGGTCTTCGCATTCGACTATGATCACAGCGGAAACCTTGATCATCTCGTTTTATACCGTCCACAGGCTGGAAAGATATGTGTTTTAAGATCGCGCTTATTTATGCCCGGATACCACTTTAGTAACATACTTGGATGCTGCTATTTTAGTGTCAAAATCACACTTGACGAAACTTCGTGGACAAAAAGATACAGCAAATTGCCAAACCAGCTTCACCGTTTTACACACTCCTCTTGATTCAAGGCCCCACTGCCAACACTTCGGCCTCAAGGCTGAGTACCGTTTAGTGAAGTATAATTTTGTACTCCCTTTCCAACCGTAACTTATAATTACATACCATACGAAGAACCTTCCAGATATAGTGACGAACTATCAGCTACGGGTATGCATACGTACGAGAACTTGGTGAATTGAGAGAAAACGAGTGGATTGATTCCTTCCTCATAAACATGAGCGGGGGCTTTGTTGAAATACCCCATAGGATCAGTGTGGGGTGGACTGTGACTCCGGTGTTGTCAATATACCCGCTATTACATACAAAGAACAAAGAAATAACTATGGATACTCGATGAATAAGAGGTCCACTGCCAAGTTTGACATAAAGACACATGCCATGGACCTCCATGCAAAGCTGGGAGTGGGTCTCTCCAACTCCGCGAATCAAGCGGAGAAGGGCCCTCCTTGCACCTGCTTGCTAAATGAATTGTCAAGTAACTGGCTACCGGATGTGCGAGGAGCTGGATAGTGCCGTATAAATATAGCCTTTCATCAAGGCCCTTCTTTTATAAAGATATTAGAAAACATAAACAGATTAAAGAGCGAGAAACAAAATGATTTACATCTACAAACGAAACCTGACAAAGGAAACCCGGCCTGATGCGTGTCCTAGTGCAAGTGTATTACCACTGATCTTAGAATATTCCCCTGTAATCTTACGCATTGAGGAAGACAAATTTCCCATTAACCCGCATCATCCCTGCTTTTATGCTCATTGATCGTCACACAAGGTCTCATCATATCCTTACATTTTTCCAGGTCCTCCAAAATGATAAGCACGAATAAGAACTTCTTTGTGAAACCTGGGCGTCATGATTGCGATGTTTGAAATGTCATAAACATTACCACCTTTGTTGATCGGTGTTATGTGATGAAGCTCATAGACCAAGCGCTTCCCAAGTTGCTGAGACTCATGCGCGAACGGGGAGAGTCCAGCTGACATGCGGGAAAGTGCATCTGGCCCCAGCTCCACCAGATCCATTGCGTACTTGGATTCGCTTACTGTCTTCCAAAATACCCCGCGAAATTCGTCAAAACTTTGGAAATCAAGAGCTACAAGCCTTTCCCCTATATCCCTTGGTACCAACCCAGCATTCTTGTGCGAGCCATACACCAACATCTCAGAATCGAATAAGGGCTTCGTGATCGTTGCCCTTCCAGGCGCTTTTCTTAACTCTGCAGCCGACATTTCGACAATGTTACCAGTGTAGTCTGCGCCTTTTCCCAACTGTAGAAGCAGCTCCGACGACACCTTTTGGCTTTCGATGGCGCCCTCCAAAAAGCTTTTGACAAACTGTGAGGCAAGGCGCAGAGGCTCCAACAGTTTTGTGGCGTGCGAAGCGCCGCTACCACCGTGTTCTGCTGCCGCAGCCATTGCTCGAAAAGCGTAGCCGACATTCTTCACAGTTATTTTGGCTAAGCCTTTCAAAACATCGGGTACTATAATTCCCGCAACGATTAGGCCCATCTCCACGTTGCCTACCGACTCGTTGGTTACGGGATTAACGCGAGTCAACAAAGCAACGATATCCTTCGCCAAGCCTAGGCCAGGCGTTAAATCGAGGGCAATGTAAGCTTCTCCTCTAAGCCGGGTAACGTATTGGCCGTTTAAATTAGGGATACGTTGAACGCTGCATTCGTCGGAAAAGATGAAGCTTTGTAGTTGGGAATTGTAGCGTTCAGCCCTCCAATTTCGGCAAAATCGGACTCTTTTGCGGGCGTTCTCCCTCGAAATTGGGATACAACGTCTTGCTCGATAGCGCTGGAGGAATTTTGAACGTAGGAATCGCTTGATTGTTGATCGAGATGGATAACTGGGTATACGGGCGCTCAGCTCACTAAGGCTTAGTCAAGGCTCACGGCGTGCAAGTAAACAGGTGTATTTGATAGTAGAGTACCTATAGACTTTAGGGGCACCTGAACGAGGCAGTGATTTAAGCGTTTGGTGCTCTCGGAATCGTTTGATTGTAGAGTATATTGTTGAGCGTGCGACGTTGAACTCAGCAGCCATTTTAGTAGGCGATACACCACATTCATGAGCGTATATAATAGCTGCGCGGGCCTCAGGTGAAAGCTCACCCCCTGACCTTCGATTGCCACTTATTTCAGTGCCAAACCGACGCATATTGGTGGTGTAGGGGGTAGTTGAAGAAGATGGGTGAGGGGTGACGCGAAAATCGCGCTAAAAAAATAGCGCGATGTCTTCAAACTTTTGGACCGCCTTTGTATGTTGCTCCAAAATTACAGGAGTTTAGTAGATAGTCATGAGAGAGGCTCAGTGTAAGGATCATTCTAAAAATAAGGAAATCTGTGCCGGCGATGTGCCTTTTTGGCCCAGTGTGCAGAAGCAAGTGTGTCGTCATGCTCGTGGCCTAGCACTTTCTCTCGCCCTTGTAGAGCTTGTCGGAGCACTGTCTTCGCCTCTTTGTACTGCTGCTGTTGATAGAGAGTCTCACCAAGCCAATGTGCAGAAGTAAGTGTGTTTTTATGCTCGTGGCCTAGTACTTTCTCTCGCCCTTGTACAGTTATTCTCGAAATCGCCTTGACCAATGTGCACTGAGAAACTCTTTCCCAGCCCCACCCTCAAGACGTCAGCGCAGATCATTTATTGAGCGGGCAGCATGAAGCTGAGGGGCTCAGTAAAATGCGCCGTGTATGTTACCGTAATATGTGACATAAGATGACATTACGCGTACGAAAAGACACATCACGAAATTCTATGGTGGATCTCAGTAAATCATGTGGGGAAGGCCCTTCGCGCTAAGTAACTCTGAAACTGTTGCAACCGCCTACACTCTTCGAATGATCATCTAGCCCCACGAGTAACCCTGGAATATGAATATTCTTGTAATGATTATTGATGGCCATAACCCCCTGTTCTAGTCTGCCAGAGAAATTTACTTGAACCTTCATTTATATGAGTTCAATTTCTTCTGCACACAATCCTTTAAGGTCAACAAACTCTCCTCGCATGATTCCGTGCACATAAGCAATGTCGATTTTCTTTAAATGATTCTCACTTCCTGTCTTTCGCAACACAGCTGGTGTTGGCATTCCAGCAATGAGCCACACCTCATCACCCTTTCGCACATTTTCGGTTCCCTTGCCTAGAAGGCCTTCTCGTGTACGGAAAAGTACTGGGCGCATTATACTCGACCGTTCTTCCATCATATTACGGAATTTCTCACGGGTAAGGAGTACATCCTTCTGTGGCGTACGCATTTTCGGGAATTCCATAAGCATAGTGAGGTTAGGAAAGAAGTCCATGTCGCTCTCAGCTAGTGTACCGATCGTCCCCTGAAGGTCCGTTAGGATACGGAAGTACGTGTTTAGGTCCATTGCTGCAAGAATCAGAAGACACTCGCCCACCCAAAGTGCGAATATGGGGTGGTATATTTCCAGAGCCGATATTGTTGACAAGTCCGCCTTGATTACTCCCGACGCGAGAGTAAGCCATAATGCCTGGCTTCGTGGTTGGCCATCAAAATACGTTGGTTTAAAAGCGCAAAGAAACTCAAGTATATCTGGTAGTGCCCTGGCGATCCACGAGCCCTCGCACATGCCTTTGTAGATAACAACCCTATCTTCAATAACGTCAACTTTCTGTGCATTGAGTACTAACCCATCGGGTCGTCGCACTATCCAGGGCGAGGAAGGTAGCGATTTCGCTGCATCATTTGAAGGTTTGAATGCGAAGTCTCCATGACTAAGGTTCAGCCCATTGGAATAGTTCGGAACCCAGGATGGGAGCTCTAGTCGAATATTTGCATATCCTTGGAAGCGAGGATCATGATTCTGGAAACATAATAATCGTGGATCTTCTGAGACGAGGAGTCTTGTGAATCTGGTATATGTTTCGGTGGTGGAAACTCGATAGCTCACTTCTAAATTCCGAAGAGGACTTGCATCCGAGACGCCTCTCTTTATCATTCCGAGAACCCCATAAACCAAGTCCTTTGGGTCCGTCGCAGTGGAGTTGGATGAATATAGTAATATACTGAAGAGACTTCCAGGTGACCTTTCCTTCACTCCTTTTCTCAGTGCAAGTATATCCACCATTTTGACGCCAGGAGAATCCATTTTGCCTGCTCGGGATGTTGGGAAGCTAAGGGCGAGAGATGCAGTTTTGATAATTCTGTCGATGCTTACTTTAAACTGACCACAAAGTAGGGAAAAGTGGGTAGCAAGACAAAATTCTTGCAAAATCCACGTTCTCGAGAACCATGAGCGGTCCAAAATCAGCTTCAATGCATTCCAGTGATCATCTGAATCCGCGAGTGGTCCCAGAAACGTTTTCAAAGATCGAGGATTCTCCACTCGGGCGTCAATTGAGGGAATTTTGGCGTTCTCGATAATGGCCATAAAATCCAATGCCAGACGAGTGGTTTCTTCAGCCCTGCCAAGCCATATAACCACAGACTTTGCCTGGGCGTATACATCTCCCATCATTTCAACTTGTACTGCACGCTCATCGAGATTGTCTTGATCGATAGAGAGGGCGTCTATCCAGATGTATTCTTCGAGGAGGTGGCGATGAAATCGTCGTACGTCTCTGAGAAAATCAAAGAGGTTTTGGGTGACAGGGATAGTGCCACTTTCGCAGAATATCTGCATACATCGTTCTGATGTGACGCCCCGATCTGTCGCCTCCTTCCCTGGACTTCCCCAGGTATAGGACAGTGCCATGTAACTTGCCTTAGGATCCAGCTCGACTACTGTCAGGGTGCAGCAAGGCACATCACTGAGCTCTTGGTCAAGTATCTTTAACACACGAATAGCCTTTGAGCTGGGGAGGGATTGGTATTGGTAGCTAGTGAAGGCCTCCGAGGCCATGGCGATAGAAATATCAAAGGGATGGGAACGGATACTATACGATGGGTAGTGGAATGCAACGAGGGCGGGCGCCATTCAAGACGCATTAATGCTGCAACTTCGTTTCACGGATCTAACGTCAGCAGACCCCCAAATATAGACTAGTATCTTGGCGAAAGGGGCAAGGAAAATTGTTCGAAGAGTAACTTACAGTTTCCATGACATTCTATTGTACAGTAGCCTCGTACGATTGTGTAAGGTAATGGAGCAACATACGGTACCGTACGCTGCCCATTTTACGGCGCCCTCAATTTAACGAGGACCGCTCAATGATAGCTCTGCGCTAAGGTCTTGGCGGTGGGGCTAGGAAAGAGTGCTTGAGTGTGTGCTGGTCAAGCCGATTTCGAGAACGTCTGTAGAGCTTGTCGGAGCACAGTCTCCGCCTCTTTGTACTGCTGCTGTCGATAGAGGGAAGTACCAGTCTCGTATATGGAGACCAGTTCCATACTATTCTGCTCTCCAAGCTTTCCTAGGTTGTGCATAACGTGCGGCAATGTAGACCTCGGCAAATAATCTGTCTCCTTTTTTTGCGCCATGTAGACCTGATGTGCCACGTGTACTGAAAGCTCACGCTCTGTTCCATTTGAAGCACTCCATCTTGCGGAGGCCTCAGTAGACTCCAGTGATGCAGACGCTTCCCTGTAAGTCCTCTCTGTATGTTGACCATTTATATGATCTATGGCCAGTCCAAATCGTTCCATTGGCCTCGTTTGTTTCCCTGTTTGGGCCTGACGAATCGAAGCCTTTCAGCCATTGATGTTGTAAGGCCTCACTTGCGGACAATCTACCGGCAGCTATCGTGGTCATCAACCCCTTTGCAAGAAAGTCTTGGCACCATTTGCTGACGTCGCAAGAGACTAAGGCCAATGAGGGGAAACAGCAGCTTCGTATGTATCCCCGTAATTTTCGCTTATCATCGAAGGGGAGTATGGTAGTAATCATGTAGTGTATCAAAACGCCAAGGGACCACATATCCACCTTGTTGGTGTAAATGAAGTCCGACTCGTCATTCTCACGGACCTCAGGTGCGATGAAGCCAGGCGTATATCCGTTCGAAGAGATGTCTGTCCATCATTGACATGTTTGCTGATCCCAAAGTCACCAATCTTGACCCACCAGCTCGGGAATTTCTGAACTACAAATATCTGATAAGCATCTCTCTATGCGAATAGCGTATAGCATCGCCAAGCACTCACCGCGGGCTTTAGATCCCGATGGGCATACCCATTCGCATGCAACTCTTTTAGGCCCTCCAAGAGTTGATGAGTAATTTGCTGGGTCTCCCATTCTGGTAATGGTCGCCCAAGATATGTTTGAAGATCGCCTAGTTGGAAGTATTCCATTGCGATGTACACATGCTTTGCGTCCTCGTACCACCCAAAAGATCTCACAAAGAGCCCATTGTACTGAAGAAGTCAGCAGAATGTCTTAAAGTCAACTTAAAAGGAGAATTGACCGTACCTTCCTCTGAGAAAACTTTGTAATTGTTTCCAACTCTCGTTTGTAATCAATAGTTTGGGAGAAAGGTGTCACTTTTGGTATCTCCTTCACAGCGTGAGACTTTGGTTGACTGTCAGTTGTCAAACATTGCTCCAGCCAAACGCTCCCAAAGCCTCCTTTCCTAAGATGTTTCACTCTTCCCCAAATTTCTTCCTTTCGTTGTCGCCGAACCTTCTGTCTAGCATCCGATTCGAAAACGACATGATGTGTGCGTTCTGCGAAGAACTGAACAGGTAGCTTTGAATCATTTACCAGGTCAGACGCCATTGCTATCATCAAGATGGATTCAGCTAGAAGGGCAATTCACATTGACTGAGTCTCCGTGCAAACAGGACAGGGTGCCAAATGCCTTCATAAATGCGATAAGGACCGCCCCCGCTTCTGATCTGTCAGCTGACCCCAACCGAGGGTGACGCTGCGCACGGCCCCCAGCATCTGGAACCAGAGACCCCGAGTTTGATTCCACGCCGCGTCTCTATTCGGGCTCTTTCGACACGTGTAGAATTCACGTCTATCTGAATATGCAAATTCAGATGGTTTCGTACCCTGTCGTTCGCTAATTTTGATGAAGTTCTTTGGGTGCGGCCAGTCCGGGGTTGCGACGCACCACAACGCATTCAATTGGTCTCCCAACGGATAACGCCGGACACCTCAAGAAGGTATGAATAGATTGTTTCTGGACCATCTCCACCAACGATGGAAAAAGAAATGCTCTTATGCAAACGAGAGGGTAGAAGAGCTGGTGGGCTTCTTAGTAAATTGTTTATCTATAAAAGATAAAACCGAGAGCTGATACAAGAGACTTGAGTGTCCAGCGACATAAGGTCAGAAAACATAGCAAAAGTAAACCCTTAGTCAACTAACTTACCAATGATACAGCGTACAGCTTTCCGGTAATGCTTACAATCTTACGTTGAAGGGCTTTATAAAGTAGTCAAAAACAATTCAACGCTTGAAAGAGGACACAAGCCTGAGCTTAGGGCAACCATTGACGATCTCGATCAAGCCATGACTGCGAAGCTTGACCACATGGAGCGGGCCGTGCGGGAGCTCCTCCAGATCGTATGTTGGCTAAAATAACCCTTTTTAAGCTTTGCGTTAACTTTACAGGAGCTGGTATGGGTTTCCACAAACGAGGCGGCAAGCTTTAAGCGTCTAAGCTGGATCACCGTGAGTCAAACCTTCAAATTATCTATATAATTCATTGAAAATTTTAATCGAAAGTTTATTTTTTTGCCCTTAATGTTCGTTTCAGTAAGTCACAGGAGGTATCTCTCTTAAGACCATGACTGATTAAAAGTTAGAGTCTCTTTGGTATGAACATTGACCTGCTTCAAGACAATCCTGACTGGAGGTGGTATCTTTTATTTGGTCTTCTATCCATTTTTATTACTGGTTTACTTTGGTCGATATCCAAGTGTGCCCCTGTTAGTACGATCATCCTCATCTATACCACCAATGATGCTGACGTCCATGCTTTAGCAAAGGGTGCTCGGAAATTCACTAGAGTGGAGAGCACATTCGTACAAAGGTAACGATACGTTGGGCTCAAGCCCTTCTGTTTGACTCTAAATATACAAGCAAAATATAGAGTACCCGCCGAGAAATCAGAATGAGCGGCTACTGGGCCAGATCCATTTCGTTGGCATTCTCAATTCTTGGACATTAAGGCCTGTTCATAATCAAGGTGAGCCATAGCTCAAGGACCAATTCATACAGCTAGGTGCTTTCTAGAGCTACATTATCAGAAAAGGGATAGATATGCTGTGATTTGAAGATACGTCATTGATACTTGGTTTGATTGCTTCATTTCTTATCAACTTTGGCTGGTTTCTTTCCTTTAGCTTCCTTGACTTTGACTTTCTTCTCGGCTTTGACTTTCACCTTGACTTTGACATTCTGCTTGACTTTGACTTTCTCCTTTGCTTTGACATTGTTCTTGACTTTGACTTCCTTCTCGGTTTTGACATTCTCTTTGGCTTTGACATTGTCCTTGACCTTGACTTTCTTTTTGGCCTTGGCTTTCTTCTCGACTTTAGCTTTCTTTTTGACCGGTTTTGTCTTTGGATTCTCCTGGGTCTTTTAGCTTTGTTTATTCCATGAAGTTCCTAGTGGTCTTTCCTTTGTAGATAAACTAGAGAGGCATTTAGATAAAACGCCCCACCCCCATTTTCGCATACAATTCGCAAGCCAGAACAAAATAAAAGAAGCTTTAATGGAAAGCCAGGTGGTTACTTTCGAAAGAGGGTTAAAGGGTACATACCGTCCCCAATTAATAGAGAGATTCTACTGCAAGAGGGATGTCTGGTTTCAAGGATAGCGAATGAGGCGTCAGTAAACCCATTATTGCTTACCTTTCTGATGTGCGACAGTTTTGATATAATGGGACAATTTGACGGGCCATCTTGCAAGCCCATCATGTTCTTGAGTCGAAGCTTCTCTTCACGTTGGCCCGTGACCCTCCAATTTCTAGATCTGAGCTGCAACCCAAATTGTTGGACCCAGGTCGACTCGTTATCTTCTGGCCATAGCTGGTAAGAGAAGTCCTCCGCCTTTTTGATCATCGGATGTACCACATCAATATGGCACACTGAGTCTTGCCCGAAAGCCCCCGTAACGATAGGTTCCTCTATTACTTGGTAATAAGTAAATCCCGATGGATGGAATCGGGATGGGGGAGGAGGCGTTAAGAGTGTAACACTTTCGCCTCTAGCAATATGCCAAGCAAAAATAGCGGAGGCACCATGTACGTATTGACTCCACGCATGCGCATGTTTTTTGAGTTTGAGACAGAGCGGATGCTCGGGCATCATCAATGGACCCATGGCCGTGGTCAAAGTCTGCATTTTATGCTCATCGGCCCATTTTTGAGCATCTTCACGCAGCATACCACTCCACAGTACCTGACGATTATCACGCCAATTTTCAGATCCAAATTGTTGAATAATCTGGGTTGCTTCCTCGATGGTCAAGTAGTATCGAAAAACCTTCACCACTGATGCTTGCGCTGAACTCTCATCGGAGAGCCACTTAGTAAGATCTCCTTCAGTTTCCATCAGCTTTTGAAAATGTTCGATTCGTTCACTGGTTAGAGGAATATCTTTTTTGACATTCAGCCTTAAGTTAATCATTTCGATGCTAAAACTTGGGAGCGGCGAACAACATGACTTTTATAAGTAAGTGGCGTAGGCGCAAAGAGCTACTAAGCTTCAATGTTGGCATTTGCCACCGCGTTGTAAGAGAGGGTCGAGTCGGCTCTTTCCTCTGATTTACGCAATGGCTTACTAAGATAAGCCCTTGCAATAAATACATCAAGAACATAGCTAACGAACAGTTGTGTCGCATTATTGACGTCATGAAAGAAGGTACTACGTCAAGACATTTATTGAATATTCGGATTCTGGTTCGCTGTAGCTTGACCTCAAACACTGCAACAGTATTCAAATAAAAGTTGCCTCTTTCTAGCAGTATTACCTTTCACCCCCGTCCACGATACCCAGGGCGATGCTAAGCGCCGCAAGCCTTCCCGAGCAAGACGCTCACTGTATTGTCTTTGTTATTTACAGCCACAATATCAAGATAGCCGTCTCCATTGAGGTCGCCCACAGCAACGCTACGCGGCGCGGACCCGACTGCGAAAATGGCGTACGGCTGGAAGCTCCCGGATCCAGTCCCCAGCAAGACACTCACTGAATTGTCGCCATTATCCGTAGCCACGATATCGAGATGACCATCTCTGTTGAAGTCGCCCACTGCAACGCCGTACGGAGCTGGCCCTACGGGGAATGTGGCCTGCGCCTGGAAGCTCCCCGATCCAGTTCCGAGCAAGACACTCACTGAATTATCGCGATTATTGGTAGCCATGATATCAAGGTGACTATCACCGTTGAAATCACCAACTGCGACATCAACGGGCTGGGAACCCACGGGGAACGTGACCTGCAGCTGGAAGGTTCCCGATCCATCTCCGAGCAAGACGCTCACTGTATTGTCGGACTCATTCGAAGTTACAATATCGAGATAGCCATCTCCATTGAAGTCGCCCACCGCAACGGCGATCGGCGCGGCCCCCACGGGGAATGTGACCTGCAGCTGGAAGCTTCCCGATCCATCTCCGAGCAAGACGCTCACTGTATTGTCGTATAGATTCGCAGTCACAATATCGAGGTGGCCATCTCCGTTGAGGTCGGCCACTGCAACTGCGAACGGCCCGGGGCCCACGGGGAATTTTGCCTGCGGCTGGAAGTCCCCCGATCCATTCCCGAGCAAGACGCTCACTGTATAGTCATTCCCATTCGCAGTCACAATATCGAGATAGCCATCTCCATTGAAGTCGCCCACTGCAACATCAGCGGGCCCGGCGAAAGCGGACGCCACAGGAAATGTAGCCTGCGGCTGGAAGGTTCCCGATCCAGTGCCGAGCAAGACGCTCACTGTATTGTCGTTCCCATTCACCGTCACAATATCGAGGTGGCCATCTCCGTTGAAGTCGCCCACTGCAACACCAACCGGCCTAGGTCCCACAGGGAATGTGGCCTGCGGCTGGAAACCTTGGAAACTTGTGCATATGCAGGCGCCTGATGAACAAACTGATCCAGCAGGGCACTATAGCAGCGTGAGAATCATTTGTTAGCGCTAACATTGAAACAGTAGCAATACTTCTGGAAATATCAAGATTAGGCCGAACTCACAGTGTTCCCACAAGTGCCACAGTTGCTGGGAGTGTTCTGGAGGTTGGTGCAGGCCCCATTGCAACAGGTCAGGCCAGACGCGCACTATCGAGCACCGGTTAGTCGTCGTCATAAAATGTAGTCTCGGCTGTCTTACACATTGCCCGTTACAAGAAGAAGACGGAGGATCACAATCTGGCGGGTTTGGGACACAGACGCAGCTTCTATTTCACATCAGCTTTCAGATAGCTCTGCAATCACTAGACGGTCGAGAAGGAGACTAACGGTGTAGTTTGTCCAAGGATAAGGCCGAGTAAACTGGGAGACCCACTCCCGTTATCGCAGTAGCCGGACTGGTCGCCCAATTTCCGACACTAAAATAAACCATTATATTAGTATTAGCGGCCTCATTTGCATATCCACGAATCGTACCTCGGCGTCACAGGCGGCCGGGTCGCAACCACCCCCACCCGCTCCACCCCCAACCCCAACCCCAATATCCCCAATGTCACCACCCCCAGTGTCAATGGCAATCCCACCACCATCTCCATTGCCAATATTATTACCCCCGTGGGAAACCTTACCTCCAACCCTAGGCCCACCCCACTTTTCTAGAGCATCTTCTCCAGTGAGGGCAGTGACAAAAGCACAGCACGACAGGGTAAGAAGAGCGAAACGCATTTTTGCAAAGGCGTTTTCTCCAAACGATCAATATTTACTAGGAAAATAATTCGGTTTGAACCCGTCGTATTGCTCGTGGTAAAGAAGAACAAGGTGTCCAACCCTTTCAGCGGAAGGGGTTTAAGTAGTGTGCTCATAGTCATTCATTTACTGTCTAACTTTTGTTATTATCATTAAAATTGTTAGATATGTTCCCTGGAATGTGAATAACTTAATTCTTTTAGATGTCCAGGGTTTATGGTATGCACATAAATCCCGGCAAAACTTTCCGGCAACCAGAATAGAGTTATGTGGGATCTGATTGGTCGCCCGTGCGTGCTCCCGGCCTGGCTATTGTGTCTAGGGAACACCTTATCCCCATCAAATCTTGAGAATTCGTGTTTTTGCACCTGCATTCCCAACCCCTCATCCAATTGTTATCGAGTGTGACAGAGACGATGTGCAAATTAGGAAGAGGCGGCGAATTTTATTCTACTCCTAAACAAAAACCATTTGTGCTGTGGCAGCCGAATCTGGCCACCTTTGTCGCCGAAAATGGCGGTCTCGGCACCACTCCCTCCAAACACGCACCCGTCTCGCCATGGCCACGCACTTTCCCCCAGTTCCCCTGTAACGGGCGGCGTCACGCGTTGGCCCCTTTGGCGTACCGTCTGATTGTGCCCCCTGGTGCCTGGGCAGCAAAAGACCTTCTAGATTCCATGCGCTTCCGCTCACTTTCGGACTGAGCAATCTTTCCCCGCCTCAACGCGCTGCGGCGCTCCCCTGTCCTCGGCGGCGCCAAGAATGGCGACAATTGATTTCAGCTTTCGCTGGCATTTAAAAGCGCCAACTACTCTCGCCCTGGTCGCTGTAGGACACTGTCTTCTTTTGCTATCCAGGTGACCAGGTCGGTCAACCTTACGTTTCTCTTTTACGACCTTGGTCCGCCCATCCAACGACCCGCCCTCGCGATTATAACTAATCGTCTTCGTTCGGCGTAAACCACCTACCTGTCTCTGCCTACCAACTCACCGATCCGATCATGTCTTCGACTGGCGCTGACCTTGAGATGTCTGACCAGTCGATAGGCAATGAAAGCGATACCTCCGGAGGGTCTTTCCGGCCAGATTGCGACGGCGAAGAATCAGATGACGGCCAACTTCGCGGCTCGACAGCCCAGACTTCGCCAGAAATTCCTCCGCTTCCCGATCGCCGCGAGAAGTCTTCACGCATCCCCAAAGCCTCGGTAAGGGACCGTGTCTGCCCCTTGATTTCAGCGACGACCCCGACGATGACACAGATGAGGATATCGCAAATGTTCCTCTGGACTACGGGCGTTCCGATCAAACCTTGGTCCGTCGGGCCCGGATCGAGCAACGCTGGCACAAGTAAGCGGACGCTCTCAGACTTGCATTTTGCAACCTGCTAACATGACCAGGTACTGTGGAGTAAAGGCTGGAGGCTCTGATGCACTTCCAAAATGGAGCGATGCGGAGGAGGCTCTTCGTCAAGTCACCTCCAACGATGTCCATCGATTCCTCAACTACTGCATGAAGCTCAAGTACGGTGTAGGTGGCAGACACCTAAAAGGCACAAATAAAGCGAGCGCCCTTAAAGCAGACTGGAAGGGGTTTCAAGGTTACTATTGGAGAATCACCCGCGCCAAGCTCAGCCCTGAGGATAGAGAAGAGATCAATGCCGTCAGTTATCCATACCCACCAAACGCAGGGAGCGCTAATAAGGATTCCAGGGGATTCGCAAACTGATCGACAAGTTCGAGCTAGATGACCAAGAGCGAGGCAAGGAGCCAGTCTATGTCCAAGACTTGACCGAATTGAATGAGACCATTCTCCGAACACAGGAAAGGCGATTCAACTTCGGATATGAGCGTATCCAGATGTGTCTTTTCAGCATGATTGGCATATTCACGGTGAATCGACTGAGTGCTCTGCTGTCCTTACAATTCAAGCATCTCCAGTTCTCTATACAAAAGGATCCTCAGGGTGGCCCTCCCGTGCTTCTGGCGGAGGTCAGGTCAGAGCATACGAAGCAATTCTTCGGGTCTGAAGCTATGTGAGTAACTACTATTCCTTGATGCTAAAGGGCCTGATGATTGATTTTTCTAAGTAACACCTTTCCGTTCCCCGAAATTATTGACGATCCGTCGCTTATCTTCAGCCCCCACGTTTTCCTCTTTGGTATACTTTTCTGGCTGCAGGCTTTTGAATCCCCGGCCCTTTCCTCTATGGAAAAACTCCGAAGTCTATTTGTTGAAGGTGGTCGCCAGCAGATGCCACTCCCCTTGAAACCTGAGGTAGAGGAATATTATGTATTTTGCAAAACTGAAGTGGTCAACGGGCACCCGGTTCTTCTGTGGGATCAACCTATGCTCGGTGGCACAATGTCTGTTCGACTGAAGAATCTCGGGGAGATTCATGGTTGGCTTCAGTCGATGTTTGCGCACCGCATGCGCTATGGAGGTGGAAAAATGTTGAACAATAGTGATGCGGTCAGCGAAGCTCAGCAAAATTTGATCATGAAACACGCAGATTCTCGCACATTCCTCAACCATTACCTTCCGCGACATGTTGACACGGACATGCAAAATGTGATGAACGGCCGGCAATCCAACAAACCACTCATGCGTGCAATCACCCGCATGAGCAGGTGGATTGATACCAGACGGCCTCGACGCCTGACTCCTGAGCAACGAGCGTCGATCCGTGAACATCCAGAGTATGTCGAAGTGGTCCGGCGATTGGATGAGCAAGCTGAAATCTGCATCTATGATCCGAGTGAACAGATGCAATTGCGACGTGACAAACTAACACGCGAAAAGCTCAACACTTTTGGTCGGCTAGAGAGGGCATTGAGAAAGAAAGTTCGAATGGAGTTTGATCGGAAACAGGCGAATATAGACATTGAGCGACAGCTCTCCGGAGCGGCTATCGACAACGAGGAAGCGAGAAACGTGTTGCGAACAGACAGTATGCTGCCAGAGCAGATTGATCTTCTCGAAAAATTGTTGACCTGGCCGACTTCCCATTCACTGGAGGCAGAATGGCAGAGACGAAATGCTGCTGTCGCTGTTATCTCGCAATATTGTTGTCACCTTGAAGGCGGGCCACTGCGTGGACGACGTAAACGGCCGGCTCCAAGCGATGGCAGAGCAAACAACAAAGACACTCGTCATTCCTCCTGAAATTTCGAAGGAAGAGTTGCTTCTGGAGAGGGCTGGAAACCATATCCGGAAGGCTAAAGACCTCGACGATGTTTCCAGTGTTATGGCGATACCCGGTTGTCTGTTCATCGTCGAACACAAAAGTATAGCGAATACAAATCAACTTTGCGACACTTTCGAGGAAAGCACTTGGAGGATCGGAGATGTCATATGTGTAGCGAGGATCTCCTACACGAAATGCATCTTCGCAGGCATGCAGAAGATGTTCATCGTCTTGCTACCGAACGCAATTACTACGCAAAAGAAGAGTCAGGTTCGGACATTGATACGGACTGATGCGTTCAATCTGTTCAGCTCAGACAACATGATGTGGGTGAGTTTAGATAAATCAAGGAAAGAGATTGTCGTCGAAAACTAACTGAAAGCTGTAAATATCGTACAACTACAATAGCTGGATAGCGACACCTCTAGACACCCTTGATGGTGTAGTGAAACAAGTTTGCACAACCGTACCTACTGTACCTACGTAATATTACAAGCACATTGGTGCACAGTAAAGTCGCTGACAATGTTTTAGACGTAGAGCTGGTAATCACCGCGAACATGTCGAACGTTTTGCGTGGGCATCAGGGCATCAGGTCTGAGCCTTCTTCACACCGTGGAATATACGCGAAAGTAAGGGCCTGTGGTACAGTTTCCTTCCCAGCCGATTCAACCACGGTTGCATCCTCCATAGCCTGCCTGCCTCCATAACCACCTAGTGGAAGGACAACACGGGCAGCATCGCCGATCACCATCAGTTTGTCGATTCGATGATGGGAGAGCCCAGTGGGCAGTGGTTCCTTACATTGTAGAACTGGCCAGATCTCTTGACCGCCGCGGCACATTTGGAAGAGTGCAACAGAGTGGGCCTTCTTATCTTAATTTGGATGAATCTGGAGGTATGTGCGAAGTATGCAGGATCTTCATAATAGTTGCGTGGCCGATGCCTGGCATGGGTAGATGTAACGCAACATGAACTGCACTTGATCAGCTTGGGGGGGGGGGGGCGGAAACTATCGTAGAGTCTTCTGAGAATCAAGAATTGATAAGAGGAAGCTCTTCAAAGCCATAGACGCCAGGTAGAAGAAATGAGTCACATTTCAGAAAGCGATTGCTCCAAAACAACATACCTGAGGTCCTCGGACACGAACTGCATGGAATAGTGCCATCAGCGGTGAAGGTCGCCGTGTGACTCGCCATATTTGAAGTGTAACTTGGTTCCACCTCAATCCTAACATTCTTGTGCTAATGCACTGTATGCAGCCAGGTATTGTTTTCATTGAAACTGATATTGCAGTGTTCGCCGACATGCCACGTCATAGTACAGAAAAAGAAAATTTAAATTGGGCAGGAGTACATTTGAGTACCCAGTGAGTGTGGCACATCTCCTTGATCAACTTCTCTAAGGGGAAGAGAAATCAGAGGATTAGACGATCCCACGTCCGATTGTTGAGAATATGACCTCTGTGGCTCAGATAATGGTTGACTGGTCGATGCGTATCCTCATCATTATCACCAGGATTGATGTCCATCCGAATGTACCACCTAGAACGAGAGATTGGGTTGAAAAATGAATATGGCCTTGGAGGAAGATGATGTTATATGCCAAGGTCGTCGCACTGGGAGCACTGTGTAGGCACAAGGCGAATAGATTCCTGGTTGGTAACCATTTACCAACCAACTAGCTATGACTTATCGTCCAAAGCTCCTGGAATAAAAGAAGCTCATAATGCTTGCAATAATGGCAGAAAATAAAACCACAACAAGTACTGAAACACAAATTTTTTATCGTTTTCTAGAAATGGGGTTTTAAATGGTTTTAAATGATCTGCTACAGTCATCACTCTTTGCATCCATCACTTTCTTTTGCTTAGAGTTCTTAGAGGTTGCCATAAACCGTAAAAAGTGTCTTCCAATGCACTCAAGGAGTACAGTGAACTTTCAGAAGAGCCAGCCGTCATTGATAAAGAATTACCTGGTTAATCCGTGTAATGTGATTACCACTGCCTTTAACGCAGGCAGCTCTTTTCGCGCATACAATGTAACACAGAAGAACTGTACTAAAAAATGCAAGGGCGCCAAACTATTTCGGCGGAAGGGGGGGTGCCAATTATCCGGAGGGGAAGAGATTGTAACATTGCTAGCGATAAATACGGTCCCCAGGCGCAGAAGCTAGCTCTCTGTGACGGCTACTTCGCGCGGCCGGCTTCTAGTATCGTTCGATAATAACTTACAGAAATGTCATTGATATCCCCTCTTGCCGCAGTATTATCTGCCATGGCGATTGTACTGGGTCTCCTCTTCTTCCCCAACATGACGCCGCAGCCCACCTTACACCCACGGGTTGGTTGGAGAAAAGAGAACGCGTCGACGTTGCGCGCTGCACTGCGCTCATGCTACAAGTTGAACGATTGGGCACTTGAGGGTTACAATGCAGTAAAGAGCCGCGCCCCCAGTGATATTACGACGCTCACCAGCTAATCCACAAATTCTATAGTATGCTAAATTGAATATTCCCTACGTACTCCCCAGCTTTGATCGGGGGCCAATTACGATTATTCCAGCGCGCCTGATGAGAAGGCTATACACCCTGCCGGACACTGACTTGGACATACGGATGACCCAGCAGGAAACCAACCAGACGAGATGGGTTGCCTGGGACAAGAAGCCCGCCGAGGATACGTTTGTGTGGGATGTGCTGCGCAAGCAGATTACCCGGAATCTGAGACAACTTACACCAATTGTCGCATCTGAAATTGAGCTAAGCTTTAATCGCTGGTGGGGGACGGACAAGGAGTGGAAGTCGATCGACATCTGGGATTCCTGCTGGAAAATAGTGACTGGTGGAATCAACACTACACTTTGTGGTAGCCCGCTTTGTGTGTTTCTCTTCTCCAAGCAAAGAAATCTTCTGACATTCTCTCCAGGCCGCGATGCGGAGTTCTTGCAGAGCTGTCAGAACCATTCGCTGGTTCTTGTGGCGGGCGCGATGGCGATCAACGGTGCCCCGAGACTGCTGCAGCCTATTATAGGGGGGCCTCGTCTGGTTTGTGTGCGCTATTCTCTTCAACACAACCATGAAGAGGTCTAAAGCAGTGGTGCAAGAGAGACTGGAGAAGACTGCGATGTTACGTGCTGAACCGACCTACGACTGGAAACCTCCGGTAAGATACCCGGCTCAGTCGTTGTTTGCTGTTAGACTAACTTTTCTCGATGCAGCAAGATGCCATTCAGTGGATTATCGATGACTTGTATGCCTCGGATAATCTGACGCAGTTGAATGCAAAGACCATCTGCTTCCGCCTGCTTCTCCTGAACGATGTCTCCATACCTTCAACCTCATTTTCAGTGCAGACATTGCTGCTCAACTTGTTTGCCGCTGATCCTGCCCTTGGCTTCCTCGAAGCATTGCGCGAAGAGTGCCAAACCGTGTACACAGAGTCAGGCGGAGTATGGACCTATGATGCGCTCAAAAAGTTGAAAATCACCGAGTCTGCAATTCGAGAGTCTTTGAGGCTGTCACCGGTTGGGGGGATTGGCTTACATCGAACTGTAATTTCAACTCCTTTTACCTATCCCTGCATTCCGCCAATTTGTCTCGAGCCAATTCTTTGCGATGAAATGCTGCGTTCTAGGCTAATAGAGAACAAACTCCAGGTCGTCAACCCTAAAGGCATATCACTCCCCGACTACCGACTGAACCTCCCCCACGGGACAGTCATTGCTTCCCCGATAGAACCAATCCACTACGACGATGACATCTACCCGCACGCCAATGAATACAACGCATTTCGCTTCGCCGATCCCGAGGCAGTCCGAGCGATATTGGACAAATTGTCGTCGGAGCCGAATAGCAACATCAGCACTGGAGGGCCACGCGACAGAGAGTCCAAGAGTGCAGCCAGCACAGCCAACATTGATGAAGCCTTCCTTGCATTTGGCATTGGAAAGCATATATGTCCGGGGCGATTCTTTGTGATGGTTGAAATGAAACTCATCTTAGCTATTATTCTGGTCCATTATGATGTCAAGCCGGTGAAGGTTAAGCCAAAGCTAGTAGATTGTTTATGGCTTAAGGTTCCTTGGAATAGTGGGACGTTGGTTGTACGGAGACGGTCTAATTAATAATATAGCAGTGAGCAGAGTAGCTTGCTGCTTATAGACTTATATTGTCACTTATATTGGTGTATGCAATTCTTTATAATAATGCTGAATAGGCCAAAGCTCACAGACAGCCATCCCACCCGCCCGTAACTTCCGAATATGCTATGAATATGCTTTGAATATGGTCTGAATATGGTACTCACACCATATTCGCCAAACACAATATTTTTTCCAAAACAGTCTACCTAGGTATATACGAAGTTAACACGGTATTCAGTAAGATATCATATTCGGCGAATGTAGTATGAATACCATATTCAGAGCATATTTATAGCATATTTACAGCATATTTACTATATTAGAATTACGCTTATACAATCTATTTTAGAAGCCTTTTAAATCACTGTTATATTAATTCTGAGTAAATTCCTAGGATAATCTAGACGTGTCCACTGGCAGATCAAAACAACGTGTAGTGGCAGGTCAAATCAACGCGTGGTAGTGTAGCAGGTCAAATCAATGTGTAGTGGCAGGTCAAAGCACTAAGTAAGTAAGTATAGTGCCCAGGTGGCAGATCAAAATAATCAACCTTACAATTGTATTATCTAAGTCAACGCGCCCACGGGCGTGAGCACCTGCCAGTAGACACTAACAGATCAACCTTGGAACGCGTAGACGCTTTACTATTGAATACGCTTTAAATATAGTATTCGACCAATATGGTATTCGTCCAATATGCTGTGAATATACTATAAATGTGGCCTGAATATGCTCTCAAGGTATTTTTGTGTCGAATACCTAGGTATGCTTCGAATATGTTTTTCTCGGCAATGGTGCCTGAGGCAATATTTGAATACGTTCTGAATTTGGTCTGAATCATTGGAGGATTTGGGTGAATATGCTCTGAATATGGTAAGTGCCCCTAATACCATATTCAGAGCATATTCGGAAGTTACGGGTGGACGGGATGGAGCCCTGAGACTAAAACATCAAATGTCAATTACAGCTCTTGCGCGGTGCTCAAACAACTAGCTGACTATGTATGTACTACTCCCAATTCATATTTCGGAACAGCGATAATGACTGACTGCATGTTCAAGTCATAGGGGAAAATATTCAGAATCTTCAACCCCGCTGCATCAAGCAAGTTATGCCACTCAGTCAAGGTCCGCTCTGCCCCTGCCAAAGCAGCTGTCATGAGAATGCTCTGACACGCTGCCTGCCAGGGAACATCACGGTCCGGAATAACAGCCTCGTCAATTATAAGGCGAGACTCAGGGCCCATAGCAGTGATAATCACCTTCAATGCTTCCACACATCTCTCATCCTGCCAGAGATGCATAACATACCGCAAATAATAGAATTTCGCACCCCGGATCGGCTGCGGTGTGAAGCAGTCGTATTCCATAAACTCAATGCCAGCGGGTGCCTTTGCACCCACATGAATTAGAGTCTCTGCAATCTCCTGCACGATGACCCGGCCTTTGACGTGCGGGAGCTTCTTCCTGAAAGCGACGGACTGGGCTCCTGTGCCACCGCCCACGTCCACCAAGAGCACCTTTTCCACATGTGGATCATTGCTAAATGAGCCGATTTCGGCTTCAATGGGGAATGCGTCAACCCACTCACAGTTCGGCCGTAGGGCAAGGAACTGGAAGAGATTCCCATAATGCTCGGGGTGCCCAGTCATCCATTCGAACCCGCCGAGCTCCGTGTTGAATGCTCTCTGGAAAACGGTGTCATGGGTAGATGTGATAGCAGGGTTGTTTCGCTCGCTCAGGAATCCCGGGATGGCAGAGGCAATTGGCCTGAGAATATCGAAGCTAGCGTGAAGATCAGTATTGTACATTCATTCCTGATTATATTTCCTATTCTTACATGTAGGTCACTGCGCCGGAGGTATTTGGTCCAGCTAGGAGTGTGGTAAACCGGTTTGCTGCAAATCCTTTGGCGCCCTCTTCCTTTATCATGCCGAACGATGCTTGGCCGCGTAAGATGCGCTCTAAGCCAGACAACTCCGTCAGTAGCCATTCAAACCACTGGCAGCAGGATGATAATAAAGAAAGCAAATAGGACACTCTACCTAGCAAATATGGTGCCACTCCAGTCTTCTCGATAAGCTCGGGCAGGGTGTGAGAGCGTTCATTCAGAGCATGGAAAATGCCTTGGTCGACGCCTACTTTCACCAAAGCCAACCGGAGAGGCTGTTGAATTTCTCACATAGTTAGAGGTTTTATTCTCTTTCCATACTTTGAAGTGGCGAGGGTGTGGGGACAACATGACTTGCATCTGACTCACCCCGGCTGCCAGCTTCAGGATTTTCTCCCAGTCTGTGTCAAAGGACGCTAGAAGAACACTTAGCTCGTGGTTGATCTTTCCACGGCCCGCCTCGTCCGTGTTAGCGTGCAGCTTTTGGATTTCCTGAGCAATAGCTTCCATCTTCAAACTTGGTGACAAGCGGAGTCTTCAAGCATGCGCTCTGCGATGTTGAAAAGGTAGCGGTGATGAGGGCAGGTGTTATCTTCGGCTTAAGAACAATTGTCTACACTGTAGACAGGGTGGTGATCGTCCAGCGACAGCACTACCCGGTTACTTATTTTTCAACGTGTTTGTTCCTGTGCTTTTGGCATTCGTCAACAGTCTAGGTGATTTTGCATTTCCCTGCTTTTTGATTAGTCCCACCTGCGCCACTAAGGTAGGGGATTAGTATATTGCATTCACACATACCTATTGTGTGTTGTGCTACTACACTAGTGTCGGTGTCATAATGCGGAGGGTAGGGTCGCATACTGACGACCCTCACCGCTGGAGGATCACCCGCCAAGCGACCCTTCACATATGACCCGTATATGCGCTTTCCCTAATTGAGATGGATAAATCTGCTGACAAAGATTCATAAATTCCTGTACTGTAACTATGTATCTGATACCTGTTTTGTATGTGACGGTATGTCTGAAACTACATAATCCGAATTGAATATCGAAAAATGCGTTTACACTACGAGGGGCAATCGCTGCCAACTTCGCCATATCGCAATTTTATTCTAAGTACCCTCACCGCTACTACCTAGGTAATGGTGCCCTCCTGTCGGCCAATTATATCCACTGCATCTTCATCACATATAATTACTATACTTCCATATATACTGCAATTACTATGCCCTCATACCTAGGTACAGCCCTGAACTTAAAGGACGCAATTAGTAGAACAGTCAAATCTATCTAGGTATAATGGCTAACTTAAAGGCGCAGTAGCTCTGATGAATAAAAAAAAATAGAACATGTGGACTACTAGTAATTCTGAGTCCGAGTCGGAGCTATTATATATATCTACTACTGGTATAGATCTAACTTGAACCTTCTACGTGTTTAAGTTAATGTGAAACTTGAAGATTACACTAGTGTAACTTAACATGAACTTCAAGTTGAACTTCCAAAGTTGATAATATACTAATCTTAGAACCTTGGAATATGAAGGTTTGAATCTTATAACTTAAAGCTCTACTATACTGTAGTGACTTACTCTAGGGCTAAGACTCGGAGTCTTATTGTAGTAGACCTCAGGAGTACCTAGGTATACTTTCAAGTTCTAAGGTTTACTATATCCATGGATCGTCTTGAAGACGTCGTAAACAGATATCAAGCGCGCGGCCCCGTGGATTATGTATAGTTAGTATACGCGAGCGAGAAGGGTATGTATTACTTCCTATAATAGGATATCAGAGAGTTGTAGAGAGGAGAGTTTGAAGTTTGAAATCGATGGAGATGGCTAATTCTGCCTAGCAGAAAACTTGATTACTAACAAAAATTGTGGATATGGCGAGGTTGGCAGCGATCGCCCCCCGTAGTGTTGGCCTAAACCGCGTTGGTCCTAGTGCAAGATTCCTCAAATAGGCGCGGATCACTACAAACAGATTCAACAACCTCCAACCTTCAACGGGACATTCGACTTCAGCTCAATTTGATTCTCCAGATGTTTCATACGGACGGTATTCAGCCCCGTCACATTAGAAATCACGGGCCTGGTACTGCGCCACCCAATCATCTTCTGCGCCAGAGGAGTCATGCTCTCAACAATAGGGCGCGGCACGGTCACATTTGTCTCATATGGCGCTAGCTGGCAGGTGCCCATACAGGTCAACAAAAGCCGCCGGTGATCCTGGTTGTCTGCATCGTGCGCGGCCCCACCATGCTTTGTGCTGCGATACATAACCAGTGCGTCTCCTGGTTGCAGGGCGGCACGCACCGCCTGATCATCCTTTGCTTTTTGTCCCTGTGGCCAGCGGTGACTGCCCAGGATGACCCGTGTGGCGCCGTTGGACTCAGTGAATTCTGTCACCGCCGTGATGATGCTGAAGACGGGAGCTGGTGCGTCGGGCCTAAGATACTGCAGGATGGGATGTGTACCATGGTCGTTGTGGATTTGCTGCGTCGGGTTGCCTGGCATCATCTCCATCGCCATTCCGTTCAACAACCAATAGTCACCGTGGGGCTCGAAGGCAACATTGCAGAGACTGTGAAGGATATCATTGTTGAGAATCTCATGTCGAAAGGTCGGGCAGGTGGCCGTGAGATCGTTCATCCATTTGGTTGTGGTAGGGACCGGCATCTGATAGAATTCTTGATTCATCTCGCCGCCCTCGGTCGCTTTGGAACGAACGTCCAACTCGCAATCAAATTTTTGAATGACTTCGCGGGGAAGAAACTCCTCAATAATGACTGCCCCGTCTTCTTCCACCACTTGCCACAAAACTTTTGGGTCGTGGTCGCGGGTGAACCGCTGAATTTGAGGCTTCATGACGTTTTCGGTGAGAGTCATGATGCTTAAGGGCTATTTCAAGCTGCAAAACGGTAACTAGAGCCCGGAAGCGACGAAAAATGGATGTAGACTTTCGCTGAAAAGGCTAGAATTTTGATGGCTGGGTGTACCTTTCTATACTAGGAGTGGCTATATCACTCGGGAATGACGCTGCCAATGAAGCATGGTCTTGCTTGAAATACCCACACTTTCCTGAAGCATGCTGGACTGGCGGTCAGGGTGACTGTTTGGCTCTCGAAACTCACGCATATCTGCTTCAAGATACCTACATCCTCCTGGCACAGGCTGGAATGGCGGTAAGCGTGACTCTTCAGCTCCCGTCTACTTATTGGTGTCATGTGGCCGATCTTGAGGTCTCATTGTAGCGACCGTGCATAGATACTGCATAGCGTTGTACCTGTCCTATGCACGCTGGCCGATAGTCTAGATACGATCTTACCATGCGTCCTTCACTGGTAGCACAGCAGAAATAGAAACCAGGAAAGTTCACGCTACTCCAGACAGCAGAGGAATGAATTTTCTGGCTACCCACAAATGGGCCGAACGTAACCTATCCACAAGCCATCTGCCATCACGAATCAGCCACCCTCACGGAAACCATGAAGTGACGACGATAACTACAATTTCGCAACTCACCAGCAACAATTTATTTGGGAGCCTTCATATGATCGTATTGTCTCACTCACTCACTCTCTCCATACCTTCCTTTCCGTATATAATGTTCTAAGCTTTGAGATCGATCATATCATAGGTCGTGAGACTACGTAAATACCTAGATATGTGTTGGGCAACGATGCCAGTGCAGGTTTTGGTAAAACAGTGTAATATTTATCGACTTACAAATGAGCCGTGGTAGTAGTAACAAATTCTAATCGAAACGTACCTAATGAACGGATACCCACAAAGATTGAAGTTGGTTGGAAACATCGATGGATCAACTGAAGGTTTTAAACCTATGAAGTTGTAAATCTACGCATGAATCCGAGCATTACATAGAAAAGTCATCATTGACCGGCGAAACATGCTTTGAAAGGTACATGAAGATAGATACTGCGGACGGAAACCCCCTTTGGATTCTTATTCCGTCAAGGGCATTGCCTCGGCAAGAATCTTCTGCTCATCCTTCTCAACTGCGTCCCACTCGTTCTCGACAATCTGCCTCCGCTCCGAACTTCGAATGACAACTGAAGCTTTGAAGGAAGGAACCTGATTGAAAGCCGATCCGCCCCCACGTGGCTGCATCAGCTCATCGAGGTCCAACTCAACCTTTTTGCCGTTTTCGTAAGCATTGCCGAAATTGAAGGCCCAGAACAGACGAGCGGTGTTGATGAACAGGTGATCACGAGCCAGATGTTGTCCGGGGCAGCCACGCAGCCCGAAACCGAAAATGACGTGGGGCAGATCTGGATTGTCAATCCATCGCTGAGGCCGGAAGGTAAAGGGATTCTCGTATACATTCTCGTCGTGGTCCATAGCCCATTGGTTGAGAACAAGTGTAGCACCCTCGGGTATGAAGTATCCCTTGTATTCGATATCTCGGCTCACGGCACGTGGGGCCCCCCAGAGGCGAGAAAGCGTGCCATCGCAGAGCCTCATATATGAAGGCCTGGACAAATGGGATCCGGTCCTTGTGCTCCCAGCCGGGGAGATTGTCCTTCCCCACGACCAGGTCAATTTCCTTTTGCAGCCGGGCCATTTCTTCAGGATGACAGATAGCGGCCAGCAGGATGATTCGCAGAATCTCGTATGGAGTTAGGGAGGCCTGATAGGTGGAGCCAATACAGAACGACAACTCTAGCTCTCCCATACCATGAGCCTCAGGCCTTTTCGAGTATTCTTTGGCCCAGTTCCACGCCGGTGTGCTCAGCCCGTCTCTTAAGCGACGCACGTAGATATTTGCCAGCCGCTCGCCCACGTCATCGAGCTGTTTCAGGAACTTATCGTAACCGGGGAAGTATTTCAAAACGGGGAAAAATTCGCGAAGCATGCCCGTGCCTTGGAACATAGACTCGGAAATGCCGCCCAGCTGAGCCACGGCTTGATCAATGTCGATGATCTCCGGCGTCTCCTCAGGAAATCTGTTCCCGTATGCAATACCAAGAAACAGACTGGCGGCCTGACGGCGCATGCACTGTGTGAAATCTTCATTATAGAGAAGGTCCCTGAGGAGTTGTTTGGACTCCAGGTCTTGAAGGCCCCTGTATCGCACAGCCATAGCCGGCTTCAAGACTGCGCCACGGAGTGCGCGATGCTTGAGCCACTTCTCTCCGTAAGGCAGAGCCGGGGTCGTGAAGCCGTATAGAGCCCGTTCGAGTACCAGAAGCTGGGGCCGGCTGCTGAAGACCGCATTGTTTTTCTCTAGGAAGTTTTTCACAACTTCGTGCGAACTGACGATGATTGTGATCATACCGCCATTGTTCACCGACATAATTGGGCCGTAGCGATCGCTCCATTGCTTGTAGACTTCCCAGGCTTTCTCTTTTGGGGCCTGGTGAAGATTTCCAATGATGGGCAGGCCTCGGGGCCCAGGGGGAAGAGGTAGCTGGTATTTTGTAGGTCGCAACAGTAGATAGCCAACTGACAAAAGAGCTCCAATCAAAGCGAGACTCGCCAGCAAATGCTGCGCAGGTAGCTCCATGGGAAGTCGGCGATAGATCTCGGACGCCATTGCAACAGGAAGAGAGGATGGCCTACAGAAACCCGTGATGTCCTGTACCTTTGTGTATAGTTATGCCAAGATCTGATAAACAAATCTATACCGTCTCTCGACTCTTGCATTTTGGGACCTCGATTCCGCATACATTCATTCTCCTTGCTGCTGCAAGGGGGAGCAAGGGGGACGCTGGCGGCCTTATTTCGACGTTACACAAGGGTCTCGATTCTGCATGCACGGCTTCAATAATCACTTTTTGCTTATTTCGTTCTATCCGGTGACTAGGTCAACATTGCTGTGATGGACGAAGGATTTTTTTATTCCATGCAAGGAGATGTATTGAGTATTTTTCTCCGTTCTCCCTGCCATGAGGATAAGTAATTTAGATCACAGGAGAGAGATGGTGAACTATCAGTTCAAGTCTCAGCCAAAATGACAGTCACCGAAAAAGCCCCCGAGGTGATGCCCTTCGAGGGTTTGACCGAAGAGATCAATCTCATGAGCGACAACGAGAGGGTCTGGTGGCAGAAGACAGGCTCCATGCTCTCGAGAGTGCTGTCTTCTGCCGACTACACCTGGGAGGAGCAGCACAAGCATCTGAAGTTCTATGCGCAGGTCCTTCTCCCCAACCTGGGACCGTATCCGCAATCATTTCGAAGTTCTATCACCCGCAGCGGCCTCCCCTTCGAGCTGAGCATCAATTACCAGCAAAATGGAAAGCCTCTAGTGGTGCGGATCGGCTTCGAACCACTTAATGCTCTGTCAGGCACGCTGAAAGACCCATTCAACCAGGTTCCCGCCGCGGAAGTCCTATCGTTGCTGGACCAGATGCACATTCCAGGCTTCGATAGCCAGATCTGGGATAGAGTCGTCGAGCATCATACGGTTAACCATACAGAGCGAGAGGCACTCCGGGACAGTGATCTGGGAGCTGGGTATATCCGATCTCAAACTGCGTACGGCTTCGACCTTCTGAGAGATGGTAACATTGCCGTGAAAGGCTACAGTTTTCCCGCCCTGAAATGCCAAATCACAGGACAGTCCATGGCCCAGATGATGGCTGGAGTGGTTGCGGATCTTGTACCTCTTGTTGACTGCTCGCAAGCATTTGCGACCGTTGACGAGTACTTACAGGACACTGGATACGATGAGAGGGCTTTCTTCTCATGGGACTTTGTTGAACCCGCCCGATCCCGCCTCAAGCTCTACATGGGCTCCAATAACGTGACGTGGGAGAAATTGGCCGAAGTCTGGACGCTCGACAACCGGGTCCAAAACCCGACGGTGGCCCGAGGGTTGGAATACCTTCGCCAGCTATTCGATCTCATCAAGCTCTCGGATGGTCAACGCGACATTGTTGTGGCCTTTGACGACCGCCAAGACTCATCCAAGGAGACGCCTTTGCTCTGGAATTATGAAATGCGAGCGGGCGATCCGACACCACTGACAAAGATCTATTTCCCCGTTCATGGCGAGAATGATCTGCAAGTAATCAATGGAGTGGCCGAATTCCTTTGCCAGATTGGTCTTAGTCACGGAAAAACCTATGTGGAGAAGGTCAAATCTTATTAGTATGTCATTTTTTTTCCCTGGGGCCTCACAGTGGACGAAGCTTGCACTAACAATATCATTTGCAGTCCTGGGATCGATCTCAGCACGACTGAGCGTTTCACCTCGTGGGTTTCTTTCGCTTACACTGAGAAGACGGGTGTCTATTTGAGTACCTACTACCACTCCTCGACAGATAACCCGTGGAAGATGACGACTGAGGAGGATGGTCAGCTTTAAATTTGGTGATATTAGTCCGAGCTGGAACGAAGGTAGGACCGAGGCAAATATAACTATCTATGTCCTTGGGCAGTGTTATAACATCATACGATACAATTGTAGAAGGGTTTGTTTGTCTCACGGGAATGTAGGCCAAATGGTAGGTATGTTTTAAGGAAGCTCAAATTAAGGCCCTTACTAGTATTTTAGAGAAAGCCGTTTTCTTGTAATAATAAGATGCATAGATGGTTTAGTGACCTGTTAATTATTTGGAATCGCAAGTCTGGAAAATTCGCCATATCTGCATAAACTTCTTGACCGAATTCACAGTCTTCCTTCATTCGGTGGTCCAGTAATCTATGTCCTCATATTCCCCCTTTAACCCCATGGTATTTTGGCCACGATATCCAGCAAGCAACGCCCAACTCGATACCAAGTACGACAATGAGACAGTAGCTAAAGATCATATCTACTGGCTGTTGTACTCCATGCTATACTTGCCATCCCTGGGAATGTTATGAGGAACATACTCTTCGCCATTCTGGACCGCCTCTGCAGCCTTGACGAATTCCCGGTAGGCATACTCCTGGCAGTCATGGTCCAGAATCCAAGCCGGGTGCGGTGGCTTCACCATCGTCGGGTCCGTTCGCAGAGCTTGGAAATTGACATGGTTCATCACAAACTGCAGAACCGCCAAGCCACCTTGTTGCACAATCTGGGCGCGTTGGTGCCTAACTCGATTTTGCCAGAGGACCCGATATTAGCCAACAATATCCAATGAGAAATGATGGAGAATATGCTCAGATGAAATACCTTAACTTTTCCGTGACGGACAACGCCAGTGCAACGTCCCTTTTTTCCGCCAACTCTAGGCAAATAGCGAGTGTGGCGGCATCCTCGATCGCCTGTGTCCCACCCTGGCCGCTGGACGGCAACGCGGCGTGGGCTGCATCACCGATAACGATCATTCGGCGCTTCGGAGACAACCAAGTTGCCAAGGGTGTTCGAATAGCCAAAGTCTCCGACACGAATTGGCCTTTCTTTGCTTTCCTCATGACGGTCTCGAGTTGGTCTCGGGCAGCCCAACCCTCCATGCAATCAAGAATTTGGTTGATGGTCCCGTCGATGTCTTTCGAAGGAGTACATGCGTCCTGTCGATGAAAGGCCCTGTGAATGAATTACTCCACGACAAGGAAAAGCGAGAGTACCGCTTACCTTATGCGAGCAGTACCAAAAGAGCTCATTTTCTCTCTTTTTGGTCGTGATCCCAAAGTGGACTCCGGGGCCAAGCCATCCATAAACACAATCCTCGGCTTCAGCTTCTTCCTCGCCCAAGATCCAATTTAGTTTTGAGTCTTGGGATGTCACACAAGCATCCAAATACCCTCGGGAGGCCGCATATCCAGTTTCCTTGAGTTCCATCTTCTGCCCAGTAATCATCAATCTACCCGAGCTGTGAATGCCTTCCGCACAAACAACGCAGTCCGCCGAGATTCGTTTCCCGTCGACCACAACCCCGGCCTCATCCTCGGTCTCCCAGTATTCCGTTACTTCGGAATTCAAAAAAATCGGGATACCGAGGCTTCGGGCATACTCGTTCATGGCGTACACCAGTTGCCCCCGGTTGATCGTATACCCTCGACCCTCGTTGTATCCGTGGAGTTCGAATGTCCCATAGGAATAGCCAGTGTAGTCAGAGACTTTGAGCTTGTTGGTTGAATACTCCAGCGGGCGGATCAACTCGTGGAAGGCACCATCGCCCCATTTCGCGCTCACTCGCGCGCCGTTGGATCCAATGGTGATACCGTCGCCTTCTGTTGGGGGCGTAACGACGATTTTCGTAAGTAGATGGCATTCTTATCGGGAGTTCTTGTAGCCCCAATGAATACGCCACTTACCTGTCCTTCTAAGGTCAGAATACTTTTCAAATACCATGACCTGATGGCCCTTTCCATGGCACTCGATAGCGGCACTCAAGCCAGCGATTCCCAGACCAACGATAATGATTACAATTCTGTTAGGACCGTGCGACTCTGCACTGTGGACAGTCATGGTCGATATAAGTGCCAGTTTTGGCAAGAAACTTAGGCCCGAGTAAGAGAATTTCTGAAAGTTATGATGGAGTCTAGTGAAGTGAATGCAGGTGGCGGGTTAATCTATGGAAAGCTTCATGAGCATTACTACTGAGTAGTACTGGCACCCTTGGAATTGAGAATAGGGGACCATGCTGCCGATACCGAAGTAAGGTCGAGGGGTTATTTTTGGAATTGCACGATTTGAATACATCACATTTCAGTAACTTACTGCGATGTTCCCTTGCAGAACCCGAAATAATTGAAAGATGATGTGATTAGACTGGATATTAGGTATTCTGTGTGACTCTACAATGTAGCTAGTGAAGGAGCATTGGAACTTGCGCTGCAGATTCGTCACCCCCTTACTCATACCTGATCTAGTAAACCCGCCATGCAAGTCCCTTACACGTACGCTGTTTTGAAGGTAGCCGAGCTATGAATTGAAGTAGCCATCTGGCTCGTGTCCGTTCGTGAGAATTAGACCAAAAGCATCAGAAAGGGACGTTTGGACGAAATGGTTAACGTTGATTTTGAAGTTGAGCCATGCCTCTTTCCCAGCCTATCTACTCATTCTGTCAATCAATCACACGTCAAGGCACCGGCCTATTACCAGCATGGTTTCGAATGGGAGGTAACAATCTCAGAGGACTCTCTCCTCCAGAATGTCGTGCTGTCCTGGAATATTTTACTCGCTAAATATACGGATTCGACTACCATCACATTTGGCGTTATATCTGGCTCCGAGGGTAATAAATGTCACGATGATACGACCGTGGACGAGTATTGTACTTCTTTGAACCCAGAGAGCTGTTTGCCGACCGTGATTCCTCTGGCCAGCAGGCGTCAATATCGGTTTCACGAGTGGAAGTACGACGCACGAATTAATACCTGCATTGCAAATGGTTCGCACAAAGTCTGGCTGGATCACTGGATTAATTCAGTAAGTCATACCAGTTGAAGAAGATACAACCTTGGTTGGATACGCTAACGTCTGTTGACTCAGCCTAATCATGGGATTAAACTGATCCTGGTAGTAGAACAAAGGAGATGGCCATGCATGTCCTTGTATGGAAAACCATCATTCATCGACGAGGAATCTGTTCGCTTGTTATGTTCAGCATTCCAGCACATTCTCGATTGTGCATTGGAGAACCCGATGGGACTGCTGAAGAACATCGAAGTAACTCCTAGTCACCACTATCGACGAATTCTCGATTGGAACTCACATATATCCAAAGAACCATTGGCAGAATGCATCCATGACCTCATTCAGAGAAGATGCATGGAAACTCCAGATGCAGAAGCCATCTGCGCCTGGGATGGTACCATGTCCTATGCCGCCCTAGAACAGGAGTCAGCTAGGACCATGGAATGGCTGCAGCATCACGGGGTTGGACCCGAGACAATCGTCCCGCTGTTGTTCGAGAAGAGCAAATGGACAGTAGTGGCCGTGTTGGGGGTACTCAAAGCTGGAGCTGCGTTTGTATTGCTCGAGACTTCGCATCCCATTGAACGACTTAAAAGCATCTGCCATGATATTGGGGCCTGTATCATTTTGACTTCCGCACTCTGCAAAGAAATCGGCTCGAATCTGGCCGATATCACAATTTCAGTCCCCTGCGATGTCGAGCGAAAGCTACCATACGGTGAGGGAAAGATGAAACCTTGTATTCGCGCTCAACCGAGAAATGCGGCGTACGTGGCTTATACGTCAGGATCGACAGGGAAGCCGAAGGGGGTTATCATCGAACATGCTTCGTTTTGCACCAATGCGATGGTCAGCTCCGAAGCTCAAAACCTGAACAGCTGCTCCAGAGTGCTACAATTCGCATCATATGCGTTCGATGTTAGTATCCATGAAGCCTTGGTTCCTCTCATTCTCGGAGGCTGTGTTTGTATTCCCTCGGCGTCACAAAGGGTAAATAGTCTCCAAGAAGCGATTGTCCAGCTGGGTGTCAATTGGATGGAACTTACTCCCTCCGTAACTCGCCTTCTGAGTCCCTACAAAATCCCCAATGTCAAGACACTGGTCGTTGGGGGCGAGTCCATCTCGCCGGCAGAGCTCGCCCGCTGGGCAGGTCACATTCGTCTCAACGTGGCTTACGGTCCTGCGGAGTGCACCGTGGTCTCTATGGTGCAATCGAATGTGACGAAACATGACAATCCGTTATCTATCGGTCGGGGATGCGGGGGGTCCGTGTGGATCGTGGAGCCACAGAACCACAACGTGCTGGTACCAATCGGTGCACCGGGTGAGCTTCTCATCGGAGGTCCCATTGTGGGCAGGGGTTACCTGAATCGGCCCGAACAGACTGCCGCTGTCTTCGTCCAAAACCCGCCGTGGCAAGCGGAAAGGAATTCGCGCTTCTACAAGACGGGCGATGTGGTGCGTCAGAATTCCGACGGCAGTGTCGTCTTTCTAGGCCGCAAGGATACGCAAGTGAAATTGCGAGGCCAGCGTATTGAACTGGGGGAGATCGAATATCAGGCCTCGGGCTTCTTTCCTGGTGCTGCGGTGGCTGTGGAGGTTGGCAAGCTTTACCATGGCCATCCGGCTCTAGTTCTATTTGTGGAATGGAAGTCGTTGGAGAATAGAAAAAGATGCAGTGAGACAAATTGTTGCCGGACCGTCCAAAATGACAAAACTCATTTTATGTCCAATGCGCAGTCGGCCAAGGTAGGGCTCTCGCAGATATTGCCTTCCTATATGGTCCCCGATGTTATAGTTCCCTTGTGTACTATCCCTCTTTCACATTCAGCCAAAGTGGACCGGAAGGCTTTGCGAGCCATGATACCCCGCTGGTCCAAGGACGAAGTGAAATTATACCAGGTCACAGCGAACTCCACTAGCTGTGGCCGAAACCCACATCATGCTGGGCACAAATACGACGAAATGGTTCAAATGGTTGCTCGTGTACTATCGCTTGATCCGAGCGAGGTTAGCGAGCATGATAACTTCTTCCAGTTGGGTGGTGATTCGCTGTCTGCCATCATGCTTTCGAGGGAGAAAGGCACCATTCCATTGCTCTCCTTAACAGTGGCGGATATTTTCCAAAGTGCTTCAATAGCCGAGCTTTTTCATCGCTCACAGAAGACGCCTCTGCCAGAGTCTATGCAGCCTGGCATACCTACGAATGTTATGCCATTCTCCTTGTTGGACCCGATGAAGATCGAAAACTACAGGGAATGTGCAGCACAGCATTGCGGTGTAAGCCCATCTCTCATTGAGGATATATACCCATGCTCGCCGCTCCAGGCACGCCTCATGGCCAGAACTGCCCGTCAGCCAGGTGCATTTCAAGGGCATTTCAACTTTCGCTTGTCCCCCAACACCGATTGGGAGCGGCTGCACTGGGCTTGGAACAAAGCTGCCGATTTCTTTCCTATTTTGCGCACTAGAATTATCAGTACGTGGCAACTGGCTGGCGGCAATCCTCTTCAGGTAGTCGTACGCGATAAAGACATCGAGTGGGTCGAAGTAGCAGCAAGCGAGAGCGAACCGAAGAGTCGCATGTCATTCGGTTCTCCCCTGATCTATTTTGTTGCAGTGCGTGCTAAGCACAGTCCCGTCCTGACCCTCAATATTCACCACGCATTATTCGACTTGGTCGTATTCCAGCAGATTCTCGAGGCAGTGGAAGCCGCATACCAGGGCAAACCCCTTGTCTGGCGACCGTTTTCGCCGTTCATAAAATACGTTCAAGACCTGAACAGATCTCAAGCAAATGATTTCTGGAAACAGGAATTCACTGGTCTCCGGGCAGTTCCATTTCCCGCGGACATTACCCCTGGAAGGTCAAATCTTGATGCCATCCGCTGGACTCGCAAAAGCTTTCGTCTCGGCCATCAGAATGAAGCAGGAATCACATTATCTTCCTTGATCCGTCTTGCATGGGCCATGGTGCTCTCGCAGTATACCGGCTCTCCTGACGTGGTGTTCGGTACCACTGTCATGGGCCGCAATATGCCTGGCACTGCAGATGTCGGTGGGCCCACCATCGCTACGTATCCCCTCCGCATTACTCTCCGGGACGAAGAAAGTATCAAAGAAGCACTACAGAGGGTTCAGAACCATGGCATTGCCATAGCCCCTTTCGAACAGTCTGGTATTCAACATATCCGACACTCTAGCCCCGAGTCCGCCATCGCCTGCAGTTTCCGAAACATGCTAGTCATTCAGCCGTCGTCGGATAACAGCCTCCTGGCCAAGCGGGAATTATCACCATTGTTGGTATTGGAGGAAGGTGGGTCTTGGAAGCAGAAGTCGTATGTGAATTTCAGCACCCAGGCGTTGAATGTTGTGTGCGAGCCGGGCGCCGGTCATTTAGACGTGACAGCGTATTTCGACCAAAGTATCCTGTCGTCACAAGAGGTAGAAGAAATGCTTACCTGCATGGATCGTCTACTCCAGCTCGTCTTGCAACACCCTGATGCCTCAACGAGGACAATTCTTTCTCAAAGCCAGTCTCCTGATGGAGATTTGGATCGCTATGAGGACCGCACATCATTGGCAAGATTGGAACAAGCGGCTTGCCAGTATCTGGGAAACGAGGTCCGGGTGGCCGCAGTGTGGATTATCCCCATGGAATCTCATGTCCCCAAACTGGCGCTTTTTGTCGGTGCCATGAGTTTGAATACCGTATCAGACGGTAGATGGATACTGGCGGGTGTGAAAGAGCCTCTACGTGCTCGCCTGGTTCAGATGATGCATGAGTTTCAAAACAATCCGCTCAGAAGAGCGGTTCCATTCTACTGCATTCCCGTGCCATTGCAGTATAGACCGTCCATGCCTGGTCTCTTTCTTGACCGGGCTCGTGCACAAGAGGCTGCGTCGAAACTCACGTTGAAGACGTTGACATCATGGCAACATACCGGAGATTCTGGTTTCGAGGAGCCCTTGTTGTTTCTTGAGGCGACTTTGAGACGGGCTTTAGCTACAGTGCTATCTCTGGAGCCTGAGGAAATTGGGGTCAACGACGATCTGGTTTCCCTAGGATGTGATTCACTTGTCGCCATGCAGTTTGCCGCTCAGTGTGACCGACAAAGCTTGAGGTTAACGATCTCAGAAATCTTCCAGGCAAGCTCGTTAAGATGCCTTGCGTCGACGCTGAATAGTCGTCCGTCCGGTGACCCCACACCGGCATTGGAAGCTTTTGCGTTGCTAAAGGCGATATACGGGGACCGAGAGTCATTTGAGCAAGATATCCAAAGGTCTGTCGACGGGTGGAATATCAAAGAATCAATTGACGCATTCCCATGCACCACCGCCCACCTCGGGCTTCTTTCTGGACTTGGCACCTGTCAATCCCATACGATCTGGGAGATCGGGAGTCCTGACAAGCAGATCGATCTTGTAAGCTTAGCCAAAGCTTGGCTGAAGCTCGTGAATCGCCATGCAGCACTTCGAACCCTTCTCCTTCCCAGTCGTTCAAACCCTTCTGAGTGGTTTCACGTAGTGCTGAACTCATCTCCCGTCAGTGCAAAAGTGGTAACCAAGTTGAAGAATGCCAGGCTTTTGAAGGTTGCTAGGAAGCCTCTTCTATTGAGAGATGGTCTAGGGGGTCTTCCTTGCAGGTTCGCAATCTATCAAAGTACCACGGGAAGGACTCTCTGCAAGCTGGAGGGCAGGTATGCCTTCCTCGATGCATTCTCAGTGCTAGTCCTCATGAAGGAGCTTCGACATATTCTTGATTGTCTTCCGACTTCTGATCCATTGCTGCCCTCCTACTCTTCATGGGTTGCTTATTTGCGTCGATGGAGTGAAGATCCGTTGCACCTACAATTCTGGGATCAATACCTCGCTGGCATCCAGCCTTGTATTCTACGCGCATCTCGAAATCACCACCATCACCAGTACGAAGGCCGCCAGCATCATGGAGCCAGTGAAACCAATGGAAATTACCCTCGCTTGATAAAATCACACCGCCAAATTGTAGTACAAGATACCGTCGCCTTACGCAAGTATTGTGATCAACGGGAACTTACCATAACCAACATCCTCCAGGTAGCCTGGGCGCTTACGCTGAAGGAGCAGACTGGGATAGAGGACATCTGCTTTGGAGCGCTGGTTTCGGGCCGCGATGTGCCCATGGATCATGTTGGTAATATCGTTGGATCGCTCTTCAATGTCCTCGCGTGTCGCATTCAGATACCGGCCACCGATAGCGTCAGCTCCGTTCTTCTGGAAAATCAACAGATGATGCGTGAACGAACTGCGCACCAATTTTGCTCCCTACAGGAGGTGACACGGCTAGTGCTCAAGGCCGGGCCTGAGGCCTCGTCATTATTCAACACCTGTCTGTCGGTCGAGCAGCCGCTGTCGGATGAGGCTGAAACAGGTAAGGGGTTTAGAGCGCTCGAAACTGTGGAAGAAACTGAGGTAAGAGACGGGAGACTCGTTATGTCTCCTTCTATTTGCACAGGCTGACATCCTTTGCTAATTGTGTTTCAGTACGACTTGATTGTTGCTGCCACTGTATTCCCGGGCAGGATCGAGGCCAACATAATGTATTGGTCTTACTTTTGCGATTCAGCCCGTGCTGCTACAGTTGCGGAGACATTTGCCCAGTCGATTGAACGTATCATTTTTAGTGTGAGGAGCTAGAATCCCATGTGATGGCTGGTATGCTTCTTAGCGAATAGGAGTAACGAAATCAACAGTTGAAAAATGAATGTATCATGTACCTACCTAGGTACGATTGATTGAAGAAAAGAACTTAGAAGTAACTTTAAGATTTGAACTTCACAGTAAAATATACGGTTGAGTGAAAATTTATAGAACTAGACCTCTGCTGCTGTGACACTTGCTGATTCCTAAACTCTAGGGCAGCTATATCGACGGAAAACTAAGCATACAGAAAGGAAGGAAAAAGAAGACTCTGTGTAAGAGCTCGCTACGGCTTCCTTTACAAGTGTTTATAGAATGTAAGCCCTTTGGCGGTGCCTAATTAGGAAAGTATAATAATGAAGAGATATTTTATTATAGATAATTAAAGGGCTAGAGCTTTAAAGTCTTATAATTATACTAGAATAATTATTATTGATTGATTGATTGATGTTTTATTACGCCCGGAGGTGCTAACCTAGAGGGCTCTAGTGTCCACGGTTCCACATATTAACTAGTTACACTGCGAATTTCCTGCTTTTAGTAGAATAACTAGAAACAAGCTTCTACTAGTAATTACCTTGCGGGCGTTTCATCACACGGGGCATTTCATGTCACCGGGATGGGGGTTAGTCAATATACTAGATATCAGTCAAGAGAGGGGGCAGGGGCGAGGAAGTCGTAGTAATGTCCACTTGTCTCTAGATTCCTAACCACTAGTGGCGGATTATGATAGAGTGCATGCAGTATACCCACTTGCCTTTCGCCTCAATCGCTGAACACATGCCACTTCTTGGGTGAAAAATGCAGCTTTTCCTGAGCCAGTTATTATTTGAGGGAATGAGAATGTCAGGGCGTCTATTTTCCACACTTGGCAAACGACTTGCGATATGGACTGTGGGTTGGTTCAGAGATCAGTAAGACGATGCCAGACAGACACCTGACAATATATTACATACAGCTTGTTATTTACATTGGCACTTGAAGCACGTGTCTGTGGCGGTGCATTGTACCGTTTTGTAAGAATACTGTACGGCTATGTAACGTGGGTCTGGCAATCAACGTATGCTCGTAGAATGAACGGATGCATTGGGCCGGAAACAATAAGTAATTGACGACAAAAGAGGCAAATAAGTTAATTATATATTACGAAGCATTATGTTGCCTTGTTATCATCATCGGTACTGGTATTACTCGGTTCGTTTCCCCAACGATGGACAGCAAGTTAAATCCGAGCAGTTCCTAGGAGAAGTGGTGTCTATGGAGGCGGTCATTTGAGGCGTTTAGCATTCCTTCGGACGGAGCGAGTATGAATCGGCGACCACCTACAAATGTGGGCCGCCAATGCTACTCGACATTCCTGTTTCAGTTGAGAGCGCGTTTCTTGGTGCTGGTTTTGGCAATGATTCCAGGAAATGCAGCCGGCAATAGCAAGCCTTCTGCGGGACGATTTGCGTAGGGAGTAGAACTTGGGACGGCAGTGAAGCTCTAAATTTTCTCGGCATTTGCGATCTTTGAAGGCTATCGCTGGAAGTCGCCAGAGGAAAGAAATGCGAAAGTCGTTCAAGGGCAAGAGGGGAAACGGCCAAGGAAGTTGTTGCGGGGGTCATTTGGAAAATGAATTGGGAATCGTTGAAAATCCATTCTGCGGAGCTGTTGGAAGGTTAAGTTGGAGGGTGTCTTTGAAAGGTATCACTTTAAGGAACCGTTGGAGAATCTCGTTGAAAATACTCGATTAAAAGGAGTCGCTGAGGTAATAAATTCTAAATTGTCGTTGAGAAGATTTTTTTTGGGGCCACTGAGGGAAAGAATTTTAGGTAGTCATCGAAATTATTAAATCTAAGATGCGTTGAAGGAATAATTAAATTGATATCGGAGCATTCAATTTAGAAGTCGTTGAAACTAACTGGACGGGATCGTTGAAGGGGTCGTTGAAGAAATATTATTAGGTGGTCGTTGAAAGTATCAACGGAGGGGTTTGTTGGTAGGTTTTGCTTTATAGAATTGTTTAATAAATATAACAACCGCTGGACGATTTAATTTTAAGAACTCCGAGGAGGAGCGGCTGGATGAAGTCGTTGGAAGAAGACGTTGAAAGGCGACGTTGAAAAAACCAATTCGAGAGAATCGTTAGTATAATCAAGTTTGTGTTGTTGAAAAATTTGCATAGCGAGTAGGTGAGTGTTAAGATATTAAGTGATGCTTCAGTGCTCATATTATTGAGGGGGGTTGATTGTGTTGTGTTGCATGTTATGTCTAAGATACATGTAGACTGAGAAGTCAGGTATATGTGTATGCACGTGATCTCAGCCTCATGATTATCCCAGCAACCGTGCGGAGGGAATGTGTCTATACTGTAGTGGTTTCTATATACAGAGGGAAGGTGGGAGGGACAAATCGAGACTTGACTGCATGGGGGATGACGAGCTGGCTACAGAGGCAATCAACCGGCTCTCACATGAGGCAGTTGTAGGAGGGAAAAAACCCTGAGTGATGTCGGTATGAATTCACGTGGGGCAACCCAATAAAATTATTCTTTTGGTATTCCACTGACATTGTTCCAAACTTCATGAGCGGTGCACTTTGAGACTCACATCGCATCTACCAGGTCCTCCTTCTAGAAGAGATTGGAAAATAGAAGGAGGAGAAATCAAAGTTCATTGAGGCTTGCGACACTTGAATCCTATGAAGGAAATTTGACCTGATGAGTGTCCTAGGGCCAGCGTATTACCTTTAATCGCCGAACAAGAAGGCCGAGCCCTAGAGGGGAAGCCATAGAACTGGTTCCCCGTTCAAGACTATCCACTGTTCCTGCTGTACAAATAGCCCCAGCTTTGCCGGAGATAGATTGGAGGTATGATAGCTAGGCCTGAACCGGATATCGAGGGAACATAGGTTGGTGCTGAGATACGAACCATCATGAGAGAATTCGAGATTAGTGACCACCCCGCCGATACTGAAGGTGTGTTGTAGGGCGCCTGTCACTGTGTCCCAGAGCCGGACAGTGTTATCGCGGGAACCGGATACCAGTAACCGGCCGTTGGGCGAGAATGCCACCGACTGAACTGGAAGTGAATGGCCCTCGAGGGTCTGTTGTAAGGCGCCTGTCACTGTGTCCCAGAGCCGAACAGTGTCATCGCGGGAACCGGATACCAGTAACCGGCCATTGGACGAGAATATCACCGACTGAACTGGAAGTGAATGGCCCTCGAGGGTCTCTTGGAAGGTACCTATCGCTGTGTCCCAGAGCTGAACATTATCATCGTGGGAACCAGATATAAGTAACCGGCTATCGGACGAGAATGCCACTGACTGAACTGAATACGAATGGCTCTTGAGGGTTTCTTGTAAGTTACCTGTCGCTGTATCCCAGAGCCGAACTGTCTCATCGCGGGAGCCGGAAACCAGTAACCGGCTGTCAGGTGAGAATGCCACCGACTGAACTGAATTTGAATGGTCCGTGAGGGTCTGACGTAAGGTACCTGTCACTGTATCCCAGAGCCGAACAGTATGATCGCTGGAGCCGGATGCTAAAAGCCAGCCATCAGGTGAGAATACCACCGACTGAACTGAATTCAAATGGCCCCTAAGAGTCTGTTTTAAGGCGTCTGTTGCTATATCCCAGAGCCCTATCGTCTCATCGTTAGAGCCAGACGCCAGAAGCTGGCTGTCGGGTGAGAATGCGACCGACTGAACTGAATTCAAATGGCCCCTGAGAGTCTGTTTCAAGGTACCTGTCACTGTGTCCCAGAGCCGGACAGTGAAATCGTGGGAGCCGGACGCCAGCAACCAACCGTCAGGTGAGAATGCTACTGACTGAACTAAACTCAAATGGCCCTTGAGGGTCTGTTGTAAGGCACCTGTCACTGTATCCCAGAGCCGGACAGTACGATCACTGGAGCCGGACGCCAACAGCCGGCCGTCAGGCGAGAATGCCACTGACTGAACTGAATTCGAATGGCCCCTGAGGGTCTGCTGTAAGGCACCTGTCACTGTATCCCAGAGCCGGACAGTACGATCACTGGAGCCGGACGCCAACAGCCGGCCGTCAGGCGAGAATGCCACTGACTGAACTAAATTCCAATGATGTCTTAGGTTCTTTTTTAGGGCTGCCACGTTGTTCCAGAGCCGGACAGTGCGATCGCTAGAGCCGGACGCCAACAGCCGGCCGTCAGGCGAGAATGCCACTGACTGAACTGAATTCGAATGGCCCCTGAGGGTCTGCTGTAAGGTACCTGTCACTGTATCCCAGAGCCGGATAGTGCGATCGCTGGAGCCGGAGGCCAGCAGCCGGCCACCGGGGGAGAATACCACCGACTGAACTGAATTCGAATGGCCCCTGAGAATATGTTCTAAGGTGCCTGTAGCCGTGTCCCAAAGCCTTATCGTCTCATCGTCAGAGCCAGACGCCAGCAGCCGGCTGTCGGGCGAGAACGCCACCAACTGAACTAAATTCGAATGGCCCCAGAGGGTCTGTTGTAAGGCGCCTGTCACTGCGTCCCAGAGCCGAACAGTGTGGTCACTGGAGCCGGACGCTAGCAGCCGGCTATCGGGCGAGAATGCCATTGACTGAACTGAACTCGAATGACCCTTGACGGTCTGTTGTACGGCGTTTATTGCTGTATCCCAGAGCCGAACAGTCTCATCGCAGGAACCGGACACCAGTAACCGGCCGTTGGGCGAAAATACTACTGACTGAACTGAATCTGCATGACCCTTGAGGGTCTGTTGTAAGGTACCTGCTGCTATGTCCCAGAGCCTTATCGTCTTATCTCGAGAGCCGGAGGCCAGCAGCCGGCCGCCGGGGGAGAATACCACAGACTGAATTGAATTCGAATGGCCCCTGAGAGTATGTTTTAAGGCGTCTGTTGCTACATCCCAGAGCCTTATCGTCTCATCGTCAGAGCCAGACGCCAGCAGCCGGTTGTCGGGTGAGAATGCGACCGACTGAACTGAATTTGAATGGCCCCTGAGAGTCTGTTTCAAGGTACCTGTCGCTGTGTCCCAGAGCCGTACAGTACGATCATGGGAGCCGGACGCCAGCAACCAACCGTCAGGTGAGAATGCTACTGACTGAACTGAATTCGAATGGCCCTTGAGGGTCTGTTGTAAGGCGCCTGTTACTGTGTCCCAGAGCCGAACAGTGCGATCGCTGGAGCCGGACACTAGTAGCCGGCTATTGGGTGAAAATGCCACTGATTGAATTGAATTCGAATGACCCTGGAGAGCCTGTTCGAAGGTGCCCGTAGCCTTGTCCCAGAGCCTTACTGTCGCATCGTCAGAGCTGAACGCCAGCAGCCGGCCGTCAGGCGAGAATGCCACCGACCGAACTGAAAGCGAATAACCCTCGAGAGACTGTTGTAGGGAGCCTGTCACCGTGTCCCAGAGCTTTACTGTCTCATCGCCGGAGCCAGATGCCAGCAGCCGGCCGTCAGGTGAAAATGCCACCGACTCAACCGAAAGCGAATGACCCTCGAGAGTCTGCAGTTCCGCACTCCAGATTTCCTCAACCTCTGGCAACTGACGTATCCAGTCAGGCAGTTCTTTTTGAAACTGTCTACGGACTATCGTTTTTTGGGGTGCAAATATGAGCCCTGAGCAGTAAAGTTGAAGCGGCGCATGATCGGCTATCTGGCTGTTCTTGAGGATAAAGCGATTTGCGTCATGCAGAAACTCAGATAGTGAAGAGTTCTTCTCGCCCTAAATCCGTTAGGCTAAACACTATGTAGTATTCATAATCGGGCTTACCTGTGTGACTGTGTGCAAAAGATTGATGATCCCTACAACATCAGAGATGCGGCCTAGGATGCTCATTGCTTCCATCCAGTGCAAAAAATGCACCTGAAGGAACAACATTGCTTCACGCATCAAAATATGGCGGTTATTGCTCCGTACCAGGTGGTGTGCCCAATAACGACAGGCATATTGCAATTCTGGAGCGAAACAGTCATTAATAGCCTGCTGATTAATCTCCACACGTTGTGTTCCATCACTTGTTAGCCCACATATATTCTTTCTTAAGCCCCGACACACAAGGAGGCATTGAGTGGCCAACATATAGTGCGTTCCCTTCTCATCTATCCAAAGAGGAGTCTTCTCACGCGTTTCCGGATCAAGAAGAAAGTCTCGAAATGATAGGTGAAAGAGTTGTACCGGTAAGGTCTTGTCTTTTGGTATACTCAGAACTGAGTGTAGTGGGTTGAGTCTGAGGTGAACAAACCTCTCCGAGACGCCGATGAGTCTTGACAGTGAGATAATTGAAAGTGGGCTCTCTAATGTCACGATTGCACCGACCACTTGATGAAATTCTTGGACCAACTTCTTTTTCTTGCTTTCGGTTTGTCTGTAAAGAAGCCGATTAAGCACAGGAAGATAAGTTCCATCCAGTTTAGATTCATCCCTTTGTGATGTCAGGATTTCTGGAAGACTGTCCACTGGGTCCCAATCAGGGTCTTCGAATATGCGGCATATCGTAGCGGCGAAGATGAACAACGGAACAGACAGTGCTACTAATTTCCGGACATTTGCAGCCCCAGGCCAGTTGATAGGCAGGGGAGGCTCTCGCTCTGCTCTAATCTCTTTAATTCGATGATTCAAAAATAATGATAAATCATGCTCGATAGCCTCTTTAGGAATTTCATGGAGAATCAAGTCTTCATGATATTGGTGTGCAAGCTTTTTGAATCCCAGACGAATAGGTAGTTCTGGTCTGCTGGTCAAAAAAACTCGCAGACGCATAGTCTCTGAACTTTGTAGCTGCGGTAGTAATTGGAGTATAAGACGTATATCACTCTCCACGTCACATTCGTCTAGTGCGTCAATGACTATGACCACATTTGGGATTGGGTGAATGGATGAATCCAATTCCAGTAGAGGTTGAAGGAGTATTGTATCAAACTGCTCCTTTAGCCCTTTGTTTCCGACGTCAACGTGGTCGTGGATTGCTTTTTGAATACTCGGGACCAATTGGGGAATCCTCTTTGCTAGCTGTCTTGTGATTGTCGGAAAAAGTCTTATCGGATTTCCTCTATCCCCCTCGCCCCTCTTAAAGAAGAAGCTTGCTCCTAGTACCTTCTCTTGTTGAAAGCGTTTAGCAACAGTGCGCGAGATTGTCGATTTCCCGGTCCCTGCCATCCCATTTAACCAGAAAATACACTTTCCTTGCGGTGACACCGCCCATTCTGCAATCTCGTTAAGAAGTTTGGTCCGAGTACCCGGAAGACATTCGTCTTCATGCTGATCCATGTAAGAGTCAAACTCGGCCCCATACGCAATTGGAAGCCTATCCAAGGGGTCTAAATGTGGTCAGCGTAAGTTCCACTGACTCTAAAGGTCTCATAAATTACCTGCACAGAGATCGAACTGAGCATTAATTGTGCCATGATTAATCCCCGTTTGCACTCCAAAATTGGGATTCTGAAAGGATATTGTACCCGCCATGATTATAATGATAATATAACAAATTTTGGAACCCAGGTGGGCGAGCGGGGTACGCGCTGAATAAGTGACAGTGTGTCAGCGTAAAACATCTATAACTAACAGGGGTCACGTGATTATATAAAATCTTATTCGCTATTTGGCGGTACAGATAAATGATCTCAGTGCTTCCCGGGTTTGCTCTTTACGGCGAAATGTACATTGTATTATGCAAAGTCGAATCAATCTCTAGCGGGTAGCAGGTTCAATTCAGAATGAGAGGCCTTAGGAAAGTTGTGGATTTCTTGATATACGAACTGTCGGCTCAGGTATGCCCTAAGAAGTAAAAATTCTGGGGTGCCCGTTTACTCCTTCACCCTGAACCAAAAATGAAAATCAGTTTCAACCCATTCATACACAAGAAGTGGGTGAAAATGAACACAGTTCTCGAACGAGATAGACGAGGTCCCTAGTGCTTGGGATGCGCTCGGCAATGAGTGACTGCTACAGAAGCTTCAGAATTCATGCAGTTCTAACTTGAGAAAACGACCAGAGCTCTGTGGAAACAAATAGCTTACCGCCTGAAGAAAACCGATAGTCTTTGCCGATAAGGAGGCTTGGAAAAATTTGACGGCAGCTGAATCCGTCGGCCAGCGAGCAGGAATATCGATCGCTGTCAAGGCGCTACTTTGCAGGCACTTTTGCATAAGCCCCATCATGATATAAGGTATTGCTCTCAGGTATTGGGTTTCTGCTTGATCTTGTGGATATTCCATGCAAAACTCTAAACAACCTGGATCAGAGTTAGACAAGCCTCAAGCGCTGCGCTAACTTCTTGGGTCCCACCAATTTTCAAAGCCCCATCCATACAGAGTAGGATCTCACGACATGTCAGAAATTGGTGTGTAAAACCTAGATTGCTCAGAAAACCAATGCCAGCCAGTAGCTTGCTTGATTAGCTGTAATGCTTAAAGGGGTCAGTGTTGGCTTTGAGGCGCGGTACCTGGGACATTATTGAAGCAAGCTCCGCCTCAGTTGGAAAAAGACCAGGCTGTTTCACGAGCTGCTCAAGAGAAACTGGCGCTATTTCAAATAGTCCATATGTCAAGTTTCCGGCCAGGTAGATTTCCCGAGGTGATAGAAGGCTGGGGTGCTGATAAAGTCGAAAAAGGAAAATCAATTCGTTAGTTCTATTATTGGAAATTTGTCGAATAGCTACCCTTTTGTGTGAACTTGAGCGACGAGAGGCAATAATCACAGGCCCGGCAAGCTCGTTCTTTGTCAATTCTCGGTAGGTTTCCCATGGCGATTCAGTCCGTACGATCAACCCGGAAGTGATCTTCTTTTCCCCGGCAATCTGGGGTAGGCCAAGGTCTTTTAAAGAGCCGTGAATGATCTTTCTGTCCTTTTTCATGGGATCTTCATTGGACTCTATGGTCTGCCCCGGTAGGCCATCATTCATACTTGAATTCAACCCAGATATTGGGCGCAAGGACTGGGTATGGCTGAGTTTTCAAGTCAAAGAGAGGATTCCAATGTTTCAATGTTGACAGTATCTTCTATGGTGAGATATCGAAGTAAATCGGGCCCGCAATGAGTTCTGGCTAGAGATTTTCAAAATCTAATTAAGTGAAAGTGTACTATGAAAAAAGGGATTTATCGGTTTATGACTCTCTTTGGAATCCCTGCGGTGCCAATGCCATTCTCTGCACTTGGAGACAGACAGTGCATTTATGATTCGAGTGAAACTAAAACAAGAAAATCGTCTCAGAGAGTTTAATTGTGCGAAGTTTAGATTTGCCTTATTGATGTTTTGGCTTAGCTAACACGTTTATACTAGCCAAAAGCATTGGTTCAAGGACGTGAAACCCTTTCAATAGGACACAGCCATTCTCGCGTTCGTCTTGACCAGCACGCACTTTCATGATTTGGCCTTGAAACGGACGTCAATAAGACTGGATAATGGATGGAGCACAAAGCAAAATATTGGCTGATTTCCAAAATTTTTAGTATGACATCCCGGTTGGCGAAGTGTATTCTGCAGAAGTAGTACTCTGGATTCGAGACTGTTTATCATTTTGCACCAAAACACAGCATGTACAGCAGGCAGAGGCCACACAGTCTCCACAGGCTGAGCCTTTGATATGAAAGTGCTTCTTGATTTTGCTTCGTTGCAGCATAAGTGGTAACCAGTGTATCGCGCAAGTCCCAAGTATTAAAAATAAGCAACACTAGGGGTATTGTATCAGTAACACTTCTGGCATTGAGGGGGGTTACATTTCTTGATGTTACATCAGAATTGCAATAGCTTTCTTTCTGCTTTCCCTTGAATCGCGAGGTTGTTTTGCCAAAAACACAGCACGGAAAGAGACATGCACAACAGCCTATTGGGAAATTTTGAGCCGATGTTCTCAATGATGATAACTGGCCACTTACAAATTTTTGCTGGGTCACAGCATGCCCAGAGCGAATAGCTCCAATCATGGCTGACAGAGTTATTGGAATCTGAAGTTGTCATTCTATCAAAAAGTGGCTGTAGAGTGGCTTGACCATAGCCCTCAGCGGCAGGAGGGTGACAACCGTCTTTATTATAGGTGGCATCCTAAATTGCTCAGTTGCCTGACTGTCAAACAGACTGAACAATTTAGAATGGCTTACGACGTTATGACAAGAATAATTTGATATCATTCGTGAGAATCAAGAAGACGTTCATAAACGTCTCGTAGCACAACTACCTGATAATTCCAAGGCGACTTTCGACGCCCGAGCATCACAATTACTTTCGATGTTTGAATTTTATCCTTTCATTCGTTTACAGACTAAATAGGAGGGCCCGTTGCATATTCGGTTCACATAGTAAAAAAATTGAAGTTTAAAATTGGTCACGTTCAAGATTTTTACGTTCAAGATTTTTGAGTTTCAATACTGCTCAAAATACAGAGAACGATATTTCCGGGCATATTTCATGACTGTCAGGCTAGAGCTTGCAGATACAGAAGTTTTGTTCGTAAATTTACAGGTGAAAAATTTACAGGTTATTTATTACAAAAGTTAGGCCTTCGTCTTTGAGTCTTGACAAGATAGCTACATGCCTTTCGGTGCGGGTGTATCGTATAAGAAAAACGTATGTATTACAGTACATTACACAACAAAATTTGGAGGCTCGGAGCTAAAGGGATGTGGCTGTGCAACAGCTGTCAAGAAACGGTAAGCCCAATACTCATTAAATACGTCGTAATGAAGAGGGGCCGGGATTAACCTTTCCCTACAAAATGCTGCAAACACGCCTCAACAGATGCTTGCCTTCATGAGGTACCCTCATTTCCATTTCTTGCATAGCATATTATCTATGTGGGAGTCAAGGGTCATGCTCTCTTTCCAAAAGAAGCCGGTATACAAGAGCCATAATATCAGTTATAATATTACGAATACATCAATTCACGATGACAAAGTATCTCAATTGTATAAACACCACAATGTGGCTTGTCCCATGCCCAATACTTATAGCTATTACTGGCGAAGCGGCGCAAACCAAGAGAATGATATGTTCAAAAGGTGTATATATGTAGTCAGCTATCTACCTATTTCTTGAGACTCGTGATCTCGTGCATCTCTCGAAAGGCTTCAACTCTCCCCAAGCCTGTCTCAGGAAACCTGTGTCGAGATGAGGGAACTGAGGTGCAATCTGTCTGAGAGTCTTCTTCTCGCTCTTGAGTGCGAGCAACTTCCTTCTATCCCTTGCATTGAGCTTCTGGCGCAAGTCATTCAAATTTGGCCTTGCCGCGGATGGTAACAGCTTTTGTTCGTGTTTGCTATATTCATCTTTTTTGAGATACTTGCCATCGCGGCCATATGTTGGGCTCGTGGATTTAATTCGTGCAGGAGTGGTTTTCACATCCATCTCATTTTCAGAATCCTTCTCTGCCTCAGTGAACACATCATTCCTACCATAATCTTCCACTCTAGCAGGGTAGTGAGTAAAAGACATGAACTCAGTGCATTTTTCTCCCACGGCGTTGATATCCCCATCCATTTCATGACCAATGCCGATTGCAGCCTGTTCAGTGGTTGGAGCAGGAAGGACCGATTTTGTGATGTAATTGAATGAAGGCTTTGTCCTATCGAACTCATCCAAGCAGCCTGTCAGTGAGTCTAGCTTAACGGTTTCATCCCCGCCTTGGTGCTCGATATCTTTGTCGATATTCAGAGGCTCAAGAATTCTCGGGTCAATAACGTCAAATCCGGGGGTTGTCGGGAGTGAGCTAGATTGAGAATTTTCGGTGGATAAATGAGTTTCCACGGAGTTGCATCTGGCACCTGATGAGTAGCTTTCGCTACTGCTCGAGCAATAAGTCTCTTGGGGCGACTCTATGATAAAGCACGTGGCGGCCGGAATCGGAACGAATATTTTGTTTGAAATCAGGGACTCGTCTCCTTGGCACTGGGGTGGACAGTGATAAAACCGCAGCTTCTTTGCACCTTTCTCTCCGGGTTTCACAGCAAAATTGCCGTCGGTTGCTTTTCTCTTCCTCGGTGGTTTTGGATTTCTCCAAATGGTTTTATTGAGCCCGTGCACGTCATGCAGGTGATGCCTGAGTTCGCGCTGATTCTCAAATGTTTGGGAGCATCCGCAAATTGACGCCTTTGGCGGCCACGAGATCTCCTGCATATGTTGACTTTCGATATGCTCTCGTAAATTACCGCTACGTGTCCAATACTGTAAACGCTCCTCGGCTGGCTTTTGACAATTCCCCAAACAGAAAGGGCAGTAGGCGGGGCGAATCACTGTGTGGCGGTACTTGACAACTTCGCAGTGCTGGTCCTCCCATGACTGGAGATGTGTAGTACAATGCACCTGCCAATCTTGCAATAGAAACCACTTCATACACTCATAGCAATAGCGCAGCGATGATTCAGGGACTTGATGCAAGAGTCCTGTCTCACGTCGAACGCAATCATGAATGTGGGCGCTTCTCTTACCTTTCGCAAGGCTGTGGAGGCTTGTATCAGAATCAGTTTACATATTGGGTCATAGCGACTCACTTTTGAATCTCTATCTGGCAGTCCTTTGCTGGACAAAGACCCTCGATTGGCTCTTCATTGGGAAGATAGATCACATCTTCTTTTCGAGAGCAAAGAATGCGGAGGTCTTCCACAAAGGAAAGTTTCTTTTCAAAGGTCAGCTCGTCTGTACAGGACATGGATGCTGCAATTCGTGCGAGCTCTGGCATGATCAAGTATTGTGCACGTGTGCAAGTGTTTTTCATTTCTTGTGCCGGCTCCCCCTTTCCGCGATTTAAGATTTTTTCATCTCGCTTCGTTTGTACCCACGAAGCTTGGTATTCCTTCAGCTTAGCTCGATGCTGTCGAGCAAGTGCTGCTTTATATTTCTGCTTCGTGACTCGAACAGCTTCTTGAGCATTGCATGTTTTAGCAACTTCGATATTTCTACTCATCTCTACCATTTCAGGTAGCATCAGAACACTCTCCTTTATGTGAGCAGGTAATTCAAGAGGAAGTCCTGCCTGACAAAACTGGCCATATCCCTGGAAGAACTCTATGTGTTTTGTTACTTTCTTCTCATCGAGCACAGCTGAGACTGTATCCACGGAGGAACAATGGGCTTGGTAGTGTTCTGGAAACGTTTTTGGGTCTCGTTGTGCTAGAATTTGAGAAACTGGCGCCGATCCGTACCGTTCTGCGTTAAGTCATCAGTAATTATGACTCCGTTCAGGAGGGTTGACGTCTCCACAACTTACTTTCAACTTCTTGGGCTAGATCTCGTCTGATACAATGTATGGTTGGGTGCTCACTGTATCCAGCCGTATCGAAGAACATGTGAAGATAACTGTAGAAGTCTTTGTTTGTGAGAGGGGTATCTTGTGGCCCGCGAGCCGTCACATTTCGAAAAATGGGCTTCTTCAAGTAGCTCTCTTTCCATCTTAATGGTATTTCTCCATTGGAAAGATCAAAGTTTGCCAAGTCTGACCGGCTTTCGATTGCGAAAAGAGCGCCATGTCCCAGCGCAAGTCCAAGAAGAAGGTCGCCAGACGCAAATGGTGCTCGCTTACTATCACGAATGCCAATTCCAAAACTGAGGATTAATTAGCTTTCTGAAAGAGCCAAAAGTGATATTCACGTTATACATTGTGTATTCTGGGTCCCGATTGTTCTTTAACCAAATCTGATTGACTCTCCATCCAATTTCCCATTGTGCGGTAGGTGATGGAAATAGTACCAAATCAATATGCTGGCACTATAGGTTAGAATTTAAACAGCCTTTCGAGATATGGCGTACGCACTTCATATCGGAGACCTCTTTCATGTTTGTTCCTATGCGAAGGCATGAAGGACCCAACTCTTGCCCCCGTAAAGAGATATAACTGAAGGGCAAATAGAATTTGAGGTTTCATCAGCACAGGGATGAAACTTTTGTGATCATCCTTCCACATTGAAGCAACAACCTTCAGAAAATCCTCTTTTCTGAAATTGTATTTCTGTTTTCTTTTGTTCACGACTTTTCCATCTTTGGTCAATGTATTTTTGATCCACTGCAATTTATCGTCAACGGCGCCAGACCAAATATGTCTGGAATGCTAACGGAAACTTACACCATATATTTCTTTTCGATCTGGTTCAGGGACCTCGGTTTTGGTGAAATCTTTGAAACCGCCGAAGAACCTCTCTGCGCACGCCTTACTCGTTCTCACAGTTGGTTTTTTATTAATGTCGAGTCGGCCAACAGTAGAGTCGATATACCAGCGGATAAATCCCTTCACCATTTCATGACTTGGAGGGGCGCAGCCTTCAAATGTTTTGTAATCTTCATATCCGTTCTCTGGGTCAGATGTAAAGCTAGGCAGAAGTCAGCCCTTCCTTCAATCAAGTTATGGTAGTTTCAACCTACTCAAGCCAAAGATCAAGAGCTTCTTTGTGTAATTCTCTAGTCCCCGGAAGCTTCTTATCTTTGTTTCGAACCTCGTCTTGCCCTTTGAAAGCACCAGGAAGATAACTATTCTTCTGCCGTTGGAGACGACGCCTCTCTTTGGCTGCATTATCACGCCTAGCAGGAAAGGCCTGTTGGCCCATATTCAGATATCTGTCCGGCTTGGGGTTAATAGTCGACTTTTTCGAAGTGATTGGTTTTTGGCATAGACAAGTTGGTGTGAAAAGTACATTTCACAGGAAGATGAAGGGGAACCGAAGCCAACCTTTATATCCGACAGACTCCAACCCCGACGTCAGGCATGATAGAGAAATTACTGGCTTTGGCCACGTCACGAGCGTAAAAAGATAAAGCGAACAAAAGAATTTCACACAGCCTCATTTTTGATACGGTGGGCAGAAATGCTTTTTTTTCTAAACGGGAACATTCGGCTTGCAGGGACCACCGCGCTAGTTGTCACAGAATAGATGGCCCGTTAGGCCCATACCGATTTTGGAATAGCTAGAGCCATACGGGGAGCAAACGCTGATTGGATGGGGAGCATCAAGGGGTGATTAGGTATTGAATAATCACTGAGCAAGACTCAGTGATCTCTGAGCAGCCCTGATTGGTCACTGAGCGATCAGTGCGCCTTAGTCATGGCTCACATGACTAGGGTGCTTCGATCACTGAGCCTGAGCCCGTGCTGACATCTACTCACTGAGCCTGAGCCTGAGCGCCCTCATAAAAGCGGCGGCACCCGAGAAAGGGAAGCCCCACCTGGCAGACAAAATCTGGTACATATACCTGCATATCTACCCTAGTTGTAAGTTTCCTTCTCGCTGTCATGAATTCAGGGCTAACGCTGATAGGGGTCAATTTCCTTGGCCACACTTGCCCTCACCTCGCTCCCCTGGCTTCGTCGACGGTGTTATGAAGTATTTCTCCGAAGCCACCAAGCCCTGACAGCTCTCTTTGTGTATGGCACGTGGCAACATCTCCCAGATCAGAGTCGCTTGCCAAGATTGTACCTTTACGTGCCGCTGGTAATTCTGGCCCTGACTACTCTGCTGGAGATTTTCAACTTCTGTTACACGAACGGGCTATTTTCGGGCCACGGCGCTCCTCGGGCCTTTGTATCTTTCACTCCAGAAGGATCTCTTACACATCCTAACCTCAGAAAAGCGGCCCAGATTCGTATCGTTCTGCCCCGATCTATCAAGATCGATGCGGGCCAGTATATCAACCTGTGGATGCCGTCAGTTGGACTTTGGTCGTGGCTTCAAACGCACCCTTTCATAGTCACATCGTGGTCGCGCGGAAGACATGACACGATTGAGTTGTTTGTGCAGCCACGCAGTGGCATGACATCAGACCTGCTCAGTCTTGCCGCTAGCGCTCCTGGATGTCCTGTACCATTCCTGGCCATGTTCACAGGACCACACGGTACCAGTGAGATTGTTGACGGGTATGAAACTGTGCTACTGGTTGCGAGTGGATTCGGGATCGCCGCAACAATTCCGTATCTGAAGAAGATGATACATGGTTATAATACCTGTACACTTCATGTCCGTCGTGTGCATTTGGTATGGCAGATAGAATCAATTGGTGAGAAGACGCTTCCGTTTCCAGTCAGCCAGCAGCAGCACTAACAAATTAGAAATGGTCAGCGCAGCCGAGGACCTGCTCAACCCCCTCCTGGAGGACGATATTATAGATAAAGGCTATGTAAGTCACCGGCTTCAAATTGAAAACTTTCTTTAACATTGACGGAAATCCGTATACAGATTCTCAGCATTTCAATCTACGTCGAAAGAGGGCTTGCTCATGATAAGACGCCAATAGGAAAACATGAAAGAGCCTGCTTTTACCAAGGTGTACCCGATTATGACAAAATAGTCTCGCTCGAGGCATCGGGAGACCAAATCGAGAGGCTACCGAACATTCGCGATGAGCAAGGCCGGACCTTGGTGATGGGTGAGTGACCCAACCGCAGCCTGTCTCTATTCTATCGTATACTAAATTATCTCTAGTTTCAGCGGCAGGCAGGTATAGAGACCAGATCCGAAAAACCGTCAAGGGCTTTTTGCATCATGGTGTGAGGCTTTCGGAGCTGGAATACCAGCCGGAGTAATTCAATGATAGGGAATTCGCATGGAGCAAACGCAATGAGTAGTCCCGAGCATATGATGCTAGTTGGAGTTGCCTTCTGCGCACTTAAAGTAGTAAAAATGTGATGTTTGGGCAATTGAAATGCGATTACGACAGACAAACTTGCCGATTTGATCCCTGAATCTCCCTGGTCAACCAATTCAAATGAGCTACTTGGTCATTATGAATGACCGGGGCCAAGCATTACCCTGAAAAACAGCGGCTAGACCTTGATTGTTGACGCAATTAACACAACTCTTTTCTATCAAAATCAAAACGCGTATTATCTAATAGTAGACAGAACAAATGCTTGAGCAATGAGGAACAGAAAGATCGTCGATTACCGTACCATGCATTGAATTTTTTTTTCATCGGTCATATTACTTTTGACTTCTGCTTTAATCTTTCTTCATGGGCCCTGGCGTGTACGAGTAGAATGTGCGAGCAGAGATCAACGCGAACCACGCAAGTCCGATGAGATTCCCTGGGCAGCATGAGATTTCCGTCAACAGTCGTTGCTAGATATTATTAGCACCGTTTGGAAAAACCGGTTTGGAAACAAATCGAGAGAACCAAACCTCTTTCAGTTCTTCAACAGAGCCTGCCGAGGTGCCACTGCATAGTCTCCGGGCGAGGCGGGCTTTGTGGCATCAATCGATTTTTCTTACCGGTGTGCTCTGAAGTTGAAGAATTGATGGACCTCTTTCCAGGCGCGGGTCCTAGATGGAGAGGTTGTGGGCCGGGTATGAGGTCCGTTGCCGGTGATACTTCTGTTCGGGTTTGCGGCTGGGGAGTAATGCAACCTGAGCGGCCTGGATTCTTGTCACTCTCTTTTCGCCGAGTTTCCGCATAATGAAAGGATTTTGGCCAAAGAGTCGAAAGCAGGAAGAGGAGCGTGAAACGCAAAAAGAAAATCTGGTCAGTTTAAATGTGTATTTCGTACGGGTGGAACACTAGGGTGTTGGATCACATCTTCACCGGCAAAGGCAACGTAGTGTCAACGTTGAACCATCTCAACAATGGAAATCATAAGTATAAATATATCCAAGGCCACACTCAGCTCAGCCCACACTCAGCTCAGCCAATTCATTCTGAACCACAACTCCATATTTATCCCCATGACTCGACACGTCTTTACCGAACAAGAAGTGCGGCTCGCAGCAGAACGACGAACGAAATACATTGGTGCAGCTAAAGTCAGCATCTGCCAGATTCAATTCGAACCTCCCTTGCCACGGGACCTGGACCCTAAGAATTTGGACCGGCTACGAAACATTTTCCGAAAGAATCGTTGTCGCCGCCTAGATGTCCAAAACCATGTTCCAGCAAACGTGTCTCGACATAATCTCGCAGAAGCATTGCAGAAGGCGAATGTTCCCCAGGAAGCCTTGCTGACAACCGAAGGCCGGCAAATTCCTCGACTGGAATTTAGAGCGGGGCAACTTCGGGGTCTCCATGGCCGTCATCGTGTACAAGCGGGTGTTGAGGTACTTCCTCCGGCGGATCGCTGGTGGACGGTTGATCTCTACACAGACGGTACGTGATATACCCGGGCGCTCCCATAGATTGATCCTGACTGTTCCAAAAGACATCGACCGAGAATTGAGAGCGGCGTTGGTGGATGAATATTCCAATCAGAAGAAGCCGACCGATGGGGAAGTCTATCGCAAGATCAGACAGTATGAGGGCGAGGGCAATGAAGCTTTTCGAGAGCGTTGGTTCGTGAGACTATCGCCCAGCAATCAAGAGCGCTTGGATCAACTTGACAATAAAAAGAACCGTCGCCTCCGGCATGCATTTGACCGATTGTTGGCGATTCCCGGGCTTTGGCCGGGTGGGATGAGAATCAGCCTCCTTCATCGATTGATCGCTTCGGGCTGCATTGAGGTGAGCTTCAGCCCAAGTTGCTGCAATTTTCTAGCTAATGACGACTCTTCGTCTCTCAGGAGATAGGAACCTATTTCGATCACATCTTGGACTTCTGGTCTTCTCTGGTGGGATCGGATCGGCGTCTGATGAAGAAAATCGATCAAGATACGGTTCACACGCTGCATTTACTGGCACCAGGTAAATCACGCACTGATGAGAGGAAGGTATGCGGGCTGGTTCTCAGTGGACATGTGCTTGCCGAATTCAGTGCTGATGAGCGAAATGCTATATGCGCCAAAATGAAAGATTTTGATGGTCTCATCCCGTCCTTATACACTTTCTTTGAGGATTTCAAGTATCTAGAGAGTTGCGCTCACTGTCTGAAGCGGCTCTTAGGTCCATCACCCCGATCTGTGAGGGAGGCCATGAGCTCGATCTTTGATCCAGACTCGGAGTCTGGGGAAGGTCACCGAGAGAAAAGGAAATGTATCATTCAGACCTCGGAGTCTACCTTCCGACACCTTCATGCATCCGAGACAGAATGCCTCGAGACAGGATACCAGCAATTATGGCTGTATGCTATGCGACATTATCCACTGATGCCCCCGGACCCCAAGAACTCTGATGATCTGTTGGCCAACCCCACTCGCGCTAAGCCGGACCCGCGCGCGATCTACGACATGGCCCATCTAGCTCATCGGCTCGGCTTTAGGTCCCCAGAAATTGATGGGCTGCTGAACAGTCCTCCGGATCACCAAATTGCACAATCGGCCCTCCGCCAGGCCCGGAAGCCAGGCCGGTATAGATACGATGACCAGCACTTTGATAATCTGGTGCGCCGGATTGTAGATTTTTTTACTGAAGCTGTGCCCGATCAGCCCGGTCCCCCGCGAGATCTTTTGGCAGACAGCACCGTCAAGGCGCACGCTCGCTCTGGGGTTCCGCAAACCCGCAACCATGTTCAAGATGCCCCTTTGTTATTCTTAGATCGACTGCATGCTGATGTCGATGCCGCCGATACAATCACTAGCTTTTTTGTTCGGCGTTGTGTCTTTTTCGCCTTTTTGGGGAAGTCATCAAGGGTGGGGCCAAGCTCCACCACAGAGAATGGTGGTATGAATGCAGACACAGAGGCGGAGGGGAT